CTGGTAAAATCTTAGAAGTTAAGATGGTGATGGCCATAGGGTGCTAACTAAGTTAGACGCTCAACAGCTAAGGGGAGAACCTTCTGTGCTTCAATTAACTCTCTCCCCCATTCCATGATTAGGAGAAGCAGAAAAGGTCATACACATGATCCAGCATACCTTATTTACATAATTCATAGCAGAAAAAGAGAGCCTCTTTCAGCCCAATGCCTGAATTCAATTTTGGAGAAGTTCTTAGGAACCACAAGGCAGAAGGTGAGGCTGAAGGTTAAAAGGGGCAGACCAAAGGCAAAGGGGGTAAAGCCAAAAATACCAAAAACTCCATGTGTTTTAGCTTCAAGTTATTATTGCCAGTAACTAAGCCTCAGGAGAACATTCGAACTTTTTAGAATGGGAGAAAAATCTGCACAAAATTCAGTCAACCACCAAATGACTGCTGGTTGAGGGAAAAGGGGAGTAGCCAAAGGAAGGGGTGTGGCCTTCTGGGGAATGACAGAGAGTCAGACTGGGAGCTCTGGAGGGTCAGATTTGACTACACTTGAGGTTCTCTACCCCTGATTTATATGGCCACCATGTTTGTCTTCTCTCATCGCAGAGCATGAGTTGTCTTGGCATTGACATTTTATTAATTTGTTGGATTTTTAATAGCACAGCATATACAGGCCAAACTATCTTCTCAGAAGTGAAATAAATGAACAGAAGATATGCAACTTTGTAGAACAAGGATTTAAAAGAGCAATAATCAAGTCACAGGCAAAAGTGAAAGTTGGCCCATAATTTGATGGCAACAGCTTTGGAAGTGGGAATAGAGCTGGTGCTAGGCACTTCTTACTCCCATTTTCTCCCCTACAGAATGTCTTGAACAGACCAAGAGAAAGCTAACTCACCACCCCTTTCTCCCATCTCTGAGGCCTGCTTCCTCACCAGAGTCTCTGTGGCCCATCCTGCAAGGTAGGCCAGTATTTATTGTTCTTGTATTGCAGACAGAGGGCTGGATCTGAGGATTGCTTGCTTTAAATGTGTTTTATGTTTTACACATTCTACATTTTACACAGGTGTGTTTACTTTTAATTTGGTATTTACTCTGTTTTTTTCTATTTTGAATAGATTTATATTTTATAAAGTTGTATTTTGTGGTTTTAACTTTTGTGAACTGCCCAGAAAGCTTCAGCTATGGGATAATATAAAGTAAATGAATAATAAAATTTAGTGCATTCATGGCAGAGGTGAGTTTCTAAACAGGAACTCTCCTGATTCAAAGCTCAGCCTCTTAGCCACGATAAGCAAACTTTTGTATTTGATGTAACTGAACCCTGAATACCAAATATTTTGTGGCTCTTGCCTATACACGCCCTTCACAGATACTGGAGCAGTGGGGAAATATGTCTGTGAATCATTTGAAATGATCCAGGATTAAGAAGTCTTGGCAGAGCTGCCAACAGGGAGGTCATGGTTGGAATGGCAGAATCCTGCCTCCGGGAAAGGTCACTTTCTTCCTTCTTTGGAACACTCCAGTGTAAGGAAACACAAAGCAAGAGAGAAACATATTGGCATGTATTCACCTTTTCAAAGTGAACGGGCTCCATCAGACTAGATATGCAGGCACCATCTTTTTCCAGCTTTTGCTTTAGTTCTGCCAATTCCTGCTTCAGCTTGGCCAGCCTCATCTGATCTGAAAGATGCAGTTGGAAAAGAGAAAACTCAGCAGTGACATGAGATCATCTAAGCAATGCAGAAATTAAAACATCAATTTGTTTCAGACAGAGTGCTCCATGGCAGTCTTCCCCCATCTAATGCCTTGTGTTGGAGCACGACTCCCAGGATGCTAACTGGGAAATTCTGGGATTTGTAGTCCAACAAATCTGGAGAGCCTTAGGTGAGAGAAAAATGTGCTCAGGTCTCATAGGAACCATTAGGATATCTGACCTTTCACAGAGCCCCCAGAATGCTTCTGCATCTCCTCGTCAGTGACGGGGATAAACACTCCTTGATGTGGCTGGAAGGATGGCAGGTGCATATCACAGAGGATTTGGATGGCAGCAGCTTCGTCCTCCTTCATGTGAAATTTGTACGTTTGGCCAAAGAGGATACTGGCAGTACGAATGAAGGTCAAGTGGGTAGTCTGTAAAAAGTACAAATGGTGGATTCAGCACTAAATCTATTTCTCCTTCCTCACTGCAGCCTTCTTGTTTCTTGTTCCCCACAACTAGGAGTAGGCTACACTGACTGCCCTTCCAGAAATGTAGACTTTTTCCCATTTCTGCTAAGCCTTCCTTCTGCCCCAGTCAGCTTAATACATGATGCCTGTTGCCTGACCCGGAACCATGCTGTCTCCCAAACGTGCTCAAAGAATTCTGGACTAACTGCAACCCAGTCTTCTATAGAGTGATAAGATGGGCCCACTTCAAGACCAGCTCACCCTTTTAACAGAGCACGCTTGAAATGAACAACCCCAGAGTCTTCTGTCAGTAAGATCTGGAGTACCTCTATACTATCATCCACAGTAAATAGCTGGAAAGCAGATGGGGGTTGCCTTCAGTTCCAAACAATGGCCAAAACAGCCACCAATTTCCTTTCACTGAGCTTGTTGTTGCAAATTGACCTCTGTTGCTTTATTAAAATCAAGGCTCATGAGTGGTAAACCTTGATGAATAAATGCCCAGGCTTCTTCTTGATGCTTTTTGCAGGGGATGGATAACTTGGTACCCTCCAGGTGTTTTATATTCCAATTCCCATTAACCTCAACAAACAGATTAAAAGATATGGATTTAGTGAGCACCAGGTCACTCTACTCCTGGTACTGAGGATGCCATCTCTGTCTCATCCTACAATCCCCAGTTCCCAAGCTGAGAACAATGTCCTCACTCACATTGTTGTAGTCAAAATCCAGCTGGTGTGGGCATCGCTTGGGCTTTGACCAAAAGGGATGTCCAGAGCTTGTCTCCTGGAGGCACAAAGGCAGATGGGATCAGTCAGGAAGCAGTACCGGGTGGGGGAAAGAAGTGCAAGGAAGGAAACTCCACTGGCCAAGGGTTGGAAGAGGGCCAACTGTTTCTGCAATCTCAAGAGCTGGAAATGAGAGGGAGAGTGTGCAGTAAAAGTCAAAGGCCAGGAAAAAGCCTACGTAGCTAATTTTCCAAAGTTCAGAGAAGAGCTTGATACTTTGGGCACATTGTATGTACCACTCATATTCTGAAGTGATATAATTCTGCTCCTCTGAGAGCCCTTTGGTTTCCCACAAAATCATTACTGCCAATTGTTAGTCTAACAACTACTGCCAAATGCTATGATTGTAGCAAGCTGGTTTCCAGCCTTACTTATGTTTAAGGAACAAACAAAGGATCCTAAAGAGATGGGGGGAATAATGGCCTCAGTGTTCCAAGGATGTGCCATAGACCCACAGACATATCACTATTAGTAAGGACACAGGCAAGGTGATGAAGGGAAAAGGAATTTGGCTCCAGCTACACTGCAATGGAATTTTCAGCCAGGGCCAAGGGATCATCAATGGTCTACGTGCATAAACAGGGGGAAACAGGAAGAACTGAATACAAGTGACACTAGCCCATCCTTTTTGGGTCATTCCATGAGTTTTATTGCTCCAGCCAAAGACCATGACAAATACCTATTATAATGACAAAGCAATACAATAATGCAAAGGTTGATGAAAGGTTTGGAGTTAGTCTAAATGCCATTCCAGGGATCACTTATAGCCCAGTGTCCCTGCTTCCAAAGAGATTCAGGATCCCTTCTAACTCTGGAATTCTTTATTCTGTGATTTCTGTTAGTAGTGCTAGCACTGGATGCCTGGAAACAATGTCTCTTAAGATCTCACAAAGGACAGCTGATAGCTGGCAAACTTGTTGGAGATGTGCTTCAATGGGAGTTCGCATAGCCAAAGAAGTCATAGGTAATGGACGGAGATGACTCATTTTTCCCCTCACTAGAGAAGGTGAGAGGCCCATATACCTCACAGGACTTGTGCTCAAACTAATACTGAAAGGGACAACTTCTTCTCTGTAGGAAATCCTATGGAGTTATGCACCCCGCTATATATCTGATGGGGAACAGAACTATATTGATCTGTGAATGCTATGAATCGTCATCTTGATCCTCAGACTATACGTATGTGTATGAATGGTGCTGCTAGGGTATTTTAGGCCCTGGTTGTAAAGGCCTTACCAGGAAGGCAGAGCTTTTTTTAGTATACATGGATATTACTTCAGCCACAAAACAGACCAGCACTTTTTTCTCCACCTTCCACCACCGTTCTTTAAAACTGCTTCTTCTAGATTCTCGATCTGGCTGCAGGAATTAAGTGGCTGGTTTTTGCTGTCCTGATACCCCCTGCTTCCTGGGCAGTCATTCCCACTGCTACCCCAGGCTATGAAATCAAAACATTTGGCCCCATCCAGCCCTAGTTACATTACTGTGTGCAAATAAAGTTTGTATCACAGAAATGTGTAGATTTGCCACAATGGCCATGTAAGGTAAGCAGTTCGAACCACTGACAGGTCTCACTGTTTGAAGTGAGGAGTGAGAACCTGGATTTTATTTCCAGAAACAGTGAGCCAAGGCCTGCCTGTGCGAGAACGGAGGCAAATACTAGCAACATCCCTAGAAAGGAAGGAGGAAGGAAGAAGAAAGGAAGAAGCTGATGTTCCAGCTGGTGCAACAGTTCTGTGATGGCTGAGAAAAATGGGGACAGTTACTTGAGAAGCCTCACATGTAGCTGATGATGATGCTCCGGACACCATTTGAGGTGGTGAGCCAAGTGCTTTGCCTGATCAGCTACTGCAAGGACTTAACGGTGACCCAGAAGCCCAGCTGCCAAGTACTGAGAACTATGGAGTGCTTCGGCAGCTGGAGAGCCAGGCCTACAAAGGGAGTCAGGAGCAGAGAGAGGAAGCCTTGCCTTTTCAGGAGCCACCAGAAATGGTGAGGGTGAGAGGCTGGCCAAGGTGCAACCCCAGACGGGGTCCATAACAGGTCTTACTTACCCTCTGCACCACTGGGGCAACAGATGGAGGGAATAGTTACCCTGGGCTTTGTGGTGCTGCTGCAGCAGGAAGAAGGACTGTAGCTAGTCAGCTCAGAGGAATCAGTTGATCTGGAGAACCAGCAGGGGCCTTGCTTTGCTATGGGCCTCATAGGAAAACTCACTGTGTTGCTAAGTACTAAAAAGATTTGGGGCTCAGGCCTACAGGAAAAGAAAGCGCAATTATGCATGCACTAATTCACGTGTGCCCCCAAGTCCCTGTGTATGTCTTTGAAGTATCCTGTTTCCGAAGGACAGCACTCTTCTAAAACTGGATGTACGGATGGTGGAGAGGAGGGCATTTGATATCAGTAAAAACCTCCAGGCAGAAGGATTCAAATGGGGGGATGGGAGCAGAAGGTGAAGCACAAGTGGGCAAAGAGCCAGCTAATACAGGGAGATTAGCTACAAGAGAGCACATCAGAGCCCTTGTACCTTTATTTCAACAAACTCTCATGGGCAGTAGGGTGGTGAAGCAGACAGTGGCCTCCCAGACAGTCAGGGCTTCACATGAAAGACTGGGGCTCCAGCCATAGCAGGCTGCTTCTGAGCCTCATCTCTGATAAAACCATCTTAGGTTTGGTTCTCAGCAGCCTAAGAAACTTAACATAGCCTTGCCATGCCCCCAGTCTGGTCTGGACCACCACACTTGCCTCTGGCCATCAGACTTCCAGCTTTGCACTTGGCCTACAGCTGTCTTGCAGCATGCCCTCTGCCTCTCATTCTGCAGGGTCCTGACCCTCCTGTGGCCACCTGCACAGCTGAAAGCTATACACAAGTGGATTTCAGGCAATCAGAGAGTCAGCAGGAGAAAAAGGTTTGTTAGTTTGGTTGTGTGAATCCACTCAGAAAGAGCCCAGAGTGAGGACTGGCAGGATTAAGGATGAGTGGACTATTCCTAGGGCAGGGGTGGGCAACCTGTAGCCCACCAGCAGCATGTACCCACCTCCCTCCCCTAGTATGGCCTCCACCATCCCACCACTGAAATTTGGTGGCAAAATAATTAGTGGTTTAGCTTCAAAACAAGCTAAGTTTGTCCTTGTTAACTCCCTACACTGATTTGGTGCTGAAATCCATCAGTATAATTGTACAGTAGCAGTAACAGGAGAGTAGCCCCTGGATATAGGGTGGGAAAGAGGCCTCCCCACTCCCCAAGGTGGCCCACCTAAGGGGTCGGACCAGGAAGACTGGAGTGAGTTATGAAACCTGATGTCACCAGTGTCCAGAAGTCAAAAAGCTGGGCAGCAGGAGGACCACCCCTTGGTTGCAGTACAGCTCAGTAAGCAGCTGCCAACTAAGTCTGCTGCATTTGGCTCTAAACATGCGAACTGCAACTCGCAGAGTAAGCAGTGAGTAACAGAGAAAGGCAATGTGCAAAGAGAAAAGGGGTGGACAAAGAGCCAGGAAATGAATGGAGAAAGGACAGGGTCTATACTAACAACGGGAGCTATGTCTCACATAATCAAGTGGTAAGTTGTGCAGCAGCTGCTGGATATCATGGGAGAAGAGGCGCTCCCAAAGATTCCGGGCCCATATCACACAATCTCGCTCGTTCTGTGGCTTCTCCTGAAGTCTGATTTTCACTTGTTCCATGATCTCCAAACCTTCCACCTTTTTGTTCTCTAGGAAGCTGGGATCACTGTAGACAAGAGTATAATTTGTCTGTGGTGGAACTTGAGAAAGAACCTCGCTGGTTAACTTCTTCTTATGAAGCAATTTGTATCAATTTTATGTTTAAAATGTCTATACTGTCTTTCCAAATGCCCAAGCAGCTGACACACATCAATAAAGAAACCCAAAATGAATGATTTAAAACACACTTAACCAACCAGATCCTAGAGAGCTTCATTCTCTTTATACAATCCTAAACAGTATGAGACTTGCATCATCAGCCTCTCCTCCAAAAAGCTTGCCTAGATAAATGAGCTTTACTTTTCTCACCTGAGTAAGCAAGAGGTAGGACCACAACGGGACCTTATTTGATTGTTGGCTCCATAGTCTTGGGGGCAACCACAGTAGAGGTCCTGTTATTTCTCCCAGCAGATTTATCATCTCCAACCAGGATAAGTAGACCCTAAGGGTGAGGCCTCTCCCAGGATACTTGTGGCTTCCCACCAAAAGTTGTAAGCAATCAGGATGGGAAAGAACATGCCAGGTACCTTTTGGAACCAAGCAGTATCAAAGGCAAGAGCAGCAGGTAGGCCCAAGTCTGTATGCTAACTGTGTTTGTATATTGCATGCCTGTTTGGAAGTTGTGTACCCCAACCATCATCCAAGTAGCAGCTTACCTACTGGTTATCTGATATCTTTCTCACAGACTAAGTTGGAAGACAAGAGACTGGCCCAAGCTCAGCAAGTGTTTGTCTGGGTTAACCTAGGAACAGGAGCTCTAAGCCATTCTGGGCTGGTGAACATATCTGGAACTCTCAGAAAATGGCTGCCTTGGGGGAGGACTCTTCCATTCACAAAATGGCTGCCCTCATGTCTAATCACAAAACTCCCAATTCCCAGAAGGCAACTGGCTGAGGGACTGTACATGGCCAATATTTTAATGATCTTGCCACACTCGTATTCTAGAACAAGAACAGAGCTGGAAAGACACATTTCCCTGTGGAAACAACAGGTTTTAAGAGGGCTGCACATCCCCCATTTTTGTCACTCAGTTTTCAACTGGTCACCTTATGCACAAGGAACGAGGATTGAAATCCTCCACTAGGCAATTCCACTTCTTATGCTCCATCTAAGAACAAGCCACTGCTCTCACTGAAGCTTAGAGATGGATACTAAATATCTAGCAAGTTTGTCTACCTCCTTTTCCTGATGAATTGCCAGTCTCCCTCAATCTGGTTCTCCTCAAGATGTGCAAAACTACAACCCCTATCATCCCCAGCTGCCAAAGCCATGGCTGGGGGAGACCAGCCAAATTCACTCCACTTTCAACACAGTTCTTTTATGGCTCCCCCACTGGACTTTTTTTTTAACTGTTAGCTTCATCATAGTCAAGTTCCTGCCCTGAACTCACTTCAGGAATTTGTTGACATTCTCAGCCGCTGTCTTGAAAAGACCTTCAAACTGATCTCTGGCCCACTGCAAAAGAAAGGAAATGAACCTCATCAGTAGATATCCGCCATCTGATGTATTACACATTATGGAATCCTATGCATTTGCTCAGAAGCCACCCCATTGTGTTCAGTGGCACTTACTTCCAGTGTAAGTGGGCCCTGGATTGCATGGTTAGTGAGCCCCTTGTTTCCAGCTGCAACAGTTCCTCGGGTCTACTAGGGGCATAGTCTGGGCATGTAAGGCAGTTCCCTAAAGCTTAGCACCTACTTCTGTTGCCCACTCCCAGGGCCCTGACACGAGTTGTGGACTTCCCAGCAAAGTGTCCCCGTCAGCATCCTCCCAGAGCCGTGCAATAAGGTGAAACATGCTACCCCCATTTCTGCCCCTGCCACAGAAAGAGAATAAGCAGCTGAAGCTCTGCAGAGGGTGAAAGACTTTGGCCTGGCTTCTGGGTGAAACAGCTGGACCCCATATCCTGCCGTCAACACTGCTGACAACCCTGGCCCTGCTGCAGCTGCCTGGAAAGAGTAAATGAAGCCAAGGGGCCAGGCAAGGAGCTCGGAGGAGCACTGCTTGGCAGCTGAGAAGGAAGCTTCCCCTGGACCAGCTGGAGCGAAAGGCAGGAGAGGGGCCTTTGGCAGCAGGCACTGCAGAGCAGATCTGTGGCTGGAAGAATAAGGGGCAGAATGGAGAAAAACAGCCCCCTCCCATACCTGTATCGTGTGCTGGATGGTGCTGGGGAAATAGCGAAGGGTGCAATGAGGGTACTCTCTCTCATCTATGTCTAAAACTTTGCTGTAGGGCTGTGTCAGATGGGGAATAAGGACCTCGACATGCCCCTTGGTGCCATTTGTTCCAGAATCAAGCAGAGGTTTGTGAAACTGCATGCATCTTTTGCCAATATAGTTTCCTGCAGACAAAGGAGAAAGAGAAGGCACACACAGGGGTGGCTATGCAGTGAGTTCAGTTAGCATTTCACTGAGATTTACTAAATTCACACTTCCTGAGCATGAACTGGAGCACAATCAAGATGTCAAAGTCTACAGTCCAGTTCAAGAGGAAACAAGTTGTACAAATGAAAAAAAATTGTCACAAAACTGCACATTTGAAATGGCGCATATCAAAGATGCAGGTATTTGGAACAGTGTGCACAAAGCCAATTGAATCAATGGAAAAATAGTTCAGCAAAATGTGTATATTTCAAATAATTTAGACTCAAATGCATGCAATTGAAAAATGCATACAACACACATTTTAAAAACCAAACACAGAAATATGTTTGAATTTTCATGCAGATTTTTTAAGAAAATTGCAATCTGATCCAAAAATGGGACAGTACAAAGATAGTAGTTGATAAATTTGCTCATTACTAGGCACAAGGCAGTTTTCTTTTGTGCTTTCTTCCCTTCAGTGCTTCCACCCTGGAATCTAACTCTTCATCAGAAAATGGCCTGGGAATGGGGCAAAGGAGAACACTGACAGCTATAGCAAGATTCCAAAATCCATATTTCAGCAATACCTTTATTAGGTCAAAGTTAAGGTCACAAAATAATGCACACATTCTCCAGTCCTCTGGAACACTTCATCAGGAAAAAAATGGTTAATTAAGTGGCTATTATAGTGGGGAAAGTGGCTGATGCTCAAATCCCAGAGGCTGCATTTGGTTATGACCTTAAGATGGAATGTGGGAAGAGACTGCAGCCACTCAGATTCCTTTCCCTGTATAGACTGCATATACACTTAGTACAAAGTAGGTTAGGCCATATCTTCCCAGAAGGACACTGTCTGATATCCACTAAGCTCCTTTTTCACAGGTTGCTATGCAGCCTTTTCCCCATCAGCACCCACAAAATCTATGTTTTATTTTTAAAACAGATGTGCAAAGCAGAAGCTCAGTGTGTGTTTGGTTCTCTGACTTATACCTCAAAAGTATACAGCGGCCATTTCCTGACAAGAGAAATGTTTGGCTGTCATATAGCTATGTTCAAAAGACACAGTAGTTCAATCATCCTCACAACAATCCTGTAAGGTAGGCCAGTATTATTAGGTTCACAGTACAGGGAAGGGGGCAGAAGGAGAGAGACATGATTTGTCTTTGACCTGAGGACTTTGAACCTACTCATGAAAAATATAGACCCAGAGAATGTTGTGTTGATTAACAGAACAACATGCACATCACGTGCAGCAACCTCCCTGAAACTGGTTCTGTCCAAATGTTGTTCCCATCAGCCCCAGCCAAGATGGTCAATGGCCAGGAATGCTTGACCATCAGAGCTATAGCCCAAAACACCTGAAGGGAACCAGATTGAAGAAATCTACATAGCAAGTGTGCCATTAGATATATCCACACAGTTTCTTTCCTACAAATTTGCATTTGTAAGATATATCCAAGGCTCTTGACTTTGAATTCAGATTGGGATGCCTTTGGCAGGCTTGGGAAGCCTCAGGAGTAGGAGCAGTCCTGTTTTTTCCCGCCTCTGGAAACAGATCTTCCTTGCCTCTCCCTCCTCATGCACACACTTTGGCCTTCACTGTCTTTCAGCAAAACACACTATACAGTCGACTATATAGCTTCCTCTAGGAACAGATCAGCTTTCGATATAAGGGCCAGGTGGCTGCTGGCCCGCCCCAGCCAGTCTATCTAGCATGGATCCAGTTAAAGGCCATTCCCTGATGCTCTTGAGCACTTCTTCACTTCTGCTCCTTTAAAAATAATCCGTTTGCAACTGCAAAGGAAAAGCGCATGCACATGCCTTTCTGTTAATGATTCAAATGTCAGTGAGTACACAATCAATGTGTCCAGGAATCAAAAGGCTGAGTGTCTCCTATGCCTACCTATGCAACTTCCTGTCTTGCTATTCCTGTGTGTCTGGCTTGCACACATATCTATTGCCCTTCCTTGCAGCATCCCTCCTCCCTTCTGCTCCACGGGCCACTGCCCTAACTGCACTACAAGAGAGGCCCATATTACTGGGACAAATAACATTAGTACAAATGTTGCATACCTGGTTCAGTTTGAGAACATGAAGAACATTGTGTCGTACAAAGGCTAACACTGCAATCTTATGCACACCTACCAGAAATTAGGTCCTGCTGAACTCGGAGGGGCTCACTGTTGAGCAGACATGCATATAGCTGTCAGGAAGACTGACTGCACAACCCTTTGCACACACACACCTGGGAGTAAGTCAGATTAAATATGGTGGGATTTACCTCTGAGTAAACATCCATAGGATTGCTCAGTGAATCAGGGTCCCTAATTCAAATTTCACCTCTGTCATGAACTCACTACATGACCTTAAGAAAGCTCCTCTCTCCCAACCTCAGCTTTTAATCTGCGGTATGGGCATGATGATATATAGTGCCAACAAGAGCAAAAAAGCACAGGCTTACCTGTCAGGTTGTTGGAGGTAAGCACTACAACTAGATGGGGTCTGTGGAGCCCTTTGACTATTAGAAAGCTCAGGTAGGTGCAAATATTAGTATTATTCACTGACTATTATTAGTATTATTCAGATTATTCAAGCAAAGATATTTGTTTAACATAATTCATTTTGGGTGCGGCAGGCTTATGACAAAGACCTGGATATGCAACTTCAATATAGCAAAAAAAAAAAAGCACACAGGTATTCTGTTTGAAGCACTCACTAGCTTGCCAGTTGTCTACAGCACTGACGACACCATCCAAGCCAAGGAAGAAGTCATCCCCATAGATGTGCTCTGTCTCAGGCCCAACCTGGTTCTGCTCAGCTATCACATTGAGATTGGGGTTCATGCCCTTTATGGCAGCAGCTGCCACTTCTGACTTCAGCTTCTACGGGGACAAAGAGAATATTATTAGGTGGCTTTGGGGCAGGCAAAGCAAGGAACAGTCCATTTGGGCTATTGCCAGGGTCATCAGTGAGAGCACCAGAAGGGAAGGTAATGGGAAGGTGGGCCAGACCCTAGACTCTCTTAGACTAAAGTCTTGATGAGATCCAGCCCTCCAGATTCTGGCCAAACTACCTCTCCTGCTGCCACCAGCACCCCCTCTTCCCACTTCGTGTGCCTTCAGCCCCGGAAACTTACAGACACATGCCGCTCCTGGAAGAGGAACTGCCTGTTGAGATTGGATCTTGCAATGGTGTCCATGTCTGTCACAGTGATGCTTCCACCCTGGCCAGCAGCCAAGCCAATCATGGCAAAATTTTTCAAGAGCTCGCAGCCAATGGCACCAGCTCCCACCTGAGAAAGGCAAGATAGGATTGGCTGATCCATCACACTCCGCATGAGACCTTGAGCCAGATGCATCTCAGAAGCCCTATGACAAGGGGATACAAGGAGAGGGCCTCCCTAGGTGATACACTACTGGTCCTGATAGAAGGCTTTGCTCCATGCAGCTGCAATGAATGTTGCTGAACCAAGCAGAAGAGACAGGGAAATCAGCAGATCACAACTGAAAAGAACACACTGCTTGCTCACAGATTGGATACAACGGCCTCTAGATACACTGAGGATTTGGCAAAGGATTATGGGAGTTGTAGGTCTAATACATACAGAGGACACCCAACTGGGGAAAGCTGAGATACAGGAATTTGATAGTCCATTCTTAGAAAATCTATGTTGGTTTTCACTTCTGACATGCTATCTGTGGGTACTATTCCTTCTCACGGGGGAAAAACCATATGCTCCTAGAGGCCCAAAAACAGATGGAATGATGCCTGCAGTTTTCAACAGTGAGCACTGAAATGAGAGAGGCTGGTATATGCATTTGGAACAGCATCCGAAAATTGCTGTAGAAGCCTCAATAGTTTAATAATGCAATTCTGGAGAGTGGGAGCGGAAATCACATTATGACAAACTGAACAGTCGTTCTTCATGGAAAGTGAACGGCTGGACATATTGTATCTTACAGATGTTTCTTAGCCAAAGCATATATAAACAAGGGGAAAATATTTGATTTCAGTATGTTTTGACTCCATCTGGCATTTTTGACTAAGCTTTAATTTTGCTACAAAACAAGCACTGGAAGGAGCTCACAAGCTCATTGGATTCATGTGCCAATTCATCAAATGTGTGTAATACATAAAGAATTATACAAGACCTTCAAACAAGAAAAAGGAGTAAAACCAGGATGCAACATCAACCCAGCCCTCTTTTATCTTATAAATCAACTACCTACCAACTCTTTTTGAAACTGTTGTGAAGTCCAGGATTACCAGTGTATGACTCAGCAACCGATTGCCTGTTGTGCACTGCTGAACTCAGCATGTGCTCACCTCTACCAAAATGAACCATTGAGAAGTTTGAACTCTGGAAAGGTTTTGCAATGCATGCAATGTACGGATGGATTTATGAGAAAACAGAGAGGGAAAGAAATTCTACTGTTTTCCAAAAAGAGGCACTCAATCAATCAGAATACAAAGATGAATTTCTCAAGTCTAAATTATATACGGTTAAGCAATGGCTGTATCCTGAAACCTTAAGAAAGGTTTTGGTGAGGGGGTTGGGGGAATGCTGAGCACCTTGATCAAACCAGAATTTTTGCACATGAGGGTTGTTCAGATCTGTGCCAACATTAGATTCTGGACCCAAAAGATTCAAGAACATATTATGCTAAGAACATATTATGCAAATCAAGAACTGTTGTGCATATACATATATAGTTTATAAATACAGGTAATTGCATTGCTTATCCTTACATCTGATAACCTAGCTGAGACAAAGAGAAACAAATAGGTCAGAGAATCTTCCCCCTCTAAAGACAGGAGCTTTCAACAGATCCTGACATGTTCAAATATAGCCCCAAACCATATTTGGGGGTATATTTGAGGTAGAGCCCACCTTTCTCCCTCCTCCCCTCCCCTCCCAGTTCCTCCTTCCATGAATGCTGAGATTCTCAGGGATCTACACCAAATTCCCCATTCATTCTATGCCAGGAAGTTGGTAACCCAGCACCCTCCAGATGTTTTTGGAGTGCATCAGCTCCCACCAGCATGGCTTATGGCCAGAGGTTGAGCCATGCCATCTGGAAGGTACTGTATTACCTACCCTGTTCTGTGCATTCAGGTGCGCAGAAGGTGACATGGCTGGAGATAATGCCTACTGACTATAGCCATCATCATCCAGTGGGAGTGATGGAAAAACGCTGGACTCATGCTAACTAGGATGAAAACCTTCCAGACCTCTATGTTAGGCACTTGTGCTACCAAATATTTACAAAGAAACTTCAGTAATGGCTGCAGAATGGATCTTGGCCAGTTACTCATCACAGAAAAAATCTACTTCTTTGGGTGCAACCTTTCAAGCTTAAACCATCAGCAATCTCATTGCTGTAAGGTACTGGAAGAATAGGCACTAAAGCTAAGTGAACAGTCAGTCCATTCAATGACCAGTTTAATAACCTATCCGTTGATCAGCAAACAATTTAATCCCAATGCAGTTTTAACTATCAGGCAGCTGAGAAATGATTAGAAAAGATACAGATTTCTCATCATGGAATATGGAAGCCCTCCTAAATCTTGTGTCCTTCAGATGTACTGGAGTATTTCCATTATTTCCAGCTGGCAAAGTAATTAAGGCCACCACCACAGACTACCAGTGAGAGAACCAGGAAGCAAAGCATGTTCCAACCCTATAGATTCTGTGCAAGGACAGAAGGGAAATGGACACATACTTTTTGTTCCAGTGCTTGAAACTTTCAAATTAAAATCAATATGAAAAGAAGCCCATGGGGAAAGGAAAAGGGGCAGCAGCAATCTGTTATGCTGCATCTCATCAGTAGGGTATCAACACAGCCCCTCTGGACTGTGTTAAATCCTGATTTTCCTCTCCTCATCACATGTCACTTCCATGGTCTCCCCTTGCTGCCTGCATCTCTCTTCTACCCCTCCCTGTATATCAGAGGTGGGGTAACATATGAGCCATGAATTCTGGCCTCATGTTGCCAAATTCAGACTAGGCAAGAATAGAAATGTCCATTTGAGCACAACAGAGTGCTAAAAAGATAACAACAGACCACAAGAAAGATAGACAAGTGCCTTGAAAGAATTACACCACCATGTTGCAAATACACAACATCATATGGCAGTAAATTCCATATATTCACTGTCCCATGCTGAGGATAATGGGTGTTGTGGTCCAAACCATCTGGAGGACACTAGGTTGCAAGGAGCTTGCATTTAAAAATTAGGCATTGTGTGGTAAGAACTTTGTCGGATTCTTCAAGAAGGCCACATCTAGCCAGCCCTACTCACCACAAAGTATTTCTGTTTTCCAAGCTGTTCCTGGAAGTTGGCTCCAAAAACAGCAATCTGCCCATCATAGCGGCTGTTACGCTGTTGGAGGGTAGAGATAGCTGGCATTAGAGAACCAAGCAGGGGACACACTGATATCAACACAATTCACACCAGACATGCCCACATCTATTCTAACAGATTTCGGCTCCTAATGGGTGCAGGATCTGGTAGTGGGGCTAGAAGAAGAGAGCAAGATGTGCCTTCGACACTCTAGAGGTAGCAGAGGTGCTTGTGGTCTTCCATGGAGCAACGCAGAAGAGAAGAGCCGACGCAGGCGTTTAGCTGCCTTCAGTAAAGAGCGGTTAAGTGTAAGGGGCTGAGTGTATTGAGTGTCAGAACTCCTTCCAAGCTTGAAGCAGCACAAACAGAACCATATTCCTATCCTGTTAGTACTGGAAAAGTACTATCTGGAGAAGGGATCACGCACCGGAGCACAGTCTTCGGCTGTTAGCTGCTCCTCTTGTGGCAGGCATTCAAAGGCATCAAAATACAGCCATTGGTTCAGCGGAGTGAACTTCTGTGAAGCAGCCTGTGAACAGAGCAAAAGGGAGAAGCTGTTTTGTTCTCCTTTAGATGAGCCCTCTCTCAATATGGTGCCTCCCAGGTGGGCTGAACTATCACTCCATGGTCAAGGATGGTGGAGCAGAACATTTTCCAAAATGGAACATTCCTCAGTGCTTTATTTTTCCATGGGAAATGTCCCATTTCATAATTTCATTAGTAACAATGAATGGGTGCCAACTGCAAAATACAACATTAGGCAAGCCAGGCCTTCTCAAAGTTTGATTCATGTGTTTTAGGCAATCATTCCTAGCAATCATGTGAAACACACAAATGTCTCAGTGTGAAATAGAACAAATAAGTAGTGACAGTGAAACTGAAGGAGTTTCAACAACTCTAATAAAATACTAGAGTGATTGTTGTCAGTATATCATGCACAGTTCTCTGCCTTGCTAAAATTAATTAGGGCACTCTTCCCCACCCTGGTGCCCACCAGATCTGCTGGAGTACAACTTTCAGCATCCTCAGCCAGCTTTGCTGATTGAAGGATGCTGGGAATAGTTATCCAAATTCTCTGCAGGACACCAGGTCAGGGGAAGCTGAATTAATGTGACAAGAGTTTCCAGTACCTTGATTTCTTTCATTTATATAACATAAGTAAAGTTCATGCAATTGTTTTCCAGTTTCAAAGTGTCTCTGGCTGGCTGGGGAATGCTGGGGGCATTAGGGCTGCCTAGACCTGTGTATATTGTACCATAAAATGACTGTAACTTGGTAACAGATAGAATAAAATGCTGCTACTCCTCCATTTTCGTTTTGGTTTGCCACTATATTTGGCAGTACATTTTATTCTGCTAACTAGGATGCAAAAGAGTTCCTGTCTCCTCAGATTCTCCTACGCTTTACTCCTATTTTCAGCCAGGCTTGTGATGCTATAGGAAAGTTTAGCAATCTGTATGTCCTTCAGCTTGTTCTGCTATTTATCGTCCCTAGAGAATCTGCTGTTCCATCCACTCCAGAGAACAGAAATTTAAGAACTTGCTCAATCTAGACTACAAGATATCCAATCTTTAGTTACAGTTTTGTGCCAACTCTGAGCTATTTGGTTACCCACAGCAGTTTGCTTTTCTGTAGTCACTGTGTACGTGCGTGCGTGTGTGTGTGTGTGACAGAGGGAAAGCACACAGTAATGGCTTCAGTGACTGCAAGTTACTATTACTCTCACATTGAACTTGGAGGCAGAGAGCTAGGCATTTTTACACAAAGCTGTAAATCTGCTGCATCGACATTTGCTTTTGTTCCAGATTTGGGATTTGAACACTCCACAATGAGTATTCCCTTTCCTGCTTTTTTTTTTTTTTTTTGCTGTGTAACTCTAGAGGACACTGTGTGTAATGCAAATATGCAAGAAGAAATGGAATTTTCTTTTGCCATCAGAAATTGTGCCATTTTCCCTGCTCTAGAAAAACCTTATGGAATTGATGCTGTGGCTCCCAAGTTGCAAATGTATGTGGGGGTCTGAAATTAGATTTCCTGCTCACAGATTTAAAAAGTAACTTGGAAAACAGCTCAAAAAACTGGCTGGAGCAATATTATCTGAAATGAATGCATAACCATCTTTTTGCACTTTTGGTGTAATTCTTGGAGAGGAGTTTGCACAAGGGAGATTCATAAGCTGTGAGGTTAATCTGAAGCAAGAGTGAGCAACCTTTTTGGCCTCAAGGGCCACCTCTAGAGTTGCCTGCGGGGCTATACATGAGTGTGCATGCACACACAAGCACTTTGTACCCTCCATACCTCTATCTTGTTAAACTGCCGCTGTTTAGCTGCCGAGGATTGCTGGGTGGAGATGCCAGGGAGAATGAAAGCCTCTCCCAACCTGCTGTGATGGTGCTAATGGCAGCAGGACACAACAGGAATAGTAACTTGGGGGAGAACTTTGCTGAGGCTCTGCCAGCCTTCCAAGGAGAAGCAACCAAGGGTTACATGGCTGAGCAGCCAAGGGTTGCATGCGGTCCCACAACTACAGGCTGTGCACTCCTTATCTGAATGCGTGTCTCCCCTTCAAACATTAATGCAGGGCAGCTTTGCTCTATTTGGGACTAAAACTCTCAGAATTCCTGACCATTGGCATGCTGGCTGGGGCTGATGGGAGCCTTTGTTGCCCTAAAATACCCAGTCTGATGGGTAGCAGCTTTCCTAGGTCTCAGGGATAGAGGCTCTTTCTTTCCCTTGAGCACCTTTTGGCAGAAGTAGGAAGCTCCCTGCAGCCTCCTCCAGCTCTGCGCATAAGTGATCACGTGACCACTGAGACCAAGGCAGCCTTCACTGGCCTGGCCCCCTCCTGATGGGGTTGGGCCATGGGTCCAAGCATTCCTGCCACGGGCAATGCTGGCGGTGGCAGGTGGGAGTCCAACACCCTGGAGGGCACCAGATTGGAGAAGGTTGAATTAGGGCCTGAAATAGTAAAAGGACAAAGCAGTCTGGTGTCATCACCTGGAATCTTGGTGAGACCACCACTGATGCCTACCCTGAACCCTCCCTCGTGTCTTCTTCTGGCCTGATCCTCTGAGCAGCAGGACCACCTGGCCACCTTTTCTATTTCCCATTATTCCCCTGAGCCCATGTAACACCACCATGGCCAGATGCTCTCTCATCAGAGCCCCTGATAAAGAAGTAGCCCCACCAGAAGGTGCTTTGCCTAGCACCCCTTCCACCTGGCAGCTGGTGCTGAGCACAACATACTCAGACATCCCTGAGCTGACCGTTCTCTTTATGGCTCAAGGGACAGCTTTATAACTGGGAACAGAGGCATGTCTGCGTAACCGTGCAGTCCTGAGCCTGCCTGCTCAGAGGGAGGCCTATTGAACTCAGTGAGACTCATTCCCCACTCATTAAGTGTGTTTAGCATCCTTGCCCAACCTGGCACCCTCTGGATGAGTTGGACTGTAACTCCCATCTTCCCCAGCCAGCTGACAGGAGATGAAAGGAGTTGTAGTGCAACATAAGTAGACTGCATCAGGTCCAGCAAGGCTTGTGCTTTTATTCGATTGTTCTACAAACATGTATGTGACAAGTGTCATGCAATTACTAAGGAAGAAGCCCCTATCCCTGACATTCCGTGTGCCATCTGGGCTTTCCTGCCTATGGACACCCCAGATTAACATGACTTCTGCAAGGAAGGCGTCTCTTTGCAAGGAGCTGCCTGCCCGCAAAGGCCCCATGTGCTCCACCCCTGCATGTGTGGCCAGGCAGGGCGCCTGACGCCTGGGGAGCACGGCCAGGAGTGCCCTCATCCTCAGAAACTGCATGACAACAATGCACAAAGGGGGCAAAAGCTCCAGTGCTCCAGGGAACTTGTCCACACATCTCATTCCCGAGTTAGCACAAAAACTAAAATGAGCTCCCCCCCACCCCTTCCCTTTCCTTTCCTTTCCTTTCCTTTCCTTTCCTTTCCTTTCCTTTCCTACCATAGAAATAGCCACTGCAAATCTCTAGGTCAGTTGACTCATATCTGCACTCTTTTCAAATTACCTAATCACAAATCAGGTTTTTTAAAATAATCATCATCACCAGTTGACAACTAAGCCTAGCTGGCAAATCCCAAACAAAACCAGCTAAGTTGGTTTAAAGAGGGCAAGCAGTAACTTGACCTGCAACAGTGATACAGAAACAAGTGGGTCACCGGAGTAGGGCATCTGCCTTTCAGACCTGTGTACCCAAATGACCACTTCTGGTCTCCACTAGGTCAGGTTTGGGTTATTACTGAATTATGAGCAGCTTCAGGCTGTTCCTTACTTAGCAGCAGCAGCCACCGCCACTACTAGAATTCACATCTGAATAGTGCTTCCAACAGTTCCAAGAGTTTTGCATGCACTCATCCTCACAACAACAATTAATAATCATTAATTATTAGCATGATTTCCTCCCGCTTGAAGATGGGGGAGAGGCAAGCCTGGGAGAGAGCAACGTGCCTGAGACTACCAAGTAAATTTCTTCCAGAAGTACGAGTCCTTCAACCAACTCAAGAAGGCCTCTCATTACAAAGGCCCGCACTCACCTTCAGCACCTCTTGAGCAGCCAGGCCTCCAATGAAGGCGTTGACAGGGCTTAGGTCACCAGTACATGAAGATACAAATGTTCGGACCAGATCCTCTTGCAGCGGCTCCTCACTCACACGCAGGATCTCTGCCAGCCTCACCATCCTGTCCAGATCATTCTGCCAAGGAATGATGATGGATTAGACTGGGAAAGGACCTGTCTGAAGATGCCCCAATGCAGTACTGCTGAACGTCTTTCAGCCCAAAGTCTGAATTCCGTTTCAGAGAAATTTGTGGGGGCTACTTTCTAGTGCTGAGAGGAGGCACAGGTAAAATGGATGGGGGCAAAGCACCAGCATATTTTAGCTTATAGCTCTTACTTGCAGGAACTAAGCCATTGGAAAGGCCATTTGAACTTGTTGGTGGGGTGGGGTGGGGGGACATTGTGGCCAAGGGAAGAGGGCATTGGTTTCTGGGGAACCAGACTGAGAGTACAGGAGGGCTGGATTTGGTTCATAGGTCAGAGTGCTGGAACCCTGCTAGAATAGCAACTTGTAAGAAAAATCATGACATTCTGCAGAAAAAGGGGGCCCCTCTAGCATTGGGTTAAGAGCATCAGGTAGCCCAGGAGAAGGACATAATTGCTAGGACAAAAGAAAACCAGAGCAGCTTGCCTCATTCCTGGGCCTAGGAAATCTTTGCATCACATTCTGGAAGATATTCAGTGCCCGGAAAGCTGCATGGAGAGTGTAATAACGAGGCAGGAGGCTCCGAGCTGAGGTCTGGATCTTTGGATCACCCAAGGAGGCACACAGGGACTTCTGTGGTGGGGGAAAACATACCCAATGAGAAATCAGTATATTAGTAGTTTAAAGCTCCTCCTGCTGGTAACTAAGTCTTAGGAGAGACATTTCAGCATTTGAGAACAGGGTGGTGGTGGTGGAATGCACGGAAGCAGGAAACTAGCAAATGATTGGGGGTTGGGGGAAAGGGATGGGGCCAGGGAAATGGACTCCAAAGAGCTAGAGCAGGACTTGGAGAGCTAGACTTGGTTCCCTGACCTGAGGTTCCCCAATCCTGGTCTGCATGGAACAGAAGTAAGTCTCTGGCTTCTTGGACAGGGTTCTGTCCCATCCCTACCTGAAGATGTCATGGATGAACTCAGGATCTCCTGCATACAAAGGAGGTGCTCTTTCAACGAGTTACTATCTATCTATTTATTTATTTATTTGGGGATTTCTAACCCATTCATTACTGCACATCTCTGGATGGCTTACAATAATCACCAAATAAATACAAAATAATAATAATAATAATAATAATAATAATAATAATAATAATAGGTTATTAATGGGGCAGCCCATCATAGCTCCTTGCATGTTGGAGAACCAAGGCTGGCTCCTCTAGAAGACCGCAGCCCTGATCTCTCTTTCCTAGTAAAGTCACACTGTGCATCCCCTATGGAAAATTCTCAGCCATGGCAATCAGATTGCTCAAAGTTCAGCCCACCCCTGTGAAATAGCTTGAAAGGCAGGATCGTGTTTCCCCATTCCTGAGATTTCCCTAGCCCAGAAATGAGTACATACAAAGGAGTATTTCTGAGGCATCTTGACTTGGGTGACGATTCCACCAGACTGGTAGGGAGAAAAGGAAGACGTGTCTCCAATTTCCAAGGTGAATCCATCTACACAGAAAGTATGAAAACTGCACTTTCACTGAGCAGCTCAATAGGTCTGGAGTCAGAGCAGAGCCTTTCTGTCCACTTGCCACCAATGCAGCTTCTGCAGTGGGGGCTCTGCATTTCCTTGGGGGTATCCTTAACCACCAGGCGCTCTCATCTGCTGCATTCACAACATGCGCCTAATGCAGTCACCAGGCATCCTTTCCCCCCACAACACTGCACCACACCACCCTTCCGGGAAATTCCTCCCTCAGAACTGTTGCTGGCCAAGCTTCCTGACACATCTCCCACCTTCGTCCTCCTGTTCCCTTCTGTACCCATTTTAGGTGGAGGCTGGAATAGCCCACAGAAACGCTCTGTAATTCCAAGCGAAGTGTCTGATTGCACCACTGCCCTGACACAGAATTTTACGAGAGTGGTGAAGAAGGGCAGGTGACACTCATAGTCCTCCCGTTTTTCTCACTGTTTCATCCTTCTACACTTTTCTTAGTGCAAAAAATCAACTAGGAGAAAAATACAAAATAGCTGTGTAATGCCTTCTGATTGCTAGTGCTGAGACTCATCTGCCTGGAAAGACCCAGCAGGAGAAGGAAACCAAGGGCCCATTACCTTTCGTTTGGATTGGGCGAGGCTCAGCACCATTTAGTTCTGTCATCCCCTTCACTTGTGAGAAAGTTACATAGTCGCCATCCATAAAGTAGTTGCCAAACTCTCGCTCATCATCACGGGCCACTGTTAATATGCCGGGGTTACCCTGTGGGAAGAGAAGAGATGTGGGGCAGTGAGTGGTCCTGGCTCAGGAAGACATAGGTCGGGGACTGCCTTAGATCCACTGCATCCAGGGGGTGATGGGGGCCCAGAAAGAGAGATGGGAGCTTAGCAGCAGTATGCTAACAGGTAACATTATGATATGATAATAGCATATATTTGTTTTGCATTGCATTGCATAATATTATATATAATATATATGATAACAGGTGGGTTTGCGTGGCACGGCAACCTACCCTGCAAATAACCTATGCTATCTGGGCGGTTCTCAGAATAACCCACAGTACACCTGACAAAGGACTGGGCTTGCCATAGCTTGTTCTCCACTTGAGTGCTCCGGCTGGTATCCCAGTATCCCTCACAGCAAAACCCATTTTGCCTCCTTGTCCCCATTCCAATCGCAACCCCTTTTGATTTGATGCACCTTTTTTCTTTTCCCCCAGAGCTTAAAAAAGCACAATTGAGGTACTGACAGTTCAAGTATGGAAACTGAGAGCCTTGGCTGGGCTGTCCTTGGGGGTATCTGATGTCCAAGTCCCAACCCTGGACAAACATCCCAGTGCAGGATTACCTATTACCTGGTCAAAATCCCATGTTATAAGTGACTCACTTGACAGTTAGCTGTCAAATCACCTTTTCCCCAAAAAAGCAGGCAGGATGATGATGATGATGATGATGATGATGATGATGATGATTACATTTCTATGCCGCCCCTTGCTGAAGCCTCAGGGCGGCTTACAAACACCATACAATACAATAAAATACAAAAATAACAATATAAAATAAATAAAAATATAAAAGAAGTCACCCTGGCCAGATAAATAAGCAAATATTGTTAACAATTAAAGTGACGTTTAAATAAAAAGGTCTTCACCTGGCGCCAAAAAACAAGTAACGACGGCGCCAGGCGGACCTCTCTGGGGAGTGCATTCCAAAGATTGGGCGCCACTGCAGAGAAAGCCCTCCTCCGAGTACCTACCCTCCTAATTTCTTTCATGGAGGGTTCCCGGAGAAGGCCTCTACCGCAGATCTCAAGGGGCGGTCGGGCATATATGGATGTAAGCGCTCCTTCAGGTAACCAGGACCCAAGCCGTTTAGGGCTTTATAGGTCATAACTAGCACCTTGAACTGGGCCCGGACTTCAATGGGAAGCCAGTGAAGCTGACGGAGGACTGGAGTCACGTGAACATAACGCCCCATCCCCGTCAGCAACCTGGCAGCTCTATTTTGAACCAATTGAAGTATCCGGACTGTCTTCAAGGGAAGCCCCACGTAAAGCGCGTTACAGAAGTCAAGGCGGGAAGTCACCAGCGCGTGTGTCACCGTCGCCAGGCAGTCGTACTCCAGGTAGGGGCACAGCTGATGAATCAGCCGAAGCTGAAGGAAAGCGCTCCTCGCCACCGCTGTCACCTGAGCTTCCAATGAAAGCTCCGGGTCGAGGAGTACTCCTAAGCTGTGGACCTTGTCCCTAAGAGGGAGTGCAACCCCATTCAGGACCAGGTTAAATCCACCCTCTCCGAAGCCCGATCCGCCAACCAACAGGAGCTCCGTCTTGTCTGGACTGAGCTTCAGTTTATTGGCCCTCATCCAGCCCATTACCTCGGCCAAGCACTGGTTCAGCACAGCCACTGCCTCACCTGGATTTGTGGAAAACGAGAGGTAGAGCTGGGTATCATCAGCGTACTGATGATTCCACAGCCCACACCTCCTGATGACCTCTCCCAGTGGTTTCATGTCGATGTTAAACAGCAAAGGGGACAAAATGGAGCCCTGTGGTACTCCATGGCATAGCTGCCATGGCGCAGAGTCATAGTCCCCCAGCACTACCTTCTGGTATCGGCCGTTGAGATAGGAGCAGAACCACTGCAAAGCAGTGCCTCCGACCCCCAATCCCGCTAGCCTATCCAGGGGGATACCATGGTCGATGGTATCGAAAGCCGCTGAGAGGTCCAGAAGAACCAACAGGGACGCATTCCCTCTGTCCTTCTCCCTGCACAGGTCATCGTACAGGGCAACCAAAGCATATTCAGTACCGTACCCGGGTCTGAAGCCAGACTGAAATGGGTCCAGATAATCAGTTTCATCCAAGAGTGCTTGGAGTTGTCCCGCCACCACCCGCTCCAACACCTTGCCCAGAAACGGGATGTTGGCCACAGGTCTATAGTTAGTGGCCATCTCTGGATCCAGTGACGCTTTCTTCAGGACCGGTTGGACTACCACCTCCTTTAAAGGGGCAGACACCCGACCCTTCCTCAGAGAAGCGTTAACCACTTCCAAGGTCCAGGTCCCAGTCCCGTGCTTGGAATTATTTATTAACCAAGACGGGCAAGGGTCCAATAGGCAAGTGGTGGGACGTACTCGTCCAAGCACCTTGTCCACATCATCAGGCCGCAATAACTGAAATTCATCCAATAATTCTGGACCAGACGGCAGCATTGGCGTCTCCCCAGAAACCTTTGATTCATTAGTGGTGTCCAGCTCGTGACGAAGCTGAGCGATTTTCTCCCTGAAATGCCTGGCAAAGTCGTCACAGCGGGCCTTTGAGGGTGGAACCAGATCTTCCTTAGGACCCGGGCGAACCAGGCCTTGCACCACTCGAAAAAGCTCCGCCGGACGGCATTGTGAGGAGGCAATGGAAGCGGGAAAAAAACTTCTTTTTCACCGCCTTCACCGCCACAGCATAGGCCCGATAGTGGGCTCTCAAGTGTGTTCGGTCAGATTCATCCCGTGATTTCCTCCATCTACGCTCTAGCCGTCTCCCAACCTGCTTCATCGCCCGCAATTCAGGTGTATACCAAGGGGAAGAGCGGGCTCTGCCCGGTGGGAGAGGACGCTTAGGGGCGATCGTGTCCACAGCCCTGGTCATCTCCCTGTTCCACAGTTCGACTAGAGCCTCGACAGGAGCACCAGTCTTGTCAGCCGGAAACTCCCCCAGGGCTTTCAGGAATCCATCCGGATCCATCCGGCTCCGGGGGCGGACCCACACCATCGGATTCGCACCCTTACAGAGGGAGAGGCCGCTCTCAAGCACAAACCTCACCAGGAAGTGATCTGACCATGACAGGGGAGTCAAACATAAATTCCTCACCCTCAGGTCACCCTCTTCCTGCCCCGTTGAGAAAACCAGGTCCAGAGTGTGTCCACGTTCATGGGTTGGGCCGGAGACATGTTGAGACAGCCCCATGGCCATCACGGAGGCCATGAAGTCCTGAGTCGCCCCTGTCAGACCAGACTCGGCATGGAGATTGAAGTCCCCCAGGACCAACGTCCTGGGGGTCCTCAACACCAGGTCCAAGATGGTCTCCATCAGCTCAGACAGGGAGACTGTTGGGCAGAAGGGTGCACGGTACACCAACAGGATCCCCAATCTGTCTTGTTCGCCCAACACCAAGTAGAGGCACTCCAGCCCTGGCCTCGAAGGGACCTGAAGTCCCGTGAGAGAGATGGAGGCTCGGTAAACCAAAGCGACTCCCCCTCCCCTCCCCTCTGGGCGTGAACAGTGCTGAACCAGATACCCGGGCGGGCACAGTTGAGAGAGGGCAACATCCCCCCCCCTCTCCCGCCCAGGTCTCCGTTATGCAAGCCAGGTCGGCCCCCTCATCCACAGTCAAGTCATGGATGAGGGAAGATTTATTATTGACTGACCTGGCATTGAGCAGCAGCACCATCAGGCCTGAGGGGTGGCTGACAAGGCTACCTGGCACCCTCTGGCTGAGGGCAGAACCAGAAAGAGGGACAGGTGTCAGCCATCTGTCCCTCCTTCTTCTATGCGGACATGTTAAGCCCCCACCGCTGTAACGTCCATTGCCCATGACCACGCCAATGGCAGCGCCCGCGTGCTCTCCAGGAAACATAAATGTCAGCATGGCCAGGGACGACGCCATGAAACAGATTAAAACAGAATAAGATTATAGAAGCAGATTAAAAAAAAAAAACCTCCCCCTTCCCTAACATTCAACCGTAGGTGGGTCAATTACAACAAGAGCCCCTGGCCAGCCCAGGATGCACTTCTGCACTTTCCTGAACAGCTAGAGTCTGAGAGAAAGGGGAAAATGTGCCCTGAGGACAGTCATGGCAAAAAAGAAAAAGATGAGGCACTTGCCATGGACAGCGTATAAATCTTACCACACCTTTTTGTGAGCAAAGAACCTTTGTGCCTTTGCTTTCCATTGACAGCTTGTCATTTGACAGCTATAAAGAGAAAGCAAAGAAAACCCCTGTTCGCAGTCTCTGAGTCAATGCCCACTGTTGGTACGTGATACACTTTGAGAATAGTTACCCCACCTGGCTGAAGCTTCCAATTCCCACATCTGCAGAACTGCACCTTTATGCAAGTGTGGCTAAAATTGGCTCGCAAAGCCTCCAGAATATTTGTTCACATTGTGTGCACAAATTAAAAAAACGTTTGCTGGCCACTGACAGCTCCTCTAGTCTGACAGAGTTCATGATCCTTGAAAGATCTTTTTTTTCTTCAAAAAGAATTAAAGAATCAAAAAAGCCTAAAAAGGGCCCGCTGTCACGGTAGGGACACACACCAGTGCCAGTTGCCCCACAGTGGTCTTGGAGTACTTGTAGGGTACTAGTGCTGGGGGTGCCCTAGGCAAGCTTGCAAGAGTGGCACCGGCTTTTTTGCTACTCTTGCCAAGTTACTTGCTTGCTTCTTCCCAATACCCACAGTGGAATTGGCCTGAGCCCTACAACAACCCACGGGCTGTCAAAGCAGCTTATTGCCTGTGAACAAGCCACTTTCAGGATTTGCTCTGGTCTCATGACATGAGAGCCCACTGTAGCTTTTTACTTGCAATGTGTTGTGAAAACCCAGTCATTGTGTAATGGTGAAAGAAAGTACCTGGGTGATGTGCTGAATTTCAGCAGAGAATGGTTCAGCCTCCGAAGGGTCACATACTATGAAGCGTTCTCCAAAGTCACAGAAAAGCTGCCTGAAGACCAAGGCAGAAGAGGTTACACTTCTAGTCCTTCTGCTATTTCATATGACTCACTCAACCCACTGCTTCTCCCTCAAAAGCACCCACCCTCCAAATCACTTTCATTTTCAGGATCTCCCTGCCCACAGAAGCTTCCTCTTGCAATGCCTTGTTGGCATGCTGCTCGCTGCTATGTGCTCTCAATTCCCTTCTCATTCTGCCCACAGTCACTGATACACACCGATCACCACAGCAACCCCCTCTCAGGACAAGGAAGGACCCACTCGGAAGCACTTACGCAGCCAGGCCTTTTGTGTCAGCAAGGACAAAGCAAATGTTGTTGGCATGGCAGAAATCATTGACATTCAGCTGCTCCTCCAAAGTTGAGTTGGTCAGGACCACAACCTGTAGCGAATGAAGAGGTTTACTGCTGGATAGAATTGTGTGTAAACTGCAGGAGTGCTATCTGACCCATAAGGGAGATAAAAACACAAGATAACAGAGGGAGCACTTTTCAAAGAGATGCTCTGTAGGCATTCATTGGCTGGATTCACACAACATGAAAAACCATGGTGGTTTTTTAAACCTTTATTGGTCTGTTGTGTTGTCCAGACCAAGTTGTGGTATTTCAGCATGGTATGTTTAGTCTCTAGAATCCATGACAAGAAAAAATGGTATGCTCTATGGTTTCTGTTTACCATGGCGACATCCAAACCTGGCATCATGGTTTCCATGGTCCTAGTATTCAACTACCACAGAGTACCCTGGAAAGAGCAGCCACTCTAGGAGGCTCTCCAACCATCTGGCCTCTTCTACCCATCTCCGCTTAGTAACAGATGTGTTGCTGCTTGCCCTGCTCCTGTACACAGCTATTCCTTCCCACTCCCTTCCACCTTCTCTGCTTTTGTCCAAATTTCCACCTATCATTTTCTAGGCTCAGAGACGTTCTTAGCACCACCAAAAAGAGCAACCTTGGAGTCGGCCAGTCTCTGCACTGGTATCTGCCTGCTGTTGCTTTTGCAGGTGCCAGTCTGAGTTGTCATGCCTTCTATTTTCCTTCCAAAAGTATCTAGATACTTGGACACATGCTAGCACGGGGAAGAATGATACAATAGGGAGGGGAGGCAATTAGACCATAGCCACGGCTTTCAGACACCACATCTATTCTTGAGAAAATAACCAGTAGTTTCTATCTGAAGAAATCCTTTAAAGAAAGCAATTTTTTTTTCATATGCTTCTGAAATAAAGATACACTTTATTATAGAAGAGTATTTCTTGATGAGAGGTTTTCATTTGGGGCTGGGAATACTTATCCAGGTTAGAATAAGGACTGCAGTGTATTCCAGTACTTTTTGTGGGGAATGTTCTGATAACAGTGTGGAAGAAGATTGAGCAGGGGCTCAAACATGTGGGAGTTTGTATTTTCTGGAAAGAGGGAGGAAGCCTGGCCTTCATGATCCAAAGGGGTTGAATGGGCACATGAATGGGAGAAATGAGAAACTAGCATGTAGGACTGGAGGATGCAGGAAATGAAGTTAATGGAGAAGAAATGCAAAGCAGGGACTGGCATGAAGAACTGGAAAGGTAAGAGCCAGTGCAGTGTGGTGGTTGAAGTGCTGGACTGGGGATCTGGGAGATCTGAGTTCTAATTCCCATTTTGTGGGAATAATTCAGCCATGAAAGTCGCTGGGTGCCTTTGGGCCAGTCACTCACTCTCAGCCTAGCTAACCTCATCAATTTGTTGTGAGGGTAACAAACACAGTGGAGGAGAACTATGTAATCTGCCTGGGTTCCTCACAAGAGGAAAAAAGGTAGGATATAAATGAAGGGTAATGTAAAAGAAATGTAAGATCAACAAGACAAGAAGGAAATAAAGGACCGATAATGGGATGTCAGAGAATTTTGGGGATTGAAACCAAGCCAAAAAGAAGGAAAGGGAGGTGAATGTAAGCCAGCATGGATGGATTCCAGAGGATGCCATCTCTGGGAATGGGTACTGCCTGGAGCATCCTGAATCAGGAGGGATAATATGGGGGAGCAGGGAGTGCCTGGGATATTAGAAGACAAAGACTGCTGGAGAAAGGGGAGTGTGGTGGGCTGTCAAAAAGACAAGCCTCCATGTGTGCCCATTAAGGTGGGCGTAGGAGACACTTTGCCTGGTGCAGGAAACAAGAAAATGCTGGCTGCAGGCATGCGCAGGGAGGCAGAGGGCCAAACCTGCCTATGCACATGCTCTCTGTGGAAAAAAATGCCTGGCGGGGCAGGGGGAGAACCAATGGATATGTTTACAATTCTTGCACAAATTCAAGCCTCAATAGTCTTCAGTGAGGGTCGAGGGAGATAGGCGAGACTGTGGGTAAAGATGCTTAGGCATGGAAAATGCAGCAAAAAAAGATGATTCCTGTGGGCAGTTCCATTTGTTAAAAGGAAGCTGTGGCTGAGGGAGACAAAGAAGCACTGGGAAAGGGAGACAGAGGGATCACCCAGGGAACTGTGCAGACAAGGGGAAAGAGGCAGGTGATGTAGGCCGGGAGCAATGCACTTCGGACTGAATTTTAGCCATGGTGACTTGGTGAACCAGATAGGATAGGAGCCAACAGTGGGGAGGATGGAAACCACAATCATACAGAAACCACCTCATCTATCTGTGAGACAGATCGTGATTAAAAAAACATGAAACATGGTAACCTTCAGGATTGCTCACGATGATGTGTGAACCCATCCAATGTCAAGCGAAGAGGAAGCCTGCTGCAAAATAGAACTACATATACATCCTAGCTGACAACATCCATGAGAAATTAATGGCAAGACCTCCCTCTAGTGTTTCAAGTGCAGTTTCAGAACAAAAAAGTAATAAACTATTGTGGATGAATCACCACCAACTGAACGCCATCAGAAACAACCAGACATCCATCTCCAGGGTAGGTATCTTGCTATTGTAGGGCAAAGAATACACGATCTCCCATTAGTTTAGATTGGATTAGAAATAGCACCCTGGTGCCATCCAGATGCTTGGGACTACAACCCCCATTGGTTCAGGCTGGTATGACTAGTGGCCAAAGATTATGGGAGTTCTAGTCCCAATCATCCGGAGGACATCACACCACTTACCCAACTTGAGATGTTCTATGAGGGATACAGAACTCTAGGCGAAGGACCAGATCGGTTCCCAAGTGACCACTCCCCCTTCCCCAGTCACTGATCACTGGGTGATTTTCCAGTTTTTGAGTAATTTCCCCCATTCTAAAAGACTGAAATGCTTCTCCTCAGGAAACAAAAACTTTAAGCTAAAATATGTTGGCATTTTATCGCTAGTCTTTTACCTTAGGCCATGCTCACCACTGGGACATGGCTCCAAATCTCCACAAGGGAATTTTGTCCTTAGCCAAAGAGGTTTGCGCCCCTTTGCTTCCTGGGGAAAGTGTTGATAAATCACCCCGTGGCGATTTATTTCTAGCATCGGTTAGTCCTGCTCTCACTTTGGTGAAATGGGACACAGTGCTTTGACCCTACCTTAAAAGAAGACAAGAAGCTTTCTGTCAGCTCCTCAACAGCCACTTTCACAGACACATTGCTGTTTAAATTGGCAAGGTGATGCCTGGAGACCTCTGCTCGGTTTTTCCCCACAACATTCTCTGATAGGTAGAACTGCAGAGACAAAGCAATGCTAAAATGATTCACTTGCACCAAGGTTAAGAGTGGGGGAAAGACTATACTGTTGTTATATGGAGGTACTTGATACACTTTGGTACAACTAAAGCTGTGTTTGCTCCTTTGTTGCCTGTTCTCCCACCAGATTAAGTACACTGGTTGAGAGCAAAACCAAGATTTGGACCCTGGCTCTGTTCCTCCATCCTCAAATATGTACTTAAAGTAGGATTGTCCCTCTATCTGCATTGGCACAGTATGACCAGGGCTGCTTGCATTCCACAGTTGCACCAAGCAAGCCTGGAACTGGGAACTGGAAGCAGAAAGTAGTGTTGTGAGATACCAGCCTTCCTTAGCTATTTTGCAAGATCAAGACTTATGGACTTCATTTTTAAAATTTATGAATTGCTCTTCATTAGAGAGAGGAGAATCAGCAAGGCTTGATCTCACTGCATTTTCCTAGCTTCCATATGAAGCCTCTGTTGCCTCATTCTGTTTCCAAATGTTATTTTGAAGAGGAGAAATGCAAGCATATTTAATGAAAGGAAACAACATTTTTATCTGTCTCTACTCTTCATCTACAAGACATCCTGGAGCAGTACAAACAATGTTATAAAAAGACAAGCGCAATGTCTCGAGTGCATGCTTGCAAAGATGTCCTTAAAAATGTGTGGGCACCACCTAGTGAAATTTAGAGAGCCAAAGCAACATTTGAGAGGGCTTGCAATGGCCAAACGGTACTGCCTAACACAGTCTTTGCCCCTTCTCATTGCTGTAAGAAACAGAATGATGCGGAATGTGTTACCTTATATTGGCCCATGTATCCCACTTCTGAGAGGCACTTTTTGTGGGGGTTATTCCTAACACAAGCTGGGCATGTTGCTACAGCAGGACTGCAAAGATACTACTCTAATGTTTACATTGACATAAACTGAGGATGTGGAACAGTAGGGCACAAGGTGATGAGTTTTAAAAGACCCTTTATGATCTACAGAGCCTAAGGAGACAGCAATTCTTGTCCGGCTTTTAATAAGAGACTCTTCAGACTTCCCAAAGTCTGCAACCTTGATTTAATCTCATGACTAGATTACACAATAACCAAGAAAACGCATGAACTACCTACAGCAATCTCATTGTAGCAATTCAGTGAGCCACAACCTGGGATCAAGTCATGAGTTCAGTGACTTACAACTTAACTTGGCATTTGGGGATATAAAAGGTAATTGGAACACCATCACAAAATTCTGCATTTCTTGGTATAACTACTTTACCAATTTATTTTTAGACAACTGGCATCCTCAGCCAGTGTTATCCCAAGGAACTAATGAGGGTAGGTTTACAGGAAAAAAGTATAGGACAACAATCTGGTAATGGAGAAATATATTTGATGTGAACAGCTTAGAACATAATCTTGGAGCATCTTGCACAGACCCAATATCAATGTTAGCAGTTCAGAGGCAAGACTACAAACACATGAGTTTGATCCAGACTCAGTCATACTCACAGTATACCCATTGTAATCAATGACATTTCAGGGAGTTGTGACTAATTCAAGTCCCGTTGATTAGAATTGGTCTACTCTTAAATATAAAACAGAGTCCAACATGCACATGCCTACATGTTTAGAAATAGCTAAAGGAAGTGTAGGGTAGCTATGATATATGTGTATGTGGCCTCAAGGAAGGTGACAACAACCTATGCCTACATATAGGTACGTGTGAGGGTGCCACACGGAGGTGGGTAGAGACCCATTTCCCCTGTGGAGGAAGGCAGGACACATTCCAATGGAGCAAAGCCAAGGTTCAATTTGGATGCCAGGAAGTACTTCCTGATGTTTAGGACCCTGAGAATATGGAATGGGCTTCCAAGGGTAGTTGAGGGTGTTCAAGGATAGGCTGGACATGCACATGGTAGACATGTCATCAGTGGAGCCTGCTGGAGCCAGGGGTCAGACTAGATGGCCTGGGAGACCCCTTCTGACTGGCTCTCTTTCTATGTTTCTAACAATAGTAGCATAAAATGCCACAGGATATGTCAAAAGTGCAAGAGGGCTCTATGCCTCAGGCTTCCAGATTTGCTAAGCAAACAGCGACTTGCAGTCATTGTGGTAGTTAAAGTGCTGGACCTGGAAAATCCAGGTTCTAGTCCCAACTCAGCCATGTGGCTCACTGGGTGACTTTGGGCCAGCCACTTCGTCTTAGCCTGACCCACCTCTCAGCATTACATAGAAACATAGAAACAAAGCAAGTCAGAAGGGGCTTCCCAGTTCTGTTCTGACTCCCAGCTCCAGCTGACTCTGTTCAAGACATGCCCACCATGTGGTTGTCCAATCTTTCCTTGAACACCCTCACCTGACATTTGACGAGTACTTCCTGATATCCAACCTGAAGCCTGGTTCCTTGAGGTTCGCCCCATTGGCAAGTGTCCTGCCCTCCACTGCAGGGAGGAACAGGACATGGCCCTGCTCCACATGACATCCCCCCACAAGCTGCTAAAAGATCCCCTCAGAGTCTCCTCTTCTCCAGGCTGTAAAGACCCAGTTCCCTCAATCTCTCCTCATGTGTCATCCCTCCCAACCTGGCTACCATTCTTGTGACCCTGCACTGATCCGATTCTAACCTAGCTATGTCTTCCCTATAATGGGGAGCCCTGGACTGGACACAGTACTCCACTTGTGGGTGTACCAGAGTTGTGTAGAGCGGTATCAACACCTCCCTAGAGGTGTTGTTGTGAAGATAAAAAGGAGCTATGTAAGGTGCCTTAAATTTCTCATAAGAGGAAAACAGGTAGGATACAAATACAATGTGGTGATGACAATAATAATAATAATAATAATAATAATAATAATAATAATAAACAGTATACCTGTGAGGAGAGGTCACTCCACTTCACATTGTCCTGGTCATGGAGCGTGACAGAGTTCACTCCTGCAAGAATAATATTCTTGGCAATCTCCACCCCCAGCCCTTTCATTCCAGAGACCAGCACGTCTGCCATGGACATCTTCTGCATGGCCTTATGGTCCAGCGTGTAGCTAGAAAGAACATCTCTATGTTAAGAACATGGTGAGCATGCAAAGCTTGCACAATATCACACCCCAACTTCACCTCCACTGTTTCCTACTGCTCCCCAGCCAAGTATTGGGCCCTGCCATCACCGATCCCACTCCCCATTAGCCACCTTAGTCCCTCCTTAGTTTTCTATTGCATCTCACTCTTCTTCAGAATCCTATTACTGCTTACTCTACAACCTGGTCAGACTACAGCAACCCTATCAGGCCCTCTGGTCCACATCCCTTTGGAGCTCAACCAGAACACCTCCTGCTTCCATGTCATATATCACAAGACTCACAGTTGGCGAGAGTACAGCTCCTCGTCGATCTTGGGAGAGCTCTTAGAGGTACTCATTCTGCTCCTGCCCATAAGAAACAAAAGACTGAGGTTTGAAACCAGGTTTTATGAAAGGGTACCTGCACCTCTATGAACTCACCCACCTAAGCATTAAGATCAGCCTCAGTGGCAGCCCCACCTCCTGAAGACACTTTTACTCCAGTCTTCATTGATTAATTATCATATTGTGTGCTTAAAGGATTTTAACTGTAGCTGCTTCTAAATTAATGTTCTTAATTTTTTTCTTATTTATTTCTATACTGCCCCTCAGTCAAAGTTCTTTGGGCAGTTCACAATAGCACATTTTTAAAAATAGAAAGTATACCATTAAAATGTATTAAAACATATAAAGGTTAACAATAAAAAAAATCAGAACCACATTTAAAACAGAAAAATATAATAAGCTGAGAAAAGCCCTGTCTAACAACTAGGAGGTCCCATATCTGTATGTCTCAAAACCTGTGCAAACAGTCTTGTTAGAACAATGGCTCAAAGGCAGGTTATAATTCTCTGAAAGAATTAATGAATTAATCTATTGAGAAAATTCCTTCCTAACTCTCCAATAAGAATATGCTGCGCTGAGTGCTATTAGGACAAAGTCGCTCAACACAAATCCTGACTGGAAGGCTCTGCCTTTGCTTCCAAGTTAGTGAAATTTGGATGTCAGGTCATATGCACAAGCTTGTGTGACAAGGAGGTTTCACACATCCATGTCTGACAATGGCAGGGCAATATGTTTGCTTGCCCTGGTATTAAAGTGAAACAGCAACCCCTCTGAATTTCAGGAGTGACTTATGCAACCAAAGAACAAGCAGCTCCCCAATACTATAAGTCACTCCTGAAATTCAGAGGGGTTGCTGTTTCACTTTAATACCAGGGCAAGCAAACATATTTTCACATTCTTGGGCTCTATAACTAACCTTAGATTCCCTAAGCACTGATTGGACCACAGATAACTGTTAGTCCCGTTTATGCCAAAATAAACATCAAGAAACATGAAACATATTCTAGTGTCTTTAATCTTAGGAATTATATTTAATTCCAAGCAGATATATGAATCCTACTTTTCACTGTTTTTAAAAATTAAGAAGCAATCTGTTTTAATGCAAATATTAAAGAATTCAGTTTTTCCTATATCATTTCTATTTTATGTTTTATCATATATGTCTAGGTACCTGTTTCTCTCTCTCTTTCCAGTCCTCTTTTTTTCTGTTTATTCTTCCTTACTCATCTTTTTTTTAATGGTAAGAAAATACAAAGGTAAATGATGGTAGTCATGGCTATGATCCATCCCAAGATGGCCCACCACCCCATTTTGGTTCCCCAAGACATTCAGGTGAAAACTATGTGGACCATGCACAGAACATGACTTAAAACAAAGGTCTGCAAATGAAGAACTGCTTGGGTTCAAGGGTGGAGTGTGTGCAACTGACCGGCTACTTCTAATATTTCATATTGAGTTGAACTAGACTTATTCAAAAGTAAATGTATAACTAAGCTTGAATTTGGATGTAGATTTCGGGCTATATCCAATATTGGCCTAACTTAAGTCCTATTCATTTCAGAAGATCTACTCTATGTTGGACTCACACTGGATACACCCCTTCCCATTTGGAATCCCTTCCAGGCACACTGTGCTACAGCCTACAATCTAGTTTTAGCTCAGCCCAAACCAACTGTGCAAGAAGAGGGTGCCCCTGAGAAACAGGTGTTTTGGACTACAATTCCCATCGGCCCCACCCAACACGTCCAGCGGTCAGGGGCTATGTTTGTTGTCGTTCAAAATACCTGGAGGGCTTCAGGTTGGTGACGACTGTCCTAGTTCTTAAGTGCCAGCACCAAACTCAGCGACTCAGCGGTCAGATCCTGCAATATGCCGCTTTCCGGATTGTTGGTCTGTAATGCTCCACGGGAGGCACAGCGGAAGGCTGCAGCAGCAAGGAAGAAGATACGTGCAGTGCAATGCTATTTCCAGAAAGCAATGGGAAAACCGTACTTGACTGTAGGACCCTCACATTAACCAGTCACAGGTGAAGATCTCACTGCTGCTGAGCAGTGTCTCTCGAACCCGTCAAAGCCGAGGACTCGTCCTCCCTCCCGCCGCGCAACGAAAGTGAAACCTAAAAGCATTTCTTAGAAAACGGAAGGGTCGGATTCCTTTGCATCAGTTTTGAACTAGGCATTCAGGAAGCCGAAGGCAGTGTTTGCAGCTGTTTGTTAGCACACATTCGTATTTTCTGCCCTGCCGCCAAACGGTGCTCGAGGAAAACCAACACCAGTTCTTCGAAATAAGACGCCGCAGCAGTAGCGCTATGGGCACTGGTAGCCCTGCAGCGGGAGGGAGGGAGTGCCTGTGAGCTGAGGAAGGGCCAAGCGTGGGCTGGCGGTTTTTTCATATTTTCACAAGTTACGGGTGCAATCCTGTGCAAATTTAGACGGAAAAAAGGGTCTACACCTGCCAGCGGGCCCAGCCAGCTTAGCCGGGAGGTGTAGGCGTTTTCCCTCTCTAAACTTGCATAGAGTTGCGTCTTCAATGGTGTGGGCGGAGGGTGCTGTTGCACTCACGTCCTGCACTTGGGATCCCACAGGCAGCTGGTCGGCTACTGTGTGAACAGAATGCTGGACTACAGGGACCTTTGGCCTGATCCGGCACGGCTCTTGTGTCCTCATGGGCGTACGGTCAAAAATAGTCGCAAGGACTTTGTCAACAATCCAGTAGACTTTTCAAAAAGTTTTCATGGTGCGCGGAGTGTACCTGTTAAGTCTAAAGATGCTTAGGGTGGCGTTGGCAGAGGAGCCACAGCTTCCCTCCCTCCTCCCCTTCTCGTTCCAGAGTGCACAGCAGGATGATGGCTCCATTCGAAAATAGTCACGAACAAGGAAGTCACGAACAAGCAGGGCTTACAGACTAAGATCAAGCGATAAGGGTGCGCACCTAGCCTTACGAACCCGAAAGTAAGTCCCGTTGTGTTCAGTGGGGCTTAATACGTCAGGACACTGCGTCGCCCTCCGTTGCAAACATTGAGGGCAAGCGGGGTGGGGCCTGCCAAAAAAACAGAAAAGAAAAGAAAGGCGCATGCGTAGTGTGACTCGAGTGACAGTTTTCCGAAGCTGGTGGCGCAGCGCGTCTCCTTGGCAGCGCCATTGCGCGGACGCCGGCGAGGGAGGGACGGAGGGAGGGAGCGAGGACGGATGGCGGCGGCGGCGGCCGAGGAAGCTGTGGCGGCGGCGGCGGCGACCGCGACCGGTTCTGGGGAATGGGAGGCCCCTACGCGACTGCTGCGGACTCTCACTTGGCTCGGGCAGGAGTTCAGGTCGGACTGGGAGGCCCAGGACTTGCGGGCCGCTCTCTTCCAGCTGCTTTTGCTCTGGCTGCTAGTGAGCCTGCTGGGCATCCAGGTGGCCTGGCGGGTCTACGGAAGCACCGTCACCGGCCTCTACTACCGGCAAGGTATGGCTTGGGGGCCCATAGAGGTCGTTTTGGCCGACGGCCCTCCACAGCTTGGAGGTGACGCTCTTACCATGTTCAGATAAGGCCCTTCGTACACGAAACTATTGCACGTTAGTCCAGTCTTTCTCGATCATCCGCAGGTATTTGAGTGGGCTTTGCATGGGTAGGCTCCTTTTTGATCATGATGCCTGATACGTTGACATAAGGTGAACTGGAGCAGAGAATACCCTGTCTCACTACCTTATGAAGATTCCCCTCAGAAGAGTACCATCTCCACAGGACTGCAGTGGCTGGCACCCGAATGTGTAATCATATCATTCAGAAGCATTCTGCTTCTGGCCAGGTGAAGCAGGCCTGGCGTTTGACTTGTCAAAACAGATTTGCGCTATTGACCAGCTGAATACTAATTTTGTTAGATTAACAACCAGATAACTAGAAATCAATCAAATCAAAATCATTTGACAGCCTTTTGTAGACTGTATATGTGGACTGTTTACATGTAACAACCAAGGTTTGATTCATTCCAGCTGCTGCTGGAATGAATCAGACTGTTCTGCTGCTTCTGCCCCAGCAGCTGCTGCCTTCACTCTGCATAACCTGCTCCATGCAAGCCTTTTACTCTTCCCGCTCACAAAGCTGCCTCTGCATGCATCCCGGTGAGCCCTTCTGCATCTTTCCCCCACAGCCTTCTCTGTTCTGCTTGTGTCTTCCTCCCATCCATCTTCACCCCTTCCCTTCTCCTGGTCTTACAGAGGCAAAGTCTGCTGCCTTTAGCCTGTTATAATCTGCAAGACTCAGACATTCTAGGGATCAGTGTCTGGTCTCTAGTTCCCTGAGGTGTGTCCAATGGTCAGTGCTGCTAGCAAGAGAGCTGTATGGGTTGAGTGTGCATAGCTCTGGCAAGAAGACTTGGTGGTAGTCCTGCCTGTCAATGGGGACACCTATTGCCACACCAGCCACCCATGTTTAACACAAATACCTCTCATGCCACTGAGCTAATATTCCATAGAGGGCCATATCTGAGAGTGGGAGAACCACCCTCTTCCCAAAACTACCTGATGCCCATTTCAATGACCAGACTCTGTTGTGTTTCGTAGCCTTGCTTGTCCAGTCTCACTGGATTGCACAGCCACAGAACAGGGCATTAGACTTCTGCTGGTATAAGACAGCTTCCTGAGTTCCTTGTGGAGAATTACAGTTTAATCCTAGTAATTAACAAGATGATTCATTTGCAAGGTCTGGTTGAAAAGATGACTAATATATGTGACTTTATTTTCATGAGTTAATTTTCATAATTAATACTGTCTGAATTGTTTAAAAAGTCATAGCAAACCAGTCTGATCTCAGTACTTGAGAAGAAAAAAAGTTAGATAGCAAAGATAATTTTTTGATAACATATTTTCAGTTTAATTCAAACAAATCAATTTAAACTGAAACAGCTTGTAAGATTAATGGGTTTTTTAAAGTTAGTAAAATAAATTGGCTTAAACCCAGACACTAAGTGAACGACTTAAGGTGCACTCCTATACAAGTTTTCACATGCAGGCCTTTTTTCTGTTTAAGCTTATTTAATTGAACTGTTGCCATAAGGTTCAAGGAAATTTGTCTGCAACATTTGCCTGACTTTAAATGGACAGCATCATAATACTAATTCATGCTATAAGGACAAACTGTCCAGTAAATGTCAAGTAGTTACAAGCAGTGTGTCCTGGATTGTTCTATGCCAAATGCTCTCTTTACATGCAAGCCAGGCCACTGTCAATTCCCTGTTCTATTTTATGATATAGAGATAGTCCATAGTCTGTCCCACCTACAGGACACTCTGCTACAGTGCTGAGCAATGAAATGAAGAGAGAGAACACTTCAGGACATACTTGGGCTTCAGAAATATCTCCTGTTCTTTGGGAAGACATTACAGGCTTGGTTTGCCCAAGACATTTTGCTGCCTGAGACAATACACACACACACACACCACCATTCTATCTATAGAAGTTGACCTGACTGGCAACTGAATCTTATTTCAACACCAGTGATGGGATAGTAACCTGCACCTAATTTGAAGGCAGCTGGCCAACTACAGGGTGCAGGAACTGTATGCAATGCACAACCCTGATTTAGAAGGAAGCAACTTCACAGAGGAAGTAGTATATGAACTGGGCATATTTTATTTTTCCAAAAATAACCTCAAAATCTAGATTAAGGGAGCATCAGGTTTCCACAAAGGTAAATACCTACAAGTGTTAGAGATTGCAAGTTCTTAACATAACATGGCCTTGGTGACAATCACTGAGACCACAGCATAGAAAACATTCCCAGTTCTTAAGAACTAACATCAAATCTTGAAAAACCTGTTGAAGCATACTCTTGGGCACAAAAACTAATGTCAAAGTGAATATTAGTCTTTTAGATACTGCAGAACGCCTTCCTTTCAGTATCCCAAGGCAACAACTGGGCACAGTGATGACAAGTATTTCCAATCCCTAGGTGCCAAAAACAAATTTCCAAAGATTCAGGCAAGCTGCTTGCCTCTTGATATCCTGTTGCAATGGCAGGAGATGCTGTCATTTCACCCTTCTGCAAACTCTCCCATAAAAGATGAAGGAGCTCTGAACTATGAGAAGGCTATCATTTCAAGGCACTGTTTGTGCACACTGTAATATCAGTCATGTGTCACAAGAGCAAAGGGGGCCTTTTAAAAGATATTAGTGAACTAGCAGGGCTCCTGAAATCAGGTGAGAGAAACCCGGGTGAGCAATACTGAATCTGCTGCACACTATGGGTGCCTTGATCCTTCCCTCTGATGGGAAGCAAGCCTTGAAGTATGCCTTGCCATAAGAAAATACTGATCTTAAATTAATGTCATTTCAGCAGGAACAGTTTAGGACCTAAATGGTACTTAACTACTGGTCAAGTCCAAGCACATTGGACAGATAAAGGTGGCCTATCTTGTTCGATATTGCTTGATAGTGGTTTTTCAGGCTCTCAGACTGGTGGACCTTTTGGCCCCAGCTACAGATGTCAAGGGATTGACTGGGATCTCTTTCACAAAACACAAAGCCTTCTGCTTTAAGCACAAAGCAAAGCCTGAAAAGTGAGAAGTCCCTTCAGTTAATGTTTTCTAAGCCCATTGGTATGAATTGGTATCCATTTCCCTGAATGTGATCCCATATTGCACTTAGAATACCAAATATATCATAATTAGTTCTTTGTGAACATAGAACTAAAAGCCAAATAGAGTTGCCACTTTAGGTAGTGCCAGTCAGCATCAACTATAAAATTAGTTTTTTACCCTTCATTTTCAACAATCCTTTCTTCTTAAACCTGAGCAATGCACTCTAATGTCACTGGCTCCTCCTCCTTTGACATCTTAAGTTCTAAATTATCATGTAATTTAAGTCTTCATTAATGATATTTTCTGGTTTCTATTACATTTCCCCCACTTAATTGGGGTAATACAGGGGTATGGTACAGGGTTAAAGCCAAATTGTTTTGTTGTATTACCTGGCCATCTAGGAAGCTCTTCTTAAATTTCCAGAAATACTATTCATCTGATTCTACACTTCCTTAAAAGTTAACTCACCTCAGAGTTTTGCAGAAACACCCCCCTCACACACACTCTCACGCTGAAACATTACAAGACCCTTGGCCTTGTAACAGCGCAGAACAGCTGCCTAGAGAGGTGGTGGGCTCCCCCGCACTAGAGACATTCAAAAAGAAACTGGACAGCCATCTGAGCAGGATGGTGTAAATTTGTGTCCTGCAACAGCAGGTGGTTGGACTCAGTGGCCTTCATGGCCCCTTTAAACTCTACTATTCTATGAGTCTATGAGAATTTAAATCTGAGAAACATTCTAAGATAACTTTCCTTCCAGATATGTTGGACTATAACTTCCATCATTCCCAAAAATCCATCTCAAAAGGGGGCTGCTTGTGCTACATACCAAAACTCATCTTTACTGAGCCTGCAATGGTCTGGTGAATCACAGCACAGTCCTATGCATGTTGAAGGCGCTGGAACAGTAACAGTAATGGAGATATTTAATTTAGAAAAAAGGAAAGTAAGTGGAGATATGATAGAGCTGTTTAAAATTTGGCATGGTGTGGAGAGGGAAACATTTTTCTACTTTTCCCATAACACTTAAACCTTGGGACATCCCATGAAGCTGACAGATAAAAGCAAGTACTTCTTCACCAGTATGGAAGTATGGAATTCACTGTCACCAGAAGTGGTGATGACAACCAGTCTCGGTAACTTTAAAAGGGGATTTGCCAGATTCATTCAGGAGGAGGTTCTCAGTGGCTAAGTATGTGCCACCTCCTTTACCAGTCCTGGAATGCCTGCATATACCAGTTGCTAAGTGTTTGGGCAAACAAAACTTCTTCACGCATGGATGCTTGACGGATCCTGTGGACAGCTAGTTTGTTACTGTGTGAACAAAGTGTTGGACTAAATGGGCCTTTGGGCTTACCCAGCATGGCTATTCTTACGTCTGCTCTGAAATAAGCCCTGTTCAGTTAAATGGACCTTACTCCCACATAAGTGGAGTGTACTCCCACATACTGGATTGTAACTTTACTGAAATGTCTTAGTTAAGACGGTTCCCTAATTAACATGGGAAATGATTTTTAAGTGGTGAAATTGATTGATGTGTGAGACCAGATGTTTGGCTTGAAACAAAGGCCAATTGCCACATCAATCAGTCTGAAATATTCATAGGGGATTGAACCTACATCCCACAAGGAATGAGGATTTGAATCCAATTTTGCCCAGGCAGTTTATGCTACTGTAAGGTTGAAATAGTATGTACTATGTTACAAACTGTTTTGCATTTTGGTAAAATTTTGGCTTTGTTTTGTGAGCCGCCCCGAGGCTTCAGCGAATGGGGCGGCATAGAAATTTTCTAAATAAATAAATAAAGGTAAACCTTCATTCCTGTGTGCTTGCTTTTGCATCCCATAATTCCTGCTTAGCCTATAACATCTGTAAATAAATTGCAAATACATCATAGAATAGTAGATTCGGAAAGGGCAAGGAGGCCATCAGGTCCAACCACCTGCTCAGTGCAGGACACCAAGTTAAACCATCCCTCTCAGATGGCTGTCCAGTTGCATTTTGCAAAGAGAGAACCAGGGCCATTTGCCCTTCCCTAGCTTCCAAAGGCATGTTGATGCTGAAGTCCTACACAAAGGAAATTTCACTCTGATCCCAGATTTATGAACATGTTTCAGCCCCCTAAGAAAAACAGGTACTTCCTAAAGTAGAAAAGGGGCAGCTGAGATGTCAGCCTGAGTAACAATGTTCTCTCTTCTTTTCAATTCAGGCCCTGGAGGACAGAATGGAGGGACACCAGATGGATCCTCCCACTTTTCAGTGTGGTGAGTAGCTTCATCTTTGGGCTTGCAGCACCTCCAGATGACGGACTGCATATTCGCTTTGGAGATAAAATGCCAGAGGAATGCAGGCTCTGCTCTCCCTATCATTTACTAAAGTTGTTGGTCTGTGTGCTCTATTTTATTTTACTTTTAACTCAGGGAGAGCTCAAGCGATGAGACCATGAAAACTCATCGGGAATGATGACAGAGGTGACCAAAACCAGGCCATTGTTGTTCCAGGCTCCTCTGGGAGCATAGTGGATGCTGATGCCTGCCTGCCTGCCACCCACCCAGAGGCCTTGCTCTTTCAGTACTGAAGACATTGTGGCCATAGTCACCCTTTTTCCTATCCTGTGGCCTGGCTGAAAGCAAATACTGGTGCTGTGAGGACTGCTGCTCTTCATCCACTCACTGGGCACTAAGTCTCAGGATTGCTCTACTCAGGTTGGGGAAGAAGCTGCCATTTCCCTCCACCCCCTTCTGAAGCTTCCTCTCACTGTACCCCGGATTCTTTTGTGGACTGGCTTGGAGCCTTCCTCTTTTCCATCTCAGAGCCCCTTGTTGGAGTGGACCCTTGTCTTTCTGCAGTGGGGCTCAAATTCCCTTTGCCTTGCAGCAGGCTCAACTCAGAAGGGAAGCAGACCATGATGGGTGGAAAAATTATTTCTCCAGTGTGGCTTAAACTGTCCTTTGCTAACATCTGTCTTGGGATTGGAAAGCTGTGGAGGCATAGTCCAACTTATTCAAACCTTTCATGGTTGCCTACCCAATCAACCTTTGTAATCTGTACCAGTAACTACCTTTGACCTCACCAGTTTTATAAAACAGTTCTGTGTCCAAGCCATACTTCATGGCACTCATGCTTTAGAGGGGTACAGTGAAGTGGTCTTTGCAGTGGTGCAATGCCAGAGGTGCACACGCCTCTTTTCCTGCCAGATGTTGCTTTCTGTCCCCTGGCTTGTTGTGTGTAATGGATGGATTATAAAGAAGTGATGGAAAAAGCAAATGCAATCTGGGTCTTATTCCAGTAGCTGTGTATATTAGTTCTTGTTTGCTGCACTTTATTACTCTGTACCCATTGTACAGAAGGCAGATCCCCTGTTCATTTTTGCTCTTCCTTCAAAGGTGCATAATCTATAGATCACATGCAACTCCTGAGCATTGCTGGTTTCTTATTGCTAATGGTGATAGGTAAGCAGTGCAGTGCCCATCAGGTACTGCACTATTTTCCCCATCCGGACTGCCACCACCTGAAACAGTTGTTAACCCACGCGAACAGGGAGCAGAACAGAGGCTAGTACCTCTCTAAAATGTCTCTAGAGTAGCCTTAGAAACACTACTCTTTGAAATGGTTGAAGAATAAGCCTTTTGGCTTTGGATTCATTTTGATTGCCCCATTTATGTGCATGATTAAATGGCAGCAGCCTGTGCAGGCAATCAAAAGCTATCTGGCAGATCAACGGTGTGACATGAAACCTGCCAGGATCCCAGAACTTGTATGTCAAGGGCTCCTCCTTGACTGGAAGCACAAGTGCTAGATGCTGTGTTTCATATGGGCATTTCCCTGGGAGAGAGTGGACCCAAAACCTAGGGTTGTGTTCACCTTTCAGTAAGCATGTCTACTCTTTCCCCACGGTAGTAATAAAGATTCATTTCCCTATACTGCAGGGAGTACATCTGTCCTCCCCACCATTACCCAAGAAGTTAAAAGCCTACTGAAATATACTAGCTGAGCCTAAAACATTTCACGAATAAACTTGCTCTTTACTACTCCAGGGCTGGTGCTGGTGGTAATGGTAGAGAGTTTCTCTCTACTTTTAGCTATGCACATATTAGATCACTGCTAGAAAAGGAGGAGGACATGGAGAGTAGGAAAGACAATAAGGGCTTTTTAATATTTGGGACAAATGCAAGAGTAGCATGCAGAAGTGAACATGTGGAGGATCTAGAGATCTCAAGTTACTGGGTCTTTTTGATGTTCTTATTAACCCAAAGGGGTATGGAACTGAAGCGGCCTTCCTCATGTCTGTCCATTTGCCTGGGTTTAGATGCTAAGGCTGCCCCTCTGCTAGCAATCTGAGATGGCTTTCTTCTTCCTGTGGCTGGCTTGTCTTAATTCCATAATTCTGCACGAACCCTAAAGGAATGATTGGGGTTCGTTCTGTGAATACAGATTGGCTATAATAGTGAAAGCCTGTGTAGGCCATGGCTTATTTCACAGTGTAGTAATGGGTGGGTACAAAGGGCATCTTGGTGACAACACCTGGGCAGCTCTTCTTCCTCACCTCTACTGTGAGGGCAGTGCTCAGTTTGCTGTATGCACTCTCCACATAGCCCATGGCAATGTTCTTCTGCAGGCAAGGAGAGGGGCAGCCACTGGTAACCTCACCTAGTGCATGGAGGAACAAGTAAATGGTTTGTTAACAAGGAACATGTAACTTCTATCCAGTTCCTACAAGTCAGGAAACAACAAGCGCTGGAAAGTCTAACACTCCCCACCCCCAGAGGCCCTAATTTTGCCTAAGGCCTTTTAATGATCAACTAAGGCCAACACAGCATGAGCCAGCCACAGAGGGCATACTACTATCTATATGCAGAATATGCTGTCCAGTTCTGCCTTCTGCAGTAATCTTGGTTTGCCTGCCAGAATGTGGCCTACTTTCGGGAGGGTGGGGAAGCTATTTGGAGTAAGGTATAAACATGGACTAGGTGGGGATGTTTAATAAGTCATAGTGGCTTGTTAACCACCCCTGCATGTGCCAGCTCGTTTTTCTAACTACCCTTCTAGGGTGTAGTTGTGATATCATGACCTAGTGAGGGTGAGTGGCTGGAATGATGATCAACCCACCAAGAACCCACACTGACTGGTTTAATATAACATAATAACCCACAAAGGTTGAGTGAGGTTGTTGTTGAACCATGGGTTGTTGCCAGAACTATGGGTTATGGTGTTGTTTGAACCCAGCTACACTAAAAAGTCATGGCTTCTTAACCTTTGGGTTATGGGACAACATAGAAGTGGAATGAAATGAATGAAGGAATGAATGAATTGTTGAGTTGCTGAACTGTGGGTTATTCACTGTGGTTTGTTTGGTTCAGACAACATGATGACCTACATTTCAGCCCCCTCCCCATCACATTTAGCCCATAGTCAGCCCTTCAGTGTGGGTTATCTGAACCCTCTGACTCTGTTGTAGGATTGATGGATGGTTTGTAACCACCCTAGCCACTGACCTTTGCTGGGTTGCACATAAGAACAATCCATGCCTGGCAAGAGTGATTAGGAAAAAGAATTGGTATGCAGGAGTGGTTCACAAGCTGCTATGGCTTATTAATCACATGCTCATTGTGTGACTTGGGCTAATGACTTCATGCAAAAAGCTAATAATGTAAAAAGTAATGCTGAAAAGCCTATTGCTTTCCAAAACCATGTTGTAGGCAAGGAATGCATGTGCAAGACAAAACTTCCAGCACTCCTGCTGCGAGAATGGGACACTTACGGCATTGAGCCAGCCACAGCATCAGGATTAGAGGAGGTTATAATGTCACTCTCGGTCTCCTACACAGATTCTTACTACATCATGGGCAGACAACCTGATGCCAGCCAGATTTTGGACTACAACTTGCATAATCCCTGATCATAAATATTGCTGATTGGGCTTATGGGAATTGTAGTCTAAAACCTCTGGAAGGCACCAGGTTGCCTACCCCTAGACTAGGCAGTAACAGAAGGAGTTTTTAAAAGCCCACCTACCAATGGCCTTGTCCTCTGGGCTGAAAATGTGCATATGTTGTCGGATGGGAGGCCCTGTAGAAGTCAGCCCCACACGCTTCTTTTTGGGTTTCTCTTTGATTTGGCTAAGAATGACAGATGCACCAGGGAAATCCATGGCAGCACGGCGGCGTTTCCCTGGAAAGCAATCAGAAATACAAGTATGGTGCTAGAGCCGAGTGAGCAGCTACTTCTGATGCTCGGCTGCATGATGTGAGGGATGGATTCCATTTTAGAGCTCTCAGGAGCAGCATTCCAACCCATTTGATCGTAAAGGTCTCAATGCTACTCACTCAGCCTTAGGAGAGGCATTTCAAGGTTTTCAAGTGCAGGTGTGGAGGAACTTCACAAAAGCAAGGCAACTACCAAATGGTTTATGCTTGGAGGAAAAGGTGGTGGGGTGGGGAAGGGGCTGTAATTCTCTGAGGGACTCCAGATAGTCCTTGGGCCTAAGGATCTACATCCCTGTGCAGTGTAATCTGTTATCCCCTAATACAGGTTCTTTTCCATTTCCATTACCCATTAACCTTATTCAGGTGTTATTTACCTGCACAGGGCAAATATGCAATAAGAATGGGTGCTACAGCTCTACCTTAGTCCCATCCATCTCCCTCTATTTATGGAGGACAATGGTTTAAAGAGAAGATCCTTTGCTATCCCATACAGGCTCTTCGTGTCAGCCAAAACACTAGAAAACATTATTTCCCATGTCCATGCTATGCTGATGAATAATAATAGATTTGGGAGGTCCTGACAGTTGTGATCAAGTTCTGCATTGGCCAAGACAGCAGAAATGGCACAGGAGAGACAGAAACCTACCAAGTGTCCATGTCAGACTGGCTTCCACAGGGGTTGTATTCTCATCAATGTCATTCCCATAAAGGCACAGCCCTGCCTCCAAGCGTAAACTATCTCGGGCAGCAAGTCCAGCCAGCCACACAGCAGGGTCTCTAAGCAGCATCTCAGCCAGCTCCACTGCTTTGCTTGCAGGGACAGAAATCTGGGCATGGGAAAGCATTGCAGTGTGGTCAGTGTAAATTTTGTGACTCACTTCACGCTCCCAATTTTAATCTCTTGCTTTCCTCACCCAGTCTTACACTCTGAAGGAATCTGATGTTATTTCTGGACATGACTGACACCCTCTTTTCCCTCCAGCCATCCTGAACTGATGATTTCTTTTGGACCAACATCCTATCTTCCCAGTGTGAAATAGCTTACCTGCTTCCAGGGGGAACCAACCACAAGTGGAAACCATCCCAAGACACCTGCACTGCTGCCTGTCCTACCTTCCCACAATCTCTCTTGTACTTTTGACAAGCTGAACTGGGAGCTGTCCATGGGGTACCTCCACTCCATCCTCGCCTGTGTAGCCACAGCGGGTCACCCTGCAGCCTTGCACTCCAAACACACTTGTCATCACACTGCTCATGAAGGGCAGCTTAGCCAGATCGTCTGTCACCCCGGCCTGCAGCACCTGAGCCATGGCAGGACCTGGTCAAGGAAAGAAGTGAGAAGTCAGAACAACAGAAGCTGAAAGACCATCATTTAGTTGGATTGGGGGTCAGCTCTGCAAGTGCCCATGAAGTGTTTCAGTAAGTCCCAGAGAAATGACAGAGGAAGAACTCAAGCATTGCAGCTGCAGGACATGGTCCAGCCACATGTAAAACATGCCCATCAGATGTTACAGACCACAACACCAATAATTCTTGACCACTGGTCATGCTGGTGAGGGATTATGAAAGCTTCAGTACAAAACATCTGGAGTTGCCTACTCTGAAGTGAGCCTAAGGATGCCTTGGACCTGAGGGCAGTTGGGTATAGAATTCATAACTACTAATTCATAATTCCCATTAGCAGATAGCTTCTAAAATGGATCAGACTAATTCATGAAGAGCAGTTCTATCAGTATGGCTTACCCACTAAAGCTAACTGGTCACATTCCTCTGTAAATCAGAAGACTGGACGAAAGAACGAAGATGGACCATTGCCATCATGCCCTGTTTGTGACCTACTTAGAAATGTTGAGCTGGGCTAGCTGGACTCTTATCCATGGAGAGAAGCATAGCACAAAGTAAGTAGGTTGACACTGAAGGGCCAAGACAAATTGCTGCCATACCCCTGACAGGTTTTGCTGACCCTAATAAGCTTAGCAAGCAAACATATTTATTTAGACAGCTTTTATTTTATTTTATTTATTTATTTTAGACAGCAGACTTCTTTGCACTAGGCCATCTACCTCTGATTTAGCCTAACCATGAGTTAACCAAACCTGTCCCTTATCTTCAGGGTGGTTGGATGATGGACCCTCACTATTCTCAGGAAGATAAACAGAAAAGCAATATATTAAGTTTGGAGATACTACTGTATGAGTGACAGTACATCCTCTCACAAGGTGAATGGCATCAGCAGCCTTTCCCCATCAGACCTAGCTTGGCTGTGGATTTTGGGAGCTGTAGTCAGACACATGTGAAAGGTCCCAAGTTTTAAAAAGCTGATGTACAGTACTTGCCAAATTCCTGGTGGCTGTGGTGGAACAACCACTGCGTAGACAATATTTACCTTGAAGAGCAAGCAAAGCATTTTCAGAAACCTCCAAGCTCACATCACAGCCAGCTGCCTTCATTTCCTTTGCTTTGTTCTACAAGAGCAAACAACATAGCAACAAGGTCATGACACACAACGGGGGGGAGTGGGGAGGGCTAGATATTTCCTCTCATCTGTCCTAAGAGGATTGGCATCCCCTGCCTTGGAGGGAAAGACCAAGTCCCCCAAGGGAAAAGAACAAGATACTTCTCTGCTCCATGTTTGCTCTTCCCTCATCATCTCCACTGGGGCTCCATCTGTATCATCTCCATTTAGGACTGGCTGATGAAAGACATGTACCTCCATGAGGGCAAAATCCTTGTCCATGCAGCCTGCATTAGAAACCACATAGAGGTGCTCCTCCGAAGTGCTGGTCACAATCAAATCATCCATGATGCCTCCTTTTTCATTTGTGAACAAAGACAGGGTGCCCTGAAAATAAAGCTCAGCTCAGGCCAACTCCCAGCCACTGGTCTGTGAGACAGCAAGCAACAGACAGCAGACGGCGGCTGTGAAGGGAGGTGGAATTGTGCTAATCTAGCAAAACAAAAGGATATGCATCTGTCTGTCCATCCATCCGCACCACAGTGCCAAGATCATAAAACGTAGATGCCTGAAATTTGGCATGCACATAAAGGGTTGTACACCTGAGGAATATATGATTTTTTAAAAAACAAATTAAGTTTAATTAATTTAAATACAGTCATGTGCTTGAATTCTGCAATGGTATCTTCAGTCACTCGGGAAAGAATTCCCCATTGAAGTGGTTTCTGTTGCGGTCAAAGAACATTAGGGACAGAGGTATCTGTCTGGCGCTCTATCCCTGCTGTAGAGCAGCCCATCACAGGGGAAATGGGTAGACTGCCCCCCTCCCTCAGCAGGCCATAGGAATGTACAGTGGCAGGGGCTTGCCTAAAGGTGCCAGTGGGCCTAGCTTCAGTGAAGCAGGGTAGGCAGATTTAGTCGAATTGTGACAACTGAGGACATTTTCTTGAAGCCGTTGCTATACCAAACTGAAGGCTGTCCCAACCTGTGTGAAGCTGCTGTACATGAAAAAAAGTCAAAGCCATAAGCAGGAGTCAGTGATCTTCCCCTGCGTGGTGCAGCCTTTACCTCTGAAATACCAGCATAAAATGCACTTGTTCTAAACCTTGCAGGCCCATATTGCATATTGTTTGTGTCCTTGTTAGTGATAAACAACACTATTCTTTCTCCCCACCATATCAACCTAGCTTTTTAAAAAGAGCAGGAGGAGTTCTGCAGAGTGTGCATGCTCATCTGTTTCCAGAAAATCACCTTCTCTCTCTTAGTTTTTAAAAAGAGATAAGGAACAAAACAGTTCCAATGCCCTACCATTTTATGAGTCTTTTATCATTTGGTTTTGAATGCTGGGTATTTTAATCTTCTGACAAAAATGCAGAGGCCTGCAACTCAAGCAAATGAGTTGAAGACAAAACTTTACCACTCAGCACAGCAAAGGTAGGGAGGGACCTAAAAGGTCAGCACACAGTCGTTGGAGATAATGTTCAACCCCACCTCTTCGTTTTAGCCCTCCCACATTTGGGAGAACACTTCCCATGATCCGGACACTGTGCTTGTGTGATGACAGACTGGACTTGCATAAACTTTCTTAGCTGCTTCATCACACTTCTGAGTCATCCTGTGCTTGTGTTGTTAGCTAAGATACCCAAGTGCTTTCCACATGTTCTGCTGCCAAGCCAGATCTCCCCCATCCTCTGCCTGGGTCTTTTTTTTTTTTTTCAATCAGCTGTTCGTAGAAGAAAGACTTCCCCCTTTCCTTCCCACTTCCTCATCCATTATAGGAAAATTGTATCCTATAGTACTTTGATGACAGAAAAATCCCACGATGTATCCATGTGCATACACCTGATTCCTGCCTGCTTTAAAAGGCACAGGGAAATTTACAATATATCCACAACTCCCCTCTCCCAGCAAATGCAGCAATGAGCTGGCCAAACTGGTTTTTGCAAGATTGCCCAACTGAACATGGATATCAGCCTGGGTGTCCCATATCCCAACCCAGCACTCTCTTCCAGACATTACATCTCTGCATAGTCCACTGGGGCTCCAACATACCTGATTAGGCTTCAGCTCTGCAATGTCCCCGACCACAAGGCTTTCCATGAACTTCACCCGATCTTTGCCAAACACTTTTGTCTGCAAAAGGAAGAGTGACCTCACATCACCCACATCATGTAGGAGCATGGACAGCCTGTTCCATGTGATGCCAAACAACCATGGTGCAGTTCATACACTCCCAGTCAGATATAAGGCAAAAAAGGATGTTAATATGCATGCGCATCCATCCACCCTGCACCTTAGGCAGACAGTAAAAAGACAAGCTCAACATAGCCAACGGTAGAATCGAAGCAGCACCACAATACAGTGAAACTGTCGATAAAGCACATCCTCCCAAGCTGCTGAAAGATTCTAAAGGGCCTAGGAGAGTGAAAATGTCTGGCACTAAAATGACCATTCAAGTGGTGAAAAGGGGCAGGCAAGCCTGCCCCAGAGAGCATTCAGAGTGGGTTGCTGCAACCAGGAAAGCTCTGGCTTCAGAAGGTAGGAGCAACTGACAGAATGCCTCCAGTTCTGGCTTCACTGACTGGACAGACTTCTCAGCAAAGACGGTCTATCCGAAATAGAAAATGAACACTGATTAAGAGTGACAACCAATATAAACATGCATGGGCTTTCATCAACTGGCTAGGAAATTTCATACAGCCACACCCAGAGCTGGGGAAAACATGACACCTCAACAGTGCAAAGGCTAATCTAAGACATCTGCAGAAGCTGAGCTGTCTGAGCAGAAAGGTGCCTTTGTTGCATGACCCCCTTCCATCTGGAACGGCCTTAAAGGGAGGAAGAACAATAAGGAGGGCTGTGGCAGCAGTCCACAATCTTAAGAATACATTTGTTCATCTTTGAAGTGCCTGATAGATGCTTTATTTTTGCTGCCGCAAATAACATGGCTGTCCCTCCGGAAATCCCTTAAGACCCTAATCTGGTCACCTCCGGATGTTTTGGGCTTCAGTGCCCATCAGTCCCAGCCAGCATGACATTAGCTGGGAGTTGTAGTTCAAAGCATATAGAGGAAACTGAACTGGGGGAGACTCCCTTAAGGGGAGGAATCTTATTCTGCCAACAGTTGAGCCCCAAAGAGAGACATTGCTGCAAATGCCCAACAAAATGCAACTCTGCATTTTGCAGAATTGATGGCTGATTCTACATACGGGGACACAACTTGAATGCTTCAGTTATACACACCTGTGCTAAATGCTCTCATTCGACTGGCAGCAATCGCTGCTTCTCCAGATCCTTATTCCACTCAATCCTTCCCAAGATAGGGGTAGCCATGTTGAAAGTGCAACCTACGTTTTCTTTCTCTTTCCCTCTCTCTCTTGAGCTGCATGAACCCCTAAGCTTGCCTACAGTTCTTGTCAGCCCAGACCTCCCTCACTGAGCTGCTTCTAGCATTTCCTGAGGATCCATCAGAATCCTATCTTACATAGTACAGAAGTGGGGAAAAACCCCAAAGGAGCACTACTTGAATTGAGCACATTTCAGAAATGACTTCTGGGGGAATGTTTGCCACATAACTCACAAGATTTTAAGTAAATTGCTACAGTTCTCAGGCACCTTTTCTGATATATGAATGCCAATTGAATGTGACAGAAACGGCATACTGGTCAGTGACAGAAATGCAGAGATTGTCCCTCAACACACTTTTCTGTCAAATTTTGAGGCTGTGTTTCTCAGGGCACGAGAATATCCTGTCCTTGCAAGACTGGACCAGAGAGTTTAGCAAAAAGCAGCAAAGCCTGAAAGCCACCTCTGGGATGTGTGAAGGACTGGATAAGTGTCTGTGGAGAGTCAGGCTGGGTCCTTCTTATGGCCTCGACCTCCCCAGCATTACCTGAAGCATGTGAGACACATCAAAGAGTGAGCAATGCTGACGTGTGTGCAGGTGGGACTCCAGGTGACTCTTTGTATACTGCACTGGGAGGCTCCAGCCTGCAAAGGCCACCATCTTCCCGCCATGGTGCCGGTGAAAATCATAGAGGGGTGTTTGCTTCAGGCTCTCCTGCATGAGAAAGCAAGTAGTGGTTGGCTCTTGCTGCAGGTCATCCGAAATCCAGCAAGCCTGATGCAGTCAACAAGCACTCCTTCTCAGTACCGCCGAAGCCATTCCCAGCCCTGACCAAACGCCCAACTCCCAACTCAGCTTGCGTTAAGGACTGATGAACCTTTTTGCCCGGTTTTAGCTATCCCCTTACAGACTGGTATAGCTACGTGGCTGGCACCCTGTAGTGTCCCCAAAAGAGAATAGATAAGCAACTAATCACCTGCACTTAGAGCTAGGTCCAAGGCTGGTATCAAGAGCACACCTATTCAGGCACATGCTGAGGGCCCACACTCCAGCAGGGGCCCACTAAGAACCTCCTGAACTTGCTCCTTCCCGTCCGCTTGTTCACCAGCTGCTTGGCTTTGGTGCAGGCACACAACGGTGGTGGTGGCAGCGGCGAGAAGGCAAAGCAGCGGCAGCCTGCCTGCTTTCTCCCAGGCTCTCTGGCTGTCTAGCCAGCAAGTGGTAGCAATGACGAAGAGGAGGAGGAGCATTAGCAACGGGCAGCAGTGGCAGAGAGAAAGTGGGCTTACTGAAGGAAGAGACGGGGGTGTCTTGCTGAAACGCACACAAAAAGCTGCAGCTCCCCCTGGGCTTGCCTCACCTTTTCCTTTGGGAGCAAGGGACAACTTCTGTCTCTAAGCAGCCTCTGACCTTTGTCATTAGGCTTGTTTGCTTAGTGTGTTATCACAAGTCTAATGTCAAGGGGAAAACACACCTGTGTGCCCTTTGAAGCCACAGGTATGAAAGTCTTCTCAATCCCTTTCCCACCTGCTTAAGGTCTTGGCCAGGAGATAATCTTAATTAACACAAGAAAAATGTCATACTGGCTCTGCAATACTTTTTCAGTTTGCAGTAGTTCAAGAGAGTAATTGTGGCTAACACTATTTATGACAAAACCAGTCACTCTGGAGAAATGATTAGCTGTGGGAAGAGTGGGCAATGCCAGGTGGCCCCAGACTAGGTGCAGGCTATAGGGGAGCCTTGGCAAACATGCATTTTATGATCTCCGTCTCTTCCCCCTAGCTTTCAGCCAAGCCAGTCCTCATCACTACACCACCTCCAGCCCTGGGCCTACACCTCCCAAGGGGCCTGGTTTCCCTTCCCCACAACAATGACACTATTTTTCAGCAGCAGCTATTTGAGAATCAATGCCAGTGCACCTCTTCCCAGCAAGGGCAGTGTCATAGACAGCCACCCTATGACGCCAGCCTCTGACTCCAATCAAAGTAGGCACTGTGCATAGCTTCCCTATTTTTCCTTATTATCCCCCCTCTCTGTACACTTTTACTAACACATTTCAGTAGTGGAAAATAGGGGGTGTGCTCATCCCCCTGGTTATTGACTGACAGGGAAATGCTCTTGCAGGCTGCCAGAAGATTCAAGCAGTCACATCTCTATTTGGGCCTATACCTGGAAAGTTTCCTCCTTCATTCATACAAGTTGTTTTTGAGTCACAGCTTGTAAGAACTTTGTTCAAGGAGGTGATGGAATCAGCACAATCAATAAGACAAGGTATTTAATTAGACTATCAACTATAACCCCTCCGTTCTCCCCACACGTTATAACACCTTTCCTGACTCATCTAAAAGGAAGGGAGGTCTATGCCATGGAAGGAGAAATTCAAGAGTTTCCCCTCATATTTGAGAAGACTTCAATTTTTGATTAACTTGTCTTTGGCATGGTGAGCGCCACCAAAACTTCCACAGAAACAGGTCAACATCAGATCTCAATTTCTAAAGGGAAGGATGCCAGGAATTAAGCCTGCCTGGTGAAAGCAGTCCACATACCCGAATCCCAAAGTCCTAAGCCGTACTAAGAGGCAGCTTAATATGTAAGACATGCGTTCTGCTTATGCGATGGGGTCCCTTTCTTTTGTGTTATCTCAAGGCCAAGATCGGAGTTCAAAAAGGTAAGATTGTACTCCGGTACGTCAGGAAGGCTAATATACAGACTCGTGCAAACTTTTCCCAACCCACATTCCTCGCCTGTCCGCCTCTTTCCAATACAAAAGGACGGTCGTTTCCTCGCCTGCTGGATGCCAGGAGGCACAGGGCGCCGGCAAGCCTGCTCTTCTACAGTCCGAAGCCCGGGCAAGTCCTGTCTGTCCGTCCCGTGGCACAGTCCTGCTCCCCTCGGGGGCACCAGCTCACCTGCCCAGAGGTATAGCCCCGCTTCCCGCATGCAACTGCCCCGGAGGAAGACCCCAAACACGGCGACGCGGCAAGCCGAACAGCGACACCAGCACCTGCCCGCAGCATTTTCCCAGCCCCCGGGCGCCCCTACGAGCGGGCCAGATAATACCTTACAGCCCCGCCTACCCCTTGAGCCTCAATTCCCACGAGCAGCCTGGGAAATGTAGTCCCACTCCCAGCGATTGGTCAGATTGGTCAGCGACGGTCGCCCCCTGGCTTATTCCGCGAAGAGGAGGAAGGGGAGCAGGGGGCCGCCTGTTCAAAGGAGAAGCCGCCACTTCAATTCCGTCTTGGTTACTGGAGGGTGAATCTGTATGAAGAGTCTGGTGGCTCCTTAAAGACTAATAAATGTATTCCATGATAAGCTCCATCAGATGCACCCTATTGGTTGTTGCAGATGTGACAGCCTCACTCAGGCCTGATGAGGATGCCCAACTGTGAGAGCGCCAGGAACAGAGAAGCAAGGCAGCTCTTTGTTTAAAGCAGTTTCTTTCAGACTGCTCCAAGATGCCTGAAAAGAGAGGCATAGCTTGGGGCAGAGAGGCGATCCTGCTTTCACTGCTGCTAAAGTGCAGAAATAAACTGAGCAAACCTGCCCACCCATCCCCAGTGTTGTAGCAGAGCCAGGGCTCACAGGGACACAGCCTGAGCAGGTTTATCAGAAGGGTCACAGATGTAATTTTCCAGGGTCAGAATTTCCTGCTTCCTCTGAGCTTAGCTGTAATTTGCACGGCAGCTGAGGATAAATGAATTTTCTCAGCAAGAATATATTGCTCCCTGCTGTGATGTGAAGTGTTTTGGGGTTGCTTGCTCTTGAATGGGTCAATTAAGACTCACTAACTTAAAAACAAAACAAAACAAACACACACACACACAACCCTCCTCCATTTGGAGCTGAGAAGTGCTAGAACTTGTTGGGTGATATGGATCAACACAACAGCCTAGGCTGATCCATGCCTGCCTTGGATGATGCAGGTCCGCATCATGAAAGCTGCAGCGGCAACTTCTGAATTTGTCACCATACAACTAGACCCTGGATTTAGTGGCCCTATACCCTCACGCTCCTTTTCTTTAGAAAGCTATGTGTATTGTTCAGTTGTGAAGCACACAACTATCAATCCTCTTCCCCAGCTCCCCTCTGGCATTCTGTGGATTACAACCACATCTATAGTTTGGCTTAAGCTCTGCGCCTTTCCTTTTAAAAATTTCCCCTATTTAGATGCCACTTTCATTCAAGAATGTGGCAGCCACTTTTCCTTGCACTTCCTTTCCCTTTTCCCTTTGCCTATCTTCTTGCTTCCTGCTCAACATCACAGATAGGACAGCAAAGAAAATAAAACAAGAGGTCTGTGTCCATTAAGCCATCTTTTAGAAACTAAGGACACAATCTCATGCAAATTTATACAGAAAAAAGTCCAACAACTCCTAGCCTGCTCCAACCACCTATGCTAGGCAGTGTAAGTTTTTTCCTGCACCATTTAAAAGTGCGTAAGATTCTACCATCTAAGTGTTCATATGTACACTTAGAGGTTTTACAAATACATAGAGCAAATACTTTGCAATGCCATGTGTACACCTGCACAAATATTGCACTAAATGCACAATAAATACAATACATGGATATAATTTGTGATCCTTTTATTCTGGGTAAGCATCCTCTAGGAAAAAGCTTAAATCCATTTGCCCTGATTCAGTACAGTGGATTAGAAGAGCACGGTCATCTTTTCCTGCTATAAATAAATAAATAACACTAACAGTCCTTAATAAATAACAAGCAGGAAACTACACATGTACAGGTAACCACAGAAGGTTTCTCCTGAGATGTAATGTCCAGCATTAAAAAAAGTGAGCCACACATATTACCAGAGCAACTCATTTTGTTCTACAATTTGATCCGATGGCTATAAATCATGCGTGTACTGCAGGAAGTGTCCTTCACTGCAAAAAAAGATACATTTGTGGGGGAGCTGTCTGGCATTAGTATACTTATGTATAGTTACAAAAACAGGGAAGGTGTTCAAATATTCTCTTCATAACTGTCATAGCAGTCCTTTGCGAGGCAGTTTCAGACTCAGAGTTGTTTTTTCTGAGGCAGCTTAGAAATTAGATTCTTGATATCGTAGAATTAGATTCTTGATATAGCAGAATCCTGAGCATAGACCTCTGCCACAAACATTTCTTCAGCCCAGCTCTCAACACTCAGCTGGATCATAATGCAGTCAAGGGAAATGAGTCTCTACAACCAAGCAAGGATGAGCTGAGGTATCTGAATAGAAGCTTAAGAAGGAAATGTCAAAGAATCCATTGGGGACAGCAAATTGTGATGTAGCTCAGCTTTCAGGAAGGTCACTCTCTCAGAATGTTAGCAGTCATGCTTTCTAGCAAGATGTAAGATTTACTTCTTGAAATCTTGATAGATGTGGTTGTCATGGTGCTCCAGGCCTCATTTGAAAACAAACACATAGTACAGACTAACACTTCCATTCTACACTATTTCTCTTGGATCACAACTGTAACTGAGTTGCAGCTACAGCCATTGCTAACTTAAGATATATCAGGGCTAGCCCTGTAAAATCAGCTAAGCCAGTTGAATGCACTCCAGATGTTGTTGGGCCAACTCCATCATCCCTGATGATTATTGGCCATGCCAGCTGACTGATGGCAAATGGTACAACAAAAGCTAGATGGCTGGCAGTTCCCCACCTGCTTTAGGGGGAAGTGAGGACTTAAGTCTTCAAGAAGATTCCATTATTGCCATGTAAACAAAGAAAAAAAGACCAGCACTCCAATTGTAAGTGGAATGGCTGTGCTAGAAGAACTGTGAACTGAATGTTTGTTTCTTGGAATACCCAAACCTGGATTTGGAAACAGATTCCTCATAGGCTTATCATTGTCTTGAGAATCTCAGGTCATTCACTTGCAAAAATGAAAGAAACCTCCACTCTGTCACACAGTGCCAGGCTATTGAAGACAATGCTCAGTTTTGCCCTCAAAGAACATAAACCAAAGAGCAGTGTTTGGAAAAGCAAAGCAGGAGGTGAAGAACCCAGATAAGATACCTTCAGTTCATAGTATCCAGGCTTGCCATAGTCCAGTGCAGAATGCAGGGTTATAAGAATTTTCTCCACATAACAGCAGGCTGGAGAGACAGAATATAATTGGAAAGCATCCCAAAAGGCCATTTCCTCACAGCAGAAAAGAGAATGCTAGAATATAAAGACAGGAGACTTAGTTCATCATTTCTTCCTGCCTCAAGCCAATCCCACAACACAGGGTGGTAAACCAGCGAGTTCAGCTCTTAGGAACCAGGTCCACTTCTAGCCCTGGTGGACCTCAGGTATACGAAAGGAGGTTGAGATCATAGCAGCCATCCACCTGAAACACAACACAGGAAATTATTTGTAGCAAAATTTCAATGGATTGGGAACATCATAAGAAGCATGTTTCCTCACAGACCCTATTCTCTCTCCAGTATTGGGGCAGCCAGTGCAGTCTAGTGAGCAGACTAGGACAGTTGTGGAAAAACCTGCTACTCTCTAGAAGTTGGACTTCAGCTTCCCTGAGTCCTACCCAGCATGGTCAGTCCTCAGGGAGGATGTGAGTTGTAGGCCAACATCCAGAGGGATGCAAGTGCCTCATCATTGGCTTGGGAAAAGTCAGATTCAAATTTGCACTGGCCTTACAGGCTGACTTCAAGTCAGCCACTATATTTTGGCTGAATTTCTTCATGTTAAAATGAGAAATTATACAAGAAACATTATGAGGAGGCAAGACTTATTGGGGAAGGCAACAATGCTAGGGACAGTTGGAGGCAGAAGAAGAAAAAAGAGGAAACCCAGTATGAGATAGCTCAGTTCCATAAAGGAAGCCACAGTTTGCAAGGGCTGAGCAAAGCTGTAGAGGATATTTTGGAGGATGCTCACCCATACAGTTAGCGTAAGCCAGGTATGATTTGACAGCACATAACGGCAACAACAAAATGAGAAAATTTCATGCAAGTCATCCTAAGCTCCTTGGAGAAAGGACACCAGATATTTCATATTGGCTGAAACATCTTTCATCAGGATTTTCGCTAGTCACAGTAAATGCATGTAGGAAACTTGCTATTAGGCTAAATTGACCTTTGGTCTGATCCAAAAGGGCAGACAGCAGAGTCTGAGCATAGAGGATGAAGGCATTTTTGAGATGTGGGAAAACTCCTTGAACTGCTCTGGCTGTGTTTGGGTTCTTACTGGACTCAGCTGAGGTCATATTCCCCCAAACAATCAGAAGCAGCAAGAAGAAACTAACATCAAAGCGTCCAATCTGTGCTGCTGGTTGGCTGGCTTGGAGCATCTCAGTCAGAACCCACATTTGCTGCAGTTCAGAAGACACTTTGTCAGCATCAGGGAGTTCCTGAAAGCAAAGGATAGTTAAATTAAAACCTGCTTTGGTTGATGTTACACTAGCCACACCAAAGCCACTTTCCCTCTAAGTGACTGTCAACAATTGGCAACCAGTCCCTTTTGTGCCTCTTAACTTAGGTACACATCCTCATTAGAAAACAGGCCTTGGTCCAAGTGACAATACTTACATCATGCAGGTTTGTTGGTTGTTCCTGAGGAGCTGTGTGAGAAAGCCAAGCAGGAAAGCCTTTCTGAGGACTCTAGAGGGGAAAAAAAGCCCTTAAAGCAAATGCTTCCCACACTCAACAGAGCAGAATGTGCTGGTGCATGCATACATAGTAAGCCATTTTACAACACCGATTTGGTCTTAGGCAGCCTTCAGACAGGCAAGAGGTGCTGACTGAATACTGCATATAGCTTTGGTGACTGCACCTCTAAAAGGATAGTGCAGAGTTGGAGAAGGTGCAGAGGAAGGCAACTAAAATGGTCGAGTGGCTGGAGCACTGTGCTATGGGAAGAGGTTGCAACATCTGGGTCATTTAGTTTAGAAAGGAGGCAAGTGAAGTGAGACATGAAGAGGTGTACAAAAGTATGCATGGTGTAAAAAGGTGGAGTCATTTTCTCCCTCATCCATAATACTAGAACTTGGGGTCATCCAAGGAAGCTGTTTGGTGGGTCAGACAAAAGGAAAATCTTCCTCATCATTTTCAGAGGATGTAATGATGGACACCAATTTGGAAGGCTTTAAAAGGAGAAGACTATACATGGCTATTAGTCCTGAAGACTATGTAACATCTGAGGCCTTCTGCCAAGTGCCACCTCCAAGGGAGGCTGACAGAGGGACAACAAGGGGCCTTCTCAGCAGTGGCCCTTTAACTGAGGAATGTTCTCCCCACCAAGGCTGCCTGGAACCAACCGTGGAATCTGCTCAACGCCCGGTTAAGCACTTTTGCCTAAGGCATTCAATGGCATTGACACTGATGTCAATCTAGTTGTACTGGAAAATTTGTTTTAGCTCCTTGAAGAGTTTTAGCTACCACTGATGTAAGTTAAGACTTTGAACTTGGGGATTTGCACACATCCAATGGACAGACTGATACACAGTGGTGGTGATCTTTGCCATCGCCAACTCTCATGCCTGGCTTTTTTTCTATATAGCTGTTTTTTGGCCACGTAGACAAATGGCATGGAAGGAGGCTGGGATGCCATGTGGATGCGGCATAAGCTATTGGCCCCAGCCTCCTCCCTCCCTGTCTCTGTCTTTCAACCTGGGAGAGGCAACAGCACAGCTCTTTTGGCATCACCTGCACACAGAGGGAAGGGAGGGCTCAGCCTTCAGGGTCCCAGCACAAAGGTCACAAGACCGTGCAGCCCAGACTCGGAATCATCCCATGCCCTCTGATCCAGAACTACACTGTAGATTGTTTTAAATGTTGTTTTAATGCTGTACACTGGAAATAATATGCTGTTTGCACTGTACTGTGTTTTTATGAACTCCCACACAGATTTGGCTACTGGGGTGATATAGATATGAAATAAATAATAAAATTACCACCAGTATCAGAGGCAGCATGCCTGTAGACAGCAATTGCTGGGGAATACAAGCAGCAGGTTGTTATTGCACTCATGTCCTACTGGTGGATTCCCACAGGTAGCAGGATGGCCTCTGAGCAAATGGAATGCTACCCTGCTTAGGTCTTTGGGCTGATGTAGGTTGGCTCTTATGTTTAAGTATACAATCTTATGCATACTTAGAGAGAAGTAAGTCTTACAGCTTCCAACATTCTGCAGCCACACTGGGAGATGTATGCTTTTTTTCTGTCTCAACTTGCATAAGACTGCATCCTTATTATATTTTTAGTGTGTCCAATAACTGATGTTTTCCAGGCTAATTAAAATAGTTAAAAGAATAAAATGCAATCTTAAACATTATAGGAATTGGTAAGCTATGTCTACAAAATGTAAGAACTAAGTCTCTAAACGGTTCTTTACAAATATTTGTGTTGCATGTTCTGAGGAAAAGGTGGGATTCTAGGATTCTCTCTAAGGAGACAATAAGGGACTATTTCTAGTTTACACAGAGGTATTTTTGGGTAGATAAGTTTGTACCCAAAGTTATTTGTACTTAGAATGGAGTCACCAAAATGAATGCACAAATGTTAAATTAACATTTGATGCAACCCAGCACAATTGTTTTCCCCACCTGGATTTTACAAGGTTTACTTTAGGGCCATGCTACTAGCCCTGTGCACACAAAAGGGCTCTGGCAGTTGCCACAATGAGCCTCACCCAAGAAGGGAATTCTACTTGTGGATCTCGGAATGAATCTAGAGGAAAGAGACTAACACTGTGCTTTTTCCTTGGATGACAGAATTCCATGAATTGAAGGAGAAGGTGGGCAGAGAGATGACACTGTCACCAATTCAATTACACAGGAAACTCAAAGAATATATATAAGAGCAGAAGAAAAGCCCTGCTGGATCAGAACAAAACCCGCCCTGTCCAGTGTTCTGTTGACACAATAACCAGCCTCATAAAACCACAAGCAGGGTGTGAATGCAACAGCACCCTTCTATCCATATTTCTCAACAACAGGCATACATAAGCATACTGCCTCTGGCCCTGGAACCAGCATTCATCAGGACTTTTCCTTCACGATCAGACCCTTTTAGAGCTGTGCAAATTGATGGCCATCCCTACATCTCGTGGAAGTAAATGTCATACTTCACTGTGGGGTGTGTGGAAGGAGTACTTAACTGTCCTGACTTCCTCATCAGTCACGTTCATAGGATGACCCCAAGTTCTAGTATTAAAGGAGAGGGAGAAAAATGTCTTCCTGGACACTTTCTCTACACCATGCATAATTTTCTACTCCTCTATCATGTCTTCCCTTACTTTTCTTCTTTCTAAGCTAAACAATTTCTAATTTTGTAATCTTTTCTCATAGAAGTGTTGCCCTTTTTAGCACCTTTTCCAATGCAAGTCTTTCTCTCTTTGTTTAGGCCCAGTTCCTTTTGGAAGTTCCCCAGAGAGGTCCGCCTGGTGCCGTCGTTATTTGTTTTTTGGCGCCAGGTGAAGACCTTTTTATTTAAACGTCATTTTAATTGTTAACAATATTTGCTTATTTATCTGGCCAGGGCAACTTCTTTTATATTTTTTATTTATTTTATATTGTTAATTTTAATTTTATATTGTTATTTTTGTATTTTATTGTATTTTATTGTGTTGTAAGCCGCCCCGAGGCTTCAGCAAGGGGCAGCATAGAAATTTTTTAATAAATAAATAAATACATAAAGTCCAAGTAAGCAATGGCTAAGCAGCCACAGAAGATGGATAGAATTCACTCCATAGAAGCTAAATTCTAGGTCTTAACTACCAGAGTGAATTACTTCCTTAAGAGAAGAGAACTTAAAGTTGGTTCGGTAACCCTGAATCAAAAGAAAAGATGCAGACACAGCATCTTCTCTAATTCAGTGTGGTGGCCTCGTATCCTCTTGGGAGAGCAGACAACTAAAGACCAGCCACCTATCAGTCCCTGGACCTTCTCCTAAATTAGACTTCACCTGACCTATTTTTACACAGATCAGCAAGTCAGTATAAAAACCCAGGAGAAAATGCAACCGTGCCTACAGAAGGGAAAGGTGCTCTTAGGAAAGGTTGTGCACACACCTTTTGACCTGCAGGGAAAAGCTGGAGCTCCTCAATAGTGAAATGCAGCCACACTGGGGATGGTTGGCGCAGGATGAGACGCAGGGCGGCCACCCGGTCCACATCACAAAGCATCTGACAAGAAGACAGCAAGGCATGACTGCATCAGCCCTTGCAGCAGTAAGGAACTAGCAATGACGCTAACGCACTACAACAGTGCAGCGAATACGATCCCCACTGGAGACAAGGAGGTATTACCGATCTGTTATCATACTACGATTTTTCATAAAAACTTCTCTGTTGAAAGGGCATCTCTCTTGGAATTGTTCATCTTGATGTCAGAAGACCAGCATCATGCAAAAAGCAACATCCTGTGCCACTTAGCGTTACCAAGACACTAACCATAGTGGAGGATTCAAAATGGGCTAGAAGACACTACCAGGAGTTATAGGGATGAAGGCCAAGGCAGAATTTTACAGTAATCTGCTGTGCAGAACAATTCAATTCACAGAGTGTTACACCTGGAGATCTAGAGAGATCCTGGCTCAGCCATGGACTAACTGGGCAGCTTCAGGTATATCACAATTTCTATGCCATAGCTTAGCAAATTCAAAAGAGTGACTGTAAGAACCCACTGCAAAGGGTATATTGCAAGGTTAAGAGAAGGTAAAGGCAATAAGATACTTTACATGTTAAAAAGTAGTGCAGAAATGAGTGACTGCATAATGGCTACACTTGGCTCACTCTATAGCGACTACCCTGCTTACAGTCTACCTTCTAACAGTATCCTGGTAGCCTGTGTGACAACTCCAGGGGCCAGAAAGTTGGGTTTCAGCTCAGCCACACTTCAAACTTTGCTGGGACAGTGACTTGGTACGACGATTCTGAGAAATATAGAAACAGAGCGAGTCAGAAGGGACCTCCCGGGCCATCTAGTCTGACCTCCGGAAGACCTCAGAAATGATTGTATGATGGCTTTGGGGGATTTTCTTATCACACAGGCTGGCGATCCTACTGAAGCAGAGGTCAAACTCTGCTTCAATATGGGGCAGTGACCCAGGCAGTTGAAGCAATTGCTTCTGAACAACGTTTCTCTGGATGTAAATTAAAGTTAGTTCTTTGGTGGTTTGAGAAGCTGAAAGCAAAGAAAAATAAAGCAACTGTGGCAGGGGACTTGCAATGACTCCAATCAATCACAGGCTGGAGAACACACAGTCTGCACTGCAGTAATACCAGAAGAGTAAGATTCAAAGTTGGCCAATGGAGCTATCTGAAATAGTAAGGAGAGTTTTGTATTTTAACAAGACAGATGAAATAATTGCTTGGTAGCTGCTGTGACTAATTTACCAGGCCCTTTGTAGAAAAAGTTGCTCCTGGTAGCTCTTCCGATTTTGATACATCATTTATAGAAGTGCCAGTTAGCTGGAATGCTATTTGAGCAGCCAAAAAAGCAGGTGGGATTCTTGGGAGAGGTGGGGAGAATGACATGTATACTCAGTCCGTGTACCTATTCACCTTCCTTTACCTAATGAAAAGCTCATCACAACTTCAACTGTACAAAGCTGTAGGCTAGCGTGATTGAGAATTACATCAGGATGGGATTTCCACCATTAATATTTTGCTTTTTTGGAGAGTGCCAAGCGCTTAGCAGTGTAAGTTCAAGTGGACTTGGCTATGCACCCCCGGTGAGGCTCACAACAGCCTGGCCAAAACCATCAGCCGTGGTCACCACTGAAAGATATCATCTGAGCCATCTTATGTATGTTTATCCAGAAGTAAAGCCCCAGAGAATTAAGTGAGACTAACTCCCAAGTAAGTGAGCATAAGATTGCAGCCTAGGAATATGAAGCCTCGACATTTACTGACAAATTCCAGAGAAGTACTCTTATAAGTTTGTTACAGCCAACAAAGACAGGATTCATGCTAATCCCTTTATGATACATTTTGCAGGATTTACTTAGTGATCTTCCTGCAGCACTTACTGTGCAGGCATGATATGAAAAGTGCAGGTTGCAAAATATGAAGGTTAAAACAGTGACGGTGAACCTTTTAGAGACTGATTGCCCAAACTGCAAACCAAAACACATTTATTTATTGCAAAGTGCCAACATTACAATAAAACCTGAAAACTGAGGTAATCATTTTAAAAAGAAAACTCACAGCCAGTCCAAGCAAATATATACATTTGAAGGGCAATGGGAGAGGTAGGACAGCTCGCGGCTAATGAGTCACAGCTTGGGACAGCATTGCCTGGCGCCGCTACAACTTTCTGCACATCTGCATGTCCACTGTGTGCGCTGTTAGCCAACGCTCGGCTGCTGGGGTAATACTGGGGTGATTTGGCTCGCATGACGACAGAGAGGGATCTGCGTGCCAAGTACGGCATGCATGAAAAAGATTCACCGCCACTGGCCTAACCTATCCCTGGTGCACTCTGCTAACACTAATAAAGGGGTGATATACCATTGAAAAAAGGGTGGTTTTTAAAAACCTTCCTTGAGGAGCTTTTTCTGCACAGCTCATCATTTCTGACCATTCTAAACACATTCCAACTATTGAAATTAGGCCAGGACACCTCATTTTTCTAACCCTAACCCTACCCAGGTGCAGACCCCTAAACCTAATATACGGCTAAAGTTCCATTCACAATAATGCATTTTGGAAATGCCGGCTTTGAGTAGCAATTTCTGCACAGCTCATCATTTCTGACCATTCTAAACACGCTTCAACCATCGAAATCATGCCAGGAAACCTCATTGTTCCAACCCTAACCCTACCGTGGTTCAGAACTCTAACCCTAATATAGGGTTAAAGTTCCATTGAAAGGAATGCGAATTTGAAAAAGCCCTCCATGAGTAGTTCCTACTGCACAGCTCATCATTTCTGCCAATTCTAAAAATATTCCAACCATTAAAACCATGTCAGGACATCTTGTTTTTCTAACCCTAACCCTATCCTGGTGAAGATACCTAACCCTAATTTAGGTTTAAAGTTCCAATGACAATAATGCAATTTTGAAAAAGCTGTTTTTGAGTAGCTCTTTCTGCACAGCTCATGCTTTTTGGCCATTCTAAACACATTCCAACCATCGAAATCATTCCAGGACACCTTGTTTGTCTAACCCTAACCCTACCCTAGTGCAGACCCCTAACCCTAATATATGGGCAATGTTCCATTGACAATAATGCAATTTTGAAAAAGGCCTTTTTGAGTAGCTCTTTCTGCACAGCTCATCATTTCTGCCCATTCTCAAAAAATTCCAAACATCAAATCAAGCCAGGACATCTGGGTTTTCTAACCCTAACCCTACCCTGGTGCAGAACCCTAACCCTAATATATGGGTAAAGTTCCATTGACAATACTGCGATGTTGCAAATGCCCTCTTTAAGTAGCTCTTTCTGCACAGCTCACCTTTTCTGGCCATTCCAAACACATTCCAACCTTCAAAATCATACCAGGACACCTCGTTTTACCAATCCTAACCCTACCCTGGTGCAGACCCCCAACCCTAATATATGGGTAAAGTTCCATTGACATTAGTGCGATTTTGAAAAAGGCGTTTTTGAGTAGCTCTTTCTGTACAGCTCATACTTTTTGGCCATTCTAAACACATTCCAACCACCGAAATCATTCTAGGACACCTTGTTTGTCTAACCCTAACCCTACCCTGGTGCAGACCCCTAACCCTAATATATGGGTAAAGTTCCATTGACGATAATGCGATTTTGAAAAAGGCGTTTTTGAGTAGCTCTTTCTGCACAGCTCATCTTGTTTGGCCATGCTAAACACATTCCAACCGTCGAAATTATGCCAGGTCACCTCGTTTTTCCAACCCTAACCCTACCCTGGTGCAGACCCCTAACCCTAATATATGGGTACAGTTCCATTCACAATAATGCAATTTTGAAAAAGCCCTCTTTGAGTAGCATTTTCTCTACAGCTCATCCTTTCTGACCATTCTAAACACATTCCAACCATGAAAATCATTCCAGAACACCTCCATTGGCTAACCCTAACCCTTCCCTGGTGCAGACCCCTAACCCTAATATATGGGTAAAGTTCCATTGACAATAATGCAATTTTCAAAAAGGCGTTTTTGAGTAGCTCTTTCTGCACAGCTCATCTTTTTTGGCCATTCTAAACACATTCCAACCTTTGAAATCATGCCAGGACACCTCGTTTGTCTAACCCTAACCCTACGCTGGTGCACACTCCTAACCCAGTATAGGCCTAATGACAACAATTCGATTTTGCAAAAGCCTTCCTTGTGTAACTTTTTCTGCATATCTCAGCATTTCTATCCATTCTAGGCACAATTCAATCATCAATAGCATACCAGTTCATCTCGTTTTTCTAACTCTAACCCAGTTATGGTGAACCTTTTAGAGACCAAGTCCCTAAACTGCATCCGAAAACCCATTTATTCATCACAATGGACCACCACTGGAATAAACCTGAAAATAGCCAGTTCAAGCAATATACATATATCTTTGGCAGCACACTGACCGGACGTGCAAAAGCTCGGATGAATCGCTGCTAATTTGTTGCGGCTTGTGACGTCATCGCCTGGCACCCCTACTCCTTTCCAAGCATGCGCAGGGTCCCTATCTACACTGTTACCTGGTGCTCAGCTGCTGGCTCAATGCTGGGGTGACTTGACTCATGTGCTGACAGAGAGCTCTGCGTGCCTGTTTTGGCACGTATGCCATAGGTTCGCCACCACTCAGTTAAAAAAAACCCCCCACATCGAAACAGCTGTATACAATGACAATGGAGGTAGAAATTCTGACCTGATGTCTGGAGAGAGAGAAGTACTCTTGGGAGCCTTCCTCTGTATGTGGGTTGGGCATCAGGCAGTAATTCCGCAAACAGGTCACCCATTTGGAAGGGCTTTCATTCCCACCATCTGCAGAGCTTCGGCGCTGCACTCGCATGGTCAAAAAGGCAGTGTAGTAGTTCTTGAACACAATCTCTTGCAACTAAAATAAGAAATAAGCAAGCTGTTTGAAACCTCAGTGAGCAATACATAACATCCTGCAGAAGGTTTGTGCTTGTGTGTGTGTGTGGGGGGGGGACTGATTCAAGTGAATTCCTCCTTTACTTACTCAGCAAACCTTCAAAGGCAGGTTCATCTTATTATTTCCCTATTACAAATAGGAGTAAAAGTAGAAAAGCTCATGTACAGCTATTCAATGCACCATCCTATGCATGTTTAAGATAGAAAAAATGGCCTACAACTGCCAGGATTGCCCAGGAACATAGGTGGGGTATTTATTTATTTATTTATTTATTTATTTATTTATTTATTTATTTATTTAATATCCCACCTTTTTCCCTTTCAAGGAACTCAAGGTGGCTTACATAATTCTCTTCCTCCTTCCTCCCTCAATTTCCTCCTCACAACAACAACCCACTGAGGTAGGTTGGACTGAGAGTCTGGGTTTAGCCCAAAATTATCCAGATACTTTTATGGCTGAATGGAGACTTGAACCCAGATCTCTTACATCACCAGACCAGTACTCAAACTGCACTTGAGTCTCAGGTCTTTCTTCTGCCTAAATTGGCATTAGATTGCACTCTGTAAATTAATGTCAGAGGTGAGATCTGAAGGTCCTTGTAGCTCGTCTTCTTTGTTTCAACACCAGCTATAGGGTTAAAATCACGATGGATTACAAACATGATCTGTTAATGGTCAGCACCCGCTCCAACATTTGGCTTTTTTTTCACACTTACGTCAATGGCCTGTGAGTGTGGGAGTAGAACGTCAATCACCACAACACCAGACCGACCTAGCTCAGTTCGCACATCGCCCACTTGCAGAGTTACTGGGCTCTTGACAGTGCAGGGCGCAGGCTCGCAGGCCATGGTCCCCATGCTGGAAGAAAGCAATGGACTCAGTTCAGCGGTGGTACAGAATAATCACAACCTCTGTCACTCCGTAATGGAGTTCAGGAAGCTCCACCCTTCCCGTGACCCTAACAGCATTTGGACCCTTACTCTGCAAGTGCCAGGGAGTCATATTCCCAGATCCCCGCTGCCTGGCCCCAGAGGCCCAGTGCTGCTGCTCCCACCCACACGCACGTGCCTCTATTGCAGCCATTTGTCCCAGCTGCGGCAGAGCTGGAGTGTGGCCTGAAGACCATGCAGGCAGAGGAGGAGCGATGTGGAGTGGTGGGCTCCCCACGGCCATTTAGGCTGACACACCCAAGCCCTTGGGCAGCCGCCCTTAGGCAATGCAAGAGGCCTGGCGCTTTGTGGGTTTTGTTTTTGTTGCACGAGTCTTGTGTGTGTGTGTGTGTGTGTGTGTGTGTGAGAGAGAGAGAGAGAGAGAGAGAGAGAGAGAGAGAGAGAGAGAGAGAGAGAATGTGGAATGGCGGCAGAATGATTAAAGAAGTTGTTGATGGAATGTGGAGGTTATTGTTGTAAAGTGGTTGCCTGAAGGATGTTGGATGTTGCTAAAGGCAAGCGGAGGCTATGATTGGTATGATGATAATGTGGATGATAGACTGAGGTTGAACGTATATTGTATAGGTTGTAATTGGAGTGTTAGTCTTGTGTGTATGTATGTGTTCCTGTGCTTGTCTGTGCCATAAGTGCTAGATTATGGAAGAGTGCAGGGGTACCCCAATTATAGTGTTTAGACAGGGGGAGACAGGGTCATGGAGACTGATTGGCCATCAAAGGAGAATGGGGGACCGATGTCTTACCGCTCTCCCATGTTCTGCTCTCTCCTCCAACCTGATGATATGCAGTAATCATGTCAGCCTACCCTTTGGCCCGGTGCTGCTGCTGTTGAATGCCAGGTCAGTACATAATAAGATTTTGCTCATCCACAATCAAATTGTGGAGAAGTGTGCTGAGCTGGCATGGATTACTGAAACCTGGGCAGGCAAAGCAGACAGAGTTGTTCTCTGCTTTGTCCCCCACATACTCGGTCTATTGCCTTGTGGGGCCAAGGAGGGAGAATGGCTGTGATTCATAGGAATTCCATCTCCCTCTCTATGCTTCCTGCCCACTCATGTCCAGGCCTTGAGTGTTTATCAACTCAGTCCTCTCCTTCCTTGCAGACCCTGTGGAGTGGAGCTGAGGGTGATGAAGCAAGCCAAAAGATAACTAGCGCACAGGAGGCAGAAAATACAGGATGAATCTGATCAAACGTAGCTTAGAGATCATTATCAAGCCTACTCAGTCTACCCAGGTGGACTCAGTTGCCAGGAGTGCCTTCTACCAGCTCTGGTTGATTTACCAATTACAGTCCTACTTGGATGAGTGTAGTCTTGCCACAGGAATTCCTGCACTGGTAACCTCCAGACTGGGCTACTGTAATGCACTTTATGTGGGGTTTCCCTTGAAGACAGTCCAGACTCTTCAAACGATCCAAACAGGATAACGTGGTTTCTGACAAGAACCAGTTCTCATGAACACATTACACCGGTCCTTCAACACCTGCACTGGCTGTCTGTTCCAGTTTGGGCTGAATTCAAGGTTTTGACTGAGATATATGAAGTTCCAAACAGCCTGGGACTACATTATCTTGCCTGCCCGTTGTTTAAGATAATCAATGGAGCCCCTCCTGTAGGTTCCTATCCCTAGGGAAGTTATGATGGAGGTGGCAAGGACGGCCTTTTCTGTGGTGGCACCCAAATTATGGAACACATTGCCATTGGAGATTCGTCAGATGCCTATTTTGTTGAGTTTTAGGCACATGATGAAAACATTCCTTTTTTGATGCACCACCAAACTATTTATATGACAGCACTGATTTTAATTTTAATTTATTTTTAATGTTTTGTTGATATATATGTGTGCGCTTTATTTTGTCTATTTATTTCAATATTTTAATTGTATTATTTTATTATTATTGATACTTTATTGTGATGGCTGCCCAGCCAGCATTATGCTAACAGGCCGCTTTTATACAAATTTATTTATCAAAAATAAACCCATCAACAAGCCATGTTCTGCAGATCAGCTGGGAAACACAGTTGCTCTGTGTCATAGATCTGATACTGCCACTTAAGAAAAGCTCATATTTCGGTAGACTTCATGCAGCTGCAATCCTATGCACTACTGCTTGGAAGTATGCCACATTATACTCAGCTGCACACACCTCTGAATAAACAAGCATGAGGTTGAGCCCCTCATGGCAACAGAGAACTTTATTATACACCAAACTAAATGCAGCAGTGATGGGTTGGGTCCATACTTAGAGTAGACCCAATGAAATAAATGGGACTTAGATTCCAATAGGTCTACTTTATATATGACCAAGTTTGGATCAAACCAAAAACAATAACAATGAAGATAATGATGTTCCCATTGGATTATACTGGCAAAGCCAGAACAACCCTTAACAGAGCCTAGGAACCCATGCTCTGGTAACCCCCTGATTGGACTATTGTAACACTCTCTACATGGGGATGCCCTTGAAGATGGTCTAGATACTTCAGTTGGTCCAGAACAGAGCAGCCAGGCTTCTAACAGGGACTGGTAGATATACACACGTAACAGTGGTCCTTTACTGCCTGCATTGCTTCTAACAGAAGTCCAGGCTCAATTTAAGGTGTTGATGATGACTTTTAAACCCCTAAATGGTTTCGGCCTGGGTATCTGAAAGCCCGCCCCAAAGATCTGGCTCACAGGTCCTTCTTCAGGAGCTCTCTTTGAAGGAGATCAGAAGCATGGCTACCCGAAGAAGGGCCTTTTCTGCATTGGTGCCCCAGCTTTGGAACATGCTCCTCAGAGAGGTGTGCCTGGCACCAACGCTGTGTTCATTTCGAGACCAGGCCAACACTTTTTTATTTTCCCGGTATTTTAAGAGCTGATTTAGGTTTTTATTGGGTTTTGTTTATCTGATGCTGCTTTTTACTGTTGTATTGCTGTCCTGAGACCTCGTTAAAGGACGAGGTTAAAAATGCCTTAAATAAATAGATACATAAATAACAGGCCCAGGACAAGTGACGGGTAACGTGAAGGCTCCCAACACCCCCGCAAGCAACGGCTCAGCTCCGTCCTCCGAGTCCCTCCCGGCGCTTCCGTAGCCCGCCCAGTTCCATTGTGAACTCCCGAGCATCCCTAGGTCACCAGGACGACTCGCCTGCCCGGGCAGCCTGACCGCAGACGCTTCCTGCTCCTTGCCCCGCAACCGTCCCTCTTCCTTTTGCCTCGTCGACCTCCCAGTGTAAACCCGAGACGGGCGCAGACTGGGAAGATCGGCGGCTTTTCCTCGCACCTGCTTGACAAGCGAATGCCACTACAAACATGGCAGCATCGCGCGTCACGGACGTTGCCACTACTACCGAGCGGGTTCCGAGGGCGGAGCCTTCGTTGCTACGGTCACGTCACATCCCGTTTAGAGGCGGGAGAATCCGCTGAGAAGCAGGAGGTTTCTTGAAGTTGTCCCTCTAGTATGGAAAATATAGTGACGTGTCTGGCGGCGGCCTGAGATGACGCAATTCACTCGCCCTTTTTCGTTCTTTTGTTGCTACGGCAACGGGGTAGCTTACAGCTTGATTGGCTGAAAAGTCCGGCTACTTTTGGTCGGGATTGGATGGCTGGGAAGCTAGGCCACGTCGGGGACATTGATTGGTCGAATGGTTCGAACGGAGCTTGACGGGGATGTCGTGGAGGCTTGTTCTGTCTAGCGCGGGTGGGGAAGCGCTTCTGGGCTGGGACGGGAGCGGCAGGTGAGTAGCCGGAGCGGAGCGCGGAAGGCTCTTTTCGGGCTTGCCTTCGTGAGCTTCGCAGCGTTTAGGCCTGGTTGCTTTAGCTCACCGCGCCGAGTACCGAAGGCTTGCGGCAGCGGTTGGGCTCTGGAGGCGCCGGCCAGTTTTGCACGGCTGGACGCCACAGGGAGCTAAGACAGGTAGGCTTGTCCTGGCTGAAAGTGGGGCTGGTGGTCAAGGAACGCTCTGGGGTCTCTACAGCCGAGGGCTCACCCTTTTCTCTTTCCCCCACCCCCAGACAAGGATGAAGGCACTGATCCTAGTGGGGGGCTATGGCACGCGACTGCGGCCCCTGACCCTCAGCATCCCCAAGCCGCTGGTCGAATTCTGTAATAAGCCCATCCTGTTGCACCAGGTGGAGGCCTTGGTGAAGGTAGGATTCAGTACCAACCTCAGGTGTGTCTGCACGAGTGGTCAGGCTGATGCTGGGTGGTGTTGACTTCATTGTTTTGTTTCTTGAAGACGTTTGTGGAAGGTTGAAGGTCAATAGATGAAGCTTTTTAGGCTGTTGCGGTATTTCCTTGTGGATGAAAGTATTACTGGTTAATATCTTTCTGCCAAAGCAGGAAGACACCGAAACTTTGTTAAGAAGAACCTGGAGTGAGGGAACAGGCATACTCATACTGGGGAGTGTACAGATTGATGCTTCACACTTTCTGCTTAAGGAACATTTCATCTGTAGGCATTTTCTGTACTCTTCTAATGCATTGAGGGCAAATTAAGTTACCATGATGTACAGAAAATTGGACAGCAAATTGCAAAATGATCTGTGTGTTTGGTATCTTGATTTGTGGCTGGAAAAAGTGCACAGACTGATTTCTAAATTCAGTGCACAATCACAGACTAATTTATAAATTCAGCCAACAGTCCATTTCCCACTTTAGGACAGGAATGTATGAATTCTAGCTGCTGCTCTGTGTAGCATAACTACTTCCTAGAGTAATCATGATCTCAGTCAGTAGTCAAGTCAGTTTTTGTCTCCCTACCTCTAGAATAGTTTCTTTTGGGTGATAGTACTGAATGCCAATTTACACCTCCCTGACAGGCAGGTGTAAACCATGTGATCCTTGCTGTCAGCTATATGTCTGAACTGCTGGAAAAAGAGATGAAAGAACAAGAACAAAGGGTAAGTGTTCTGAAGTCAACAATTCCTGGGCTGCTTACTAGAATGGGATGCTGTAGAAAGGTAGCCATCTATCTGGGAGACAACTCAGACCTGCTACATTTGCTAGGATTCCCTCTTAATGTGGAATAATTTCTTAAAAAGCTGCTTATCTACTACCACACCAGATCATTCCCACAAAAAAATTATGCTCATGCTAACTAATGATTATTTTTTCTACTACTTATTATCTAGAGATTTGACAGGTCACTTTAACATTGGGGCTTTGCTCCTGCATGGAAAAGGATCTGTTTTAGACTTTGCTGAGTTAGCTACCCTGTCTGTGTTAGTATCTTGTCTGTGTGAAATTCAGTACAGGCAGTCCCCAAGTTATGAACAAACTGTACTGACAAATGAACTGCCATAAAACCTATTAATTTTTTTCAAAAAATGCAGAAAATTGACATCACCACAGGGAGAAGGGAAGCAAAAGCGGGGAAAGGGAAGGCATCCAAAGCATTACCATAGAAAGGGAGGGAGCAAAAGGGGAGAGCAAAAGGGGAGAGAGGGAGGCCTCCAAAGCATGCCTTCCTGCCCTGCCCATCCAGAGAGGGAAATAGCTCAGCATTTCCTTTCTGCAAAGAGGCGGCACTGGTGAGTTTGAGTGGTGGGAGGGCTAGAGATATTCCACTTAGGGTCCTGTGACCCTAACTCCCGCGAATGTGGAGGGCCAAGTATATGTGATCCGACTTGCATACAAATTCAACTGAAAGATGAATTTTTGTTTTCTCAGGAACAGAACTAGTTCATAACCTGGGGACTGCCTATACTATGTTTTTTTTAAAAATAGCTTATAGCTAGCAAAACAATGTGTTTTCTATACTGTGATTTTAACAGAGGTTAACTAAATCAAAGTCATACCCTTAAATACTGTCCACTTCTGATATTTTAAATAGCTGGTTTTTAGTGCTATTCTATGCTGCTTTTCTGCGGCTTCTGCTAAGGAAGGATTTCTGGATTCAGATTAACTGCTTGATAAACTAGCTATAAAAGTGTTGCTGAAGTCCAGAATGAAGGAAAGGATCCAACTGTAATGGTTTCACTTTTGCTCCATTTTTATGACTCCATACAGTTTATCTACAGGCAGTTTACTTTGTCTTCATTTTTCACAGAGACAACAGCTGGTCTACAACTGTACTTCAGACTTCCCAGTGTAAAGTGTTCAGCATTGTTACTGCTGTTGCATTGACTGTACAGTCTCTTATATTTGGGGCTTCAAGTGTGCCTCATGCCTACTGGATGGATCCTAAAATAAGTTGTCTTGAGGAAGTAGTCTGCACCTATCTACAGCTCCCCAAAAGCCTCTCTAGTGGGTTTGGGGTCCCTGCTGGGATGGGAAGCAGAGACCTTTTGGGTAGAAAAGGGAATGAGAAACTTAAGGTGCAATTCTATGCAAGCTTAGACAGGAAAAAAAGACCTACAAATCCAGAACACCCCAGCCAGCTATTATGGGAGGTGTAGGCCTTTTTCTGTCTCAAAGTTGGATAGGCTTGCACTGTAAATTAACTTTTCTTAAGATCCAAGCCATTGGTGCCGAACTTGTATTTACAGCTTGGTAACTGCTGAGATACCAAACAAAGTTTATTTAAAGTTCTGTTGAACTACATGGACCTGCTACCAAATAAGTATGCTTAGGATTAGGAAGTTAGAATGATCTCTTTTAATTAAGTCATCTTTAATTTATGCTGTCCATTTGTAGATTTACTAGAGCAGGTGTTAGCACAACTTAGAACAAAGCCCACATTCTTCATGTTGCCATTAGTCATTCAGTAATATCATTATAATTGGCTTGCCCTTTTCAGAGAGGGCTTTTGGAAGTCAGGTGAGTGGGCATGGGGATCTTATGGCAATTACAAGAGTAGGCAGCTCCTCCAGATATTTTGGACTACAGCTCCCATAATCCATGATACTTGGCTATACTAACCACCCAGAGAGCTTTGGCTTTGGGGTGGTATATAAATAGACAAATTGGGTATTGTTTATGGAAGTTGTAGTCCAAAACACCTTGAGGACAACAAGTTGTAGAAGGTCACACTCATTCTTTTATTTTCTAAATTTTGTTTTGTTTTCCAGTTGGGCATTCACATTTCCCTGTCGCATGAGAAGGAACCACTGGGCACAGGTAACTGATGTAGCCAGTTCCTGGCCAGTGGGCTTGAATTACTGGATTTAGGGGGAGTCACTGTGGGATTAGAATCTAATCTTTTGGCAGCCTGAAGTGTCCTGGCTGCACATATATAAAAGATTGGTTACTTATTTGTAACAGCAGTTTTATCTGATGAAACTTCCTTAGGTACCTAGTACAATGCATGTTGGTTATGGTTGCTGTAGGGCTTATGAATAAGTCAACTCTGATGAACTCCAATTTCCTCTGCAGCTGGCCCCCTGGCCCTTGCACGCGAGCTGTTGACAGACAGTGCAGAACCATTTTTTGTGCTCAACAGCGATGTGATCTGTGACTTCCCCTTCATAGACATGATGCGCTTCCACAGACATCATGGGAAAGAGGGCACCATTGTGGTAGGTATTTGAGGTGCAGCAGATGCACGCTTGAATGCTTTATTGCACAGGACTTCTAGAGGATCTTTTCTGATTGCTAAGAGCAAAGTCTGAGCACAGCAGGCTAATTTAGGATATGGGAACCACCAGCTCTTAGTCATTAGCGAAAACTGTAGTTTTATGAGCAAAGGGAAACTAACTTGCCACAACTGCTTCTGATGCTGACTTTGCTTGTAGGTGACAAAAGTGGAGGAGCCCTCCAAATATGGTGTAGTGGTATGTGATGCAGATACTGGATGTATACACCGCTTCGTGGAGAAACCTCAGGTTTTTGTCTCCAACAAGATCAATGCTGGCATGTACATCTTAAACCCAAGTGTGCTAGAGCGGATCCAGGTATGCAGAAGGAAGGATGGAAGAGAGTGTGCGTAGAACTGCCTGTCTGAGGTTCCTGGGGCTGTGATTCTAGTTGGGCTTCATGTATATTTAAGTTCTGAAGCAAGAATGATCAAGTGACTGAACTCTTGCCTCCTCCTAGCTGCGGCCTACCTCGATTGAGAAAGAGATTTTCCCAGTGATGGCAGAGCAAGGACAACTGTATGCCATGGAACTACAGGGTAAGGACTATGTCATGTAATACCACTTTGGGAACATGTTGAAATATTCAAAATTATGCCTTCCTGGGAGGCTGTCAAAACTAAAGGTGATTTACAGAGGTTATGCTGGACAACACTACAGTAATTTAGCAAGGTCCTCTGGAAGCTAGAGGTGCAGTTCAGCAGCAAAATAACACTAGGAAGAAAGAATTCAAATAGCATACCATATGCCATCTTTTAACAAATGTACAGCCTATTTTTATTCTCTGGAACATTTTTTGAGTTCAGGTGAAATCCTAGATTGCTATCCACAATTCTCCAACCTTAAAGATTATGGGCACCAACAGCTCTCAGAAACATTTAGACAGTTGATACATTTGACCCCCAAATGTTTTCTTCCCCCTTGCAAGGGAAAGAGGTTGAGGTGCTGCTTGGGTTTGGTGGCCTCACTCATTCCATCCTTGTCCCCTAGTGCCTGTTGCAAAGATGATCTTCCATCTTCAGTTGCTTCAGAAAAGTGGAGCGAGTCCCCTCTGCAACTTTGGAAGGCTTTTCCAAGGCTGCAGTAGAGGATTTGCTCTTCTCCCGTGGCTGGCCAGACTGCATCTACTGAACGTGGGATTGTACCCTTAGAGAACTTAGCAAAGTGTCACTGTGTACATTACTATATACCTTCAGGAGCAGAGACAACATGCCTCTGAATACAGTTGCTGTGAAACAGTGTTGGGAGAGGGTCTACTGTCATCATGGCTTGCTTGTGGGCTTCTCTAAGCCTTCTGATTGATCAGAGTAGGAAAACAGGATGCTGGACCAGATGTTCCTGTTACTGAATGTGCTGAACTGATCACAAAATGCAATTCAGAGTAGCAGCATTTTATTTTGTTAATGCTCTTCAAAAACTTGTTAAAAGCATCCCTGTCTAAATGTCAGCATTCAGTCTCCCCTGAAGAATGAACAGGATTTGCTTATCGCAGGTTATTTCATAGCGCTGAAGCATTTGGTGCAATGCACTGAGCAGTGTTACAGCCTTGGGAAACAAACGAACCTGGTGCTTCTAGTATCTTAAGAGGAGAGTGACTAGAAAGCATGATGTTGCTTCCTTCCACATGTCCTCCAGGTCTGGAGCTTGATTGCCCATCTGCTACTATGGGTAGAGCTCCTCCCACTTAGGTATTTAATTAACATCAGTGACCCTAGTAAAAGTTCTGTCCAAGGATACTGGTGTTGTATTAACCTAGATTTTGTCATCGCAGGGTTTTGGATGGACATCGGGCAGCCCAAAGACTTTCTGACGGGCATGTGTATGTATCTGCAATCGCTGCGACTGAAGCAGCCTGAGCGGCTTCACTCAGGACCGGGCTTCATGGGAAATGTACTAGTGGTAATTAAACTCTTGTATTATTGGAAGCGAGGAGAGCAAGCAGCTTTCAGTAGCAGTCAGTCTAGAGCTGGTTATATGTGAATTGGACAAGAAAGCAGTAGTTCTTGGTATCTACTCTCTTGGGGTCTAAAGCTGTGTGGGAATGTTGCTTACTGCTTAGTTTCCTCAGAGAAGAAAGCTGCTTCCTGGCTTGGGGACCAGGAAGCTTCCCAGGGAAAACCACAATGTTCTTTCATGCCAGTTTTTATCCCATTTCAGGACCCAACTGCCAAGATTGGATCAAACTGCAGTATTGGTCCAAATGTCACCATTGGGGCAGATGTGGTGGTAGAGGATGGGGTTCGGATCAAGCGCTGCACTGTTCTGAAGGGTTCCCGCATCCGTTCTCATTCTTGGCTGGAGTCCTGTATAGTTGGCTGGAGTTCTTCAGTGGGTCAATGGGTGAGTGATGATTGTAGTTAGTCAACGACATGGCTGAGCTCTGGAGGGCACAGGATGCATAAATGCTGTGGATCTTAGTTATCCAGTTGGGTTTTCACTCCTTGGACAAACTATGTTTCTACCCCATGCATGCATGTGTGTACTCTCTTAAACACTGGACCGCTACCTTTGAAGATATGTGCAGTCCCCTCATACTGAGGGCCAGTATAGTTAAAATGACGTTTGCTCCATACATTCCCAGTCGAGTATCTTTCAGTGCTGCTCTCAGTCCAGAAGTGTCCGTCATTTCCTCTTTGCGGCGTGAGTAGCAGCTGACTGAGTAAGCTGTGTGTGCAGGGAACAGGGAATAGGCTTAACTGTTCCCTGTAAACTCTCCAGGCATTAAACTGGCACCACCCCCCTCACCATGTGCTTAATTAGCAGCCCTGGGCAAGGAACTGTTCAGACCTGCCTCTCGAATCACCATGTACATGGACTGCAGCAGCAAGTAACCTTCCAGCCAAGTCCATCATATCAAAGTTCTTTTTCCTAGCCCAGCAGAGGGGCTCTAAAATGTAACTGCATCCCATGCTTTTCTTTCAGGTGCGGATGGAGAATGTGACAGTGCTGGGTGAGGATGTCATTGTGAACGATGAACTCTACCTCAATGGTGCCAACGTGCTCCCTCACAAATCCATTGCAGAGTCAGTACCGGAGCCACGCATCATCATGTAGCAATTCCGGGTGTTGAGCGCTGCACCAGCTAATAAGGCTGTGCCCCTGCCTTGCCCTCTACTTGGGGCATCCCTGCCCTGTGTGCCTTGACAGAAGGGGCTTGCTGAGTTTTCAACTAAACTTTTCTCTAAATTAACACTTTGCCCCACTGCTGACCTCCTATCCCTTTGCTGGGGTCCTGGGAATACCTTGGGAGCTGGAACACTCTTCAGGATCATGCTTGGGAAGAGGGGTAGGGGAGGAGAGCCTGGTACAGCTCCAGCTTTGTCCTGCTGCGCAGAAATGCCCTGATTTGGAAAGCTACCCTAATCAGCAATGGGGAAATGATCTGCTTGTGCAATAAACTGTAATACTGTAATAGTTCTGTTGCTCCCATGGAACAGGCCCAGGTAGGGCTGGAGAGGTGAATGAGCAGCATGCTACTTCACGATGGTGTTTCTTGCTCCTGCAGCAGTGCTCTTCTCTGGAACTCTACTGCCTTACAGAACTGGACTCCCTTCACTCCATACAGCCAATAATCAATGCTTATATTGTTCAAGAACCTGGGACAGCTTTCTGTCATGTAATGAAAACAAATGAAGTTCTGTTATATTGTAATCAATGGATGCCATATCTTATATATTGTCTGTCCTATGAGAAGAGCGAAAGATGATGGTGCTGGTCCTTGAAACAGCTCACCTTTACTGTTTTCTTCCTTTAAAGTATCCCTGCAGCCCCAGTGCCAATGGGTTGTTGCTTGCATTCTAGAAAAGGATTTTACAATTGCGGAGAAGAATACATATCTCACAACTGTTAAGGAATAATAATTTAATATTCCATTTTATGGAAGTAACACCCCTTCCAGTTTGGAGGAGCTTAGGGAGAGAGACAATCATAGATGCACATAAGTTAAATTTCTTGCTCCAAGCACAATGTTTGCTGCCCTCCCCAACACTTCTGGTTACAAATCACACACAGTTAGTAAATTAAAAAGAAACACCCTTGTCTGTTCTTGGACAGTACAGGCAGCCTGGTCACACAGTGAAGGGCTGGTGCCATAAGGCACCTTCTGCTGGTAGAAGATAGCAGTGCAGGCAGGATCGCTCCTGCTAAAGCCCATAAAATCAGCCTAATTTGTACTTCTCCCAGCCAGTATCCCACAATGAACTGGCCCCTCCTGTGTCTGATTTTTTCCCTTGGAGAAGCTCAGAAATCCATTTAGACACACCTCTGGCATTGTGGGCTTCATCTCTGCATGTGTTGTTTACAGCACAGTGTGCCCTTTGTTGCATCACTAAGCTTGCACCACAAACGCACGGCCTGGTGTTCTGCTATACTTGGTTAGCTGTCAGGAGCCAGAATCCCTAGGAGCAGATTCAGATTTTTTAGATGGACAGATTACACAGACCTGCACCACTAGATTGTGCATGGAAGAACTGTGTGGCCGCATCTCTCTGCTGCCCAGGGTAATCCTCGAGTGGCTCAGGCAGAGGGGCCACTGCATGGTATACCCACATAAATATTTGAACCAACTCTCTGCTCCCACATGCACAGTCAAATGGCAAAGTGCTGCAGCAGCAAAAAACACACTTGGCTAGTGAGCAGCTGGACTCACGGGATGGAGTCCGGCTGTAGGAACAGCTTTCAGTCCATCATGGAGCCGCTACGCCACAGTTGATGTGTTCAGGACAGGCTTTCCTGGGGCAGATACAGGAAAGGAGCTACAGAATCAGGCTGAGGTAGAGAACCTGAGAATGTTCAGCCCCCTTCTACATACCCACAGAGAAACCCCAGTGCCTGTTGGAGTCAAAAGACCACAACAGAAAGTGTCCCTAGATTCAGGGGGATTAAAGGATACAATGTGGCCCAGCTGGCGCATACAGTGGTGCTTGGCCTGCAAGAGGTGTTATAAATAAAACTGAGCTCAGCTGTACTGAACAGCAGCCACCTCTGACAGAGGTGCTCTCGGAGCAGGGTGAGCCCACCATGTGGAGAAGCTGCCCAGGCATGTGGCCCTGCCCTGCAGGGTCCAGGCACTAGGAGGTGGCTGGCTTAATGTAATCATCCACACCCGTGATGGTAGCTTTGCAGAAGAAGCAGTCCTTGTTGTTCATCAGGTGCTGGTTGATACAGGCTCTAGAAAGATGAGAGGAGGAACCCTTCCATCACTGTTCAAAACGACAAGGCAAACCTCACTCCACTCTTAAAAATAGGTTCCCTAACTGGCGTAATAGCAAATTAACAAAATTTACTATTTTGCTTGTCTGGGAGAGGGCAAGGCAGCCTGCAGTCACTTTTGCTTCTGGTAGTCAACGATGGTTAAAGAAAAAGGGGCACTGAAGCCTTCCCTCAACCCCTGGGAATCCTCCTTAGTTCATCTCGAAGAATTAACCACACATTTTTAAGTCATAGCTTTACAGACTGAAAGGTTAAAAGCGTGCTTCAAATAACATGCTGATTCCCAGGATGATGAATGCTACAACCAGAGTTAAAATTACATGGCTGAACTGCAGTCATAGAAATTGCATCCCTCTAAAATCTGGATGCTTAAGCAGCCATTTAGGATGACTGGCGTAGGGGTGAGGGGCTTGAATTGCTTCCAGCCAAGATAACTATTGAGGGGATTTCAGTGCAGAAGCTTCAGGGGATCCACATAACCACAACCAAATTGGCTTGGTATGTGTCTGTACTGCATTCCAGCCTGCCTGCCTGCCTGCCATCTGATCAGCAGACCAAAGTAGGGACAAGCACTCTTCCCCAGGGGATTACTCACTTGCATGACTTGTGGGAGCATGGCTTGAATACAGCAGAGATTGGATGTGCGTAGCAAATAGGACACAGATCCTCCTCACTGGTTGGCTGCAACAACAAAACAAAAGTCCCTCAGGACTGGAACAGCAGCTCTTTACAGACAACAGCACGCAGTTTCACACTGGACACTTGAATCTGAACCTGCAGGTAGCCCTGGATCCTCTGTGCCAGGAATTCAAAAAAATCTCAAAGCGTGCTACCAGCCGTGCAGTTCCATGGAAAACAGCTTCACTGGCCAGTTTGAAGCCTCTAATCCCTGAGGAGGGCAACAGGGTATCTCTGCTTTCTTTGTCTACAAAATGTGCAAATGTCTTATTTTCTCCTGTTCTTTAGGCTATTCAAAAGCAGTTCCACCCACAGTGGGATTATCCCTTCTGTACTGGTTTCCCAAAGTCAACCAGCACATAAGGCCAAGACTGATTCTTCTAGTGCCCTTGTGGACACATGAATTGAAGTCTATGCAGCTACTGTACCAATGTTGTCAACTGGAGCATGACCTCCCAAAGGTTGCTAAAGTTAACTTTGATAATGTTTCTGTGATACCCACTGTCTACAGATGTATACAGTAGCACTGTTTTAGTCCATTCAGAAAACATGATGCTTAATTGCCTTTTTCATAGGATAACATCATTAACAAAACCATCTATTCCTTTTGTCTGAAGTGTTTCATCTCATGTGCCCATTTGTTTTGGATATATTAAAAACTGGAATAGATCCCCCTTTTTTTTCTTGGTCCTAAGGGACAGCTTTGATAACCAGAATTTCCGACAGATGCCAAAGAGCTTGTTTGAACATAATGATGTTCTGCTAGATTCTTGTACTTGAGTGAGGTCATGAACTTGTTTCTGGGGTGATGGGAGAAACTCCAGGGCATAGCCCTGTGAGGCTGACACCAGTGTCCATGCATCTGAGGTGGGCTTGTGGACAAAGTGAAGAACTCTATGAGCCCCTGAAGCCCAGCCTGACTGGTGTCAGGAAGCATGTGTCCTCCCATCTTTGGAACAGCTGCTACACCACTGGACTACCAACTCTGTTGCAAACATCCCAGGTGAGCAGCGGTGCATACAACAGGCACGCAAAACTGCCATGCCACCACATAGCTCCACTGGGAAGGGGTCAGCTGCATCACTTGGTTCTGCTTTTCCTCCCTCCCTCCCTCCCATGTATGCCTCTTGCTTCCATGTTGAGGTGAGGGGAGAAGTGAAAGAAAAGGAAAATTTCCTCTTAAAACTTGCAAGACATGACTGCAGAGCTCATGGAAGACTCTTTTGTACTTCTGATAAGCAGGATAGGGCTGGAGAACAAGGACATTCCTTTCTTTAGAAGAAAGAGCACTATGTGGAGACCACCTGCTCAATCAGGGCTTTACTAAATAAACCCTCAAATAATATTCTCAAAGACTAAACAAGTCAAAGTGTTCTCCAGGAGCCCTGGAAAAACTAGGGCAATCAATGGCGACTCAACTGAATCTGAACTTGAAGAAAGATTTTAGGCAGACTGACCAAAGGCAAACAGTTTCCATCCAGAATCATCTCTTCTTTATGTGCTTGTTCAGCCACTTTAATCCAGGAAGGCCGATACATCCCCATTTTTCTCTGAGACATTAAAGCGGATCACATATACCTCTACAGCTCTGGGATACAGTTATTAGTTCACTAGACCCAATGTCCAGAAAGTACTGAATTGTTGTGAACGTGCAAGATGCTTTTTGATGTTGTTAAAGCCATAAATGTGTCTCTCAAACTCCAGAGCATAATTGCAAGACTATTTTGTTTCCAGAACATGCTTCTGATCATAGACCCAGGACAGATGCATCAGGAAACTTATGATGAGTATTAGAGTACAGACCAGATTGGCATCATGTCATGAGACTTCCTGGCTCTCCTGAAGTAGCTAGAAGCTAAGGTGACCTGCTCCAAAGAGGAGCTCTAAAAACAGATTTTTTTTCTGTGCCATTTGGATCCTTTGGAATTCTTGGCTTGTTAACTTGCTTAGAGGGACAAAGTAATTAAGCAGAACTGCTTGGAAAGCATATTTCATTGAATGCCGTATGCAAATCCTGTGTCTTTTGTATCATTGAGAATATTGTCTGGTCATTGGCCCATTAACTTGATTCTAAGAAAGGTTTATTTGTCACTTTAGCGCGGAAGCCAGGCTCAACATCCCAGGCTCCCAGCCATGTTTCAATTTGCAATGACTGAAGATGCCATTGGCTTTGGCATCAAACTGGACTACACTGAAGAACAAATCAGATAGTCAGCAAGATCTTGTAGAGGCCAGCCTTCCTATGACTGGGCTTTGTGCAAGTGGTAAGCTCACTGGTTGTCAGGCACACCTGTTCTGGAAAACTTCGGGTACACACAAGAGGCTAGCTGTTTCGTTAGGACTGACAGTTCAGACTCAGATACTGAGATGATTGTTGAAATGGATCCAGTTCCATCTGCAGCCCAAGGCCCTACATACCCACCTGTGCCTGTTATGAAAGAGATCAGTTCAAGAGCAGCTGAGGGGGCCAGTCAACCCATCCATGGGAACAGAGAAGAGCAACAACATCTGGAGCAAGATGATTTAGAGATGGGTAGATGGAGAACTCCTGCCTCCTGAGAAGGTGGACCTGATGGTCCATCATCACAGTCCTCAGGTGGCCCAGTTGGGGTCTCTGAGAGAAGAGTGCAGGTATGCCTGGTTTCACAAAGCTCCTCCCACCAGAGACAGATGCAGAATGATTCATTCATAAGGAAAGCTTTGGATGAAGATTGCCAGAGAGGGTTCAACATTTTGCTTTGTGTATGCTCAAAGACTTGCTTGTAAAATAAAGTCATTTGTCAAAGAAGTGCTGGTGAGACTATTACTACTAGGAGGGAGAAGTACGGCTCACAGCACTGGTAAGCAGCACTGAAATTAGCAAAAGAGGCCTCTACAAGGTCCTAAAAGCTTCCAACACACCAGCCTCCTGGCCCTTGAACAAATGGGAAAGCACTGCTGCCTTTGGCCAGTGGGAATGTTGGAAGTCAGAAGTGCTCACATGGGCATCTACCAAATAACTAAATTTCCCCAGGCAGAGATTCTTACCCCTGTGGTTAGGCTAATCACCAAAGAATGATGGGATGGGCACCTCTGAGCATTTTGGGGAAGGCATGAAGAAACATTATACTGTTTTCTGGAGATGGGAGTTCTGCCTAGGCTAGGCCTCAGGGTCCTTGGTGACCAGGTCATGCTTTAGCTAGAAAGGTAATTTAGCTAATGTAGAAAGGTCGTTTGTGACATGGCACTGCCCACACTCAGTTGTTTGCCCTTGGTCCTCCCTTTTTGACAAGGAGAAGGGAGCCTTTGAATCAGTTGTCTAGTAGATTGAAGGAATACTATGGGTCTTATCTCTGGAGACCTTCAGATCTGGTCAACAAACAAACAGTTTTCTCTCACTCAGGGGTTGAGGAAACCAGGTTTAAGTCTTGACGTGAGAGGTGGGTGCTGGATATTTCTCTGGAGGAAAGAAGAGAACAGGAGGCAGCTCTAAACCCCTCAGCCCTCTGTTCAAAGAGGAGCTGCCACCTTTGCTGTTTCTTGTTCTGCCCATGCCATGGGAACTAGATTAGCAAATCTTACATTTCTTTTTTTGCCTCAGAACAATGGTAGAATCAAAACATCTCCCCTCTTGTTTTAGCCTTTTGAACATAAATGAGAACAACTGTGATGTCTGGGCTTTCTTCTAATCTTCCTATGTTGAAGAAGGGTGGGTGGAGGGAGTGTTCTTCCTATGTGGAAAAGGAAGACAGATTGTTCTCATGCTTCTGTGGAGTTACCTATTCCTTCATCTGGTGCATGAAAATCAGAGCTGCCTTTGCTGTGAAAATGGGGGCAGTACAGCATGTAGTTTGGTGGCTGGGTTATCTCCTATGCCAGCTTTTGCCTGGGGTCTGTGCTTTATGTCAACATGATCAAGCCCAGAGTTTGATGGATAGAAATTTCCCCTGTCACTGAGGATAGTAATGGCTGCTCTGAATAGGTTCCAGCCATCCCCAATATTGCAGCTTTTTCCTCTGGCTTTGCTGCCAAGTGCCAGAAGAACATTAGCAACTGGACCTATCCCCTATCTAACACGAAAGAAGATAAGGTCCAAGCTATGGACTGAAGTCATCACTGTGTCCTTGCCTTGAGTGGGAGCAAAAGCAACCTTTTATTCTATCATACACAGTTGGAAGGGGCCTAGAAGGTCCTCAGGTCTAACCCACCATTCAATGCAGTAATCAAGTCTCCCATTCAAATACTAACCAGGTCTGACCCTGCTTAGCTTCTGAGATCAGGCAGGATCAGGCACTTCAGACTATATGGAAGCTTCTTTTTCTTTTTAAATGTGGCTCTTTTCCAGGAGTTCTCCAAACCACTGCTACATATCACTGAGACAGAAGTAGTCTGGATGTAAGGGAATGCCTGCCCCTGGATGACATCATAAATGAAGAGAGGGCCCTGTCTGAATCCAAGAGAAAATGCCATTGTGCAGGCTTCCTTTCTGGCCACTAGGGGGAGAAACTGAGATTTAAAAAATAGCAAAGGTACAAAACTCAGCCTCATCTCTTGTGAATCACAGAAATGTGATGAGCTTGACTTGTAGGCAAGGCTGCGGTCTGTCAAAGGTGCACACACATTTATGGCTATTGTTCAGTATGGTTTTGGGACTGCTCAGGACACACCCAGTAGTCAAGATACACTTGGCCTAGCCCCATCTCTGCAGTCAGGCACTGAAGGCAGCTCAGCTTCAGGCTCTTCACGAAAGGTCACTTCCTGCCCCAGGCCTGGCCTTGACAGAGATCATGAATTTCTCCGGAGCCATCACACCGATTTGTTTGCTCGCCCCTCCCTCTCACTGCAGCAGCCTTCCTGCAGCTCCAAAATACAGCTGCAAAGTGAGCAGCCACATCAATAATTCAAATCCAGCCCCTAGCAGCTATCATGTTCCTTGCTGGATCACTGCTTCCTTTCATAGGTTACCCAGACACAGCAAAACATACAGGGGGTACTTCAGCAGCCAGAAGCAACCTGAGCAGCCTCTCGCACGGCCCTTCCTCCTGGGTATATTGCTTGTTCTCCCCACACTCCAAAGTTATTCATTAAAAAAAAAACCCAAAACCCATCACGTGACTTCAATTATGTGCTCTGTCAAGTCTGTCAATTTCTATCTGCCTATTTTGTACAGTTTATTCTGCTCCTATGATTTAGGTTTTCAAATAATGTTTTTGTTTTGGCAAGGGCTGGTGTATGTGTGAGACAGATATATGTGACAGTCCTCATTTCACAGAAGGAACTGATGTCAACCTACAGGGACATCTGTTTGTTCTTCAGGTGTTTGTAGATCCTGGAGGGTGAAAAATATACAGGACATGGCTGGCCTTCCTTTGTTTGCAACTCACAAGCAGGTTTTGCTGCTACTGTGCACTGAGCAAGAATCCCAACCTTCAAACACATTCCATGCTGCTTGGATTTTCTTAGTTTACCATTCATACTGATCAGAGAGGCAAAATTTAATGCTCACCCCCAAATCGTGTTTCCAGGCATGTTATCAACACAGTATATTATCCTTACAGAAGGCTTAGAATTCCTTAGAATTCCGGGCACCCAGAATTCGACCTTTAGAATATAAGAACTTTAAAAAAGCCAGGCTGGACCAGTCCAGCACTTCATACCCATGGTAGCAAACCAACTGCCCATTGGGTCCCTCGAGCAGGATGGGTGCAAGACCTCCACCTGCCAAGCTGCTCAGCACCTGGTATATGCAGGCAATGCCTCCTCTGGTAAGGGAGGTAGCCCACAGCCAAGGCTAGTAGCCACTGACAGCCTCCCCCTCATGAATCTGTCCAGTCCCTTTTTAAAGCCATCCAGATAGGTATCGATCACCACTTCCCATGCCAGCACATTCCATAGTTTTACTATACTTAGTGTAAAGAAGTACTTCCTTATATCTGTCCTAAACCAATCACCAGTCAGCTTCATAAGCTGACCCTGGGTTCTAGGGAGAAAAATCTCTTCTTCTCCACACCTTGCACTATTTTAAACACCTCTATCATGCCTCCCCTTCCTTGCCTTTTTTCTCAGCTAAGCAGTCCCAATTGTTGTAGCTACACCTGATAAGGGAATTGCTTCAGTCCCTTGATCATTTTCACTGCCCTTCTTTGTAGGACTCAATAATGTCATTTTTCGGCTAAGGTGGCTGGAACTGAATGCAGTAATCCTAGTGCAGCTCCACCAAAGATTTCTGTAAGGGGAGTAAGATCCAGGCAGGTCTATTTTCTATTCCATTCCTAATTATGCCCAGCATGGACTTTGCCTTTTTCACAGCAGCTGCACACTAGGCCAACATTTTCATCAAGCCGTCCACCACCACCTCAAGATCCTGTTCTCTCTTTAGTCCCTGCCAGCTGGATTCCATCACCTTATACTTGAAGTTGGGATTTTTTGCCCCAACATGCATTACTTTATATCTGCTTACATGGAACTGCATATGCCACACAGCTGAAACCTACAACCTCACATGGCCTTAATACTTCAGCCAGACCTCCTGCCCTGAACATACAGAGACACAAGGTTGGCAGGCGAAGGATGTCACAGTCCTTGCATCCACTTGGCCTGGGAATGCTAGATGCCATGACAGCCCTCTGATGAGTGTGGATGCATGGGGCCAAGGCATATACGTGTTCAACTCACTGGAGCACTTACCAAAGTGGAAGCTGCAGCCTGCTTGGACTCTTCGCTGAGGTGGCCTAGCATTTGCTCTACCTTGGCTAGCTCTTCCTGGCTGATGTAATCAGTGTCTGCAGAGAAAAGAGAGCAAAGATCACAGAAAAGGAATGGGTGGCACACATTCTAACACTGTGGTGCAGGAGGTGTGTTACACATTCATTTTCCTCCCCACCCTCCCACCCGCATGATTCAACTGGAGCTGCAGTGAAAGTGGTTGGCGACACACCACAGCCTAACATGACCGTCAATCAGTCACCTCTGATGAGACCAGACTGGGCTCGGCACTACTGTGTGCTGAGCTGATGATATAACGGTGTTGGGAGCGCATGCGTAGAGTTTTCACAAGCTGCTGGATAACAAAACGCATAGAAAAGCTTATACATGAATATCTGCTCAAGGCATATTGTAGCTACCACTTTTGACAGGACTGATTTATAGTTTCTTAAGGTTTATATCTTCATATGTGTAACTTTTAAGCTATTCAAGTTTTGAGAATTTTAAAGACGGTGCAACCAATCGCAAGACATGTGCATCCAATAGGATGGTGTAACTTGGTGTCCTGCAACAGAAGCGGGTTGGACCTGATGGCCTTCATGGTCCCTTGCAGCTCTACTATTCTATGATTCTAAGGCTGGAGAAAGGCTCTGGGGGGCCCCAGTGCTAGCAAGTTATAGTGGGCCCCCTACTCTACCCCCAACATTCACAGCATCTGTGTGTCTGCACATGGCACGCATGTGTGCATACACACACAGTGTCAGGGAAAGCCATTTCATGAACAAAATCGATGCAAAACATTTATTTATCACATAACTAAAAGACTGCTTCTTGCATATGAGCCTGCCTGCTTCTTCAGCTCTTCTGGAAAGGACCTTCTTTCTCGACTTCCACCTTCAGAGGAACATTTGGTAGTGACCCAAGAAAGGGTCCTTCTGCTGGTGGCTCCCAGACTGCGGAACTCCCTCCCAAGTGAGGCTCATTCTGTTCCCCCTCTGCTATCCTTCTGCTGGAGGCACAGGCAGCTTTATTCCAAAAAGCCTTGTGCCTATCTGTTGGATTGAATTCTGGGATTGTTCTTCATTGTAATCATTATGATTTTATTTTACTATATGGTGTATTGATTAAATTAATCTGAATGTCATTTTTGGTAGAAAGGTGAGTACATATAAAATAAAATAAACAAAACATCATAGTAGAAACTCATGCAAAGAAAAACAAATACTTCATCCATGGCAGAGAGCTCAAACACACATACAGGCTCCTATTTATCACATCCTCTTTTTCAGAGCATGCATGCACACATGGCAAACCCAGATACAAGCAGAAGCAGCTTCTCTTTTTTCACACTCCTGCTCCCTTGGTGGAGGATGAGACATATAGTGAGTCATCACCTCATTCACACACATAACTGGGATTGGCCTAACACTTTTGGTACCTGAGGAGGATCAGCAAATACCCCTAACTTCAGCCTAATATATTTCACAAGACTCATGTGAGGATAAAACTGGAGAGAGTTTATTTCCAGGAAGAAAAGTAGAATATAAACAGGAAAGAAACACTTAAATAAACAAAGAAATAGATTTACCACCTATCACAATGGACTGAAAAACTTTCTGCTTTTGTTTGCTTTGAGTTTATCTCCTACAATCATCAAGGTAATATACTTTTCTAGATCTAAAGAAAATTTCTATTAAAATATATTTGAAAATGAAATGTTAATTCTCTATCTACCACCTCACCTTTTGGGGTTGTTTTCTTTCTCCTATAGCAAGGGAGATGTTAAAGATTACTGTACATTGATATATTTCATGATATGAATTCCCTCCATCCCTTTTAATGTTTTTTTTTGTCTTTTTATCTGCCACAGCAGTAACCACAAAAAAAATTAAGTAAAACAAAAACAAAGATATACTCAAAATCGCAAATTGTCCTATACACTGTTATTAGCAGTTTAAAATAGGACTCCTTAGAACATAAAATGGTCAGCAATGCATTGCACTGGCTTCTTATTTTGTACACAGTATTATTTATAGGTATATGTAATAGAGACAAGATGCATCTACTATTCCATTTGGACATTTAACTCTTAGAGACCCTAGGAAGACAAGTAAATCTCAAGAATGACATCAACTCTTATTACTAGAACATCAAAATTTAGGGAAAATCATTGTACATTTCATTTGCTCCACTATTTTGATACCATGCATAATCAGTAGTTCAAAGGAAATGTGTTAACAAGGCAAATAGGTGCCACAAGGATGAATGGGCCTTTCTCCCAGGGAAAGGTGCATACCAGGGGTCTCAAACTCAACTTACCTGGGGGCCGCTGGAAGTAGAGTCTGGGTGAGGCTGGGCAGCATCAAGTATTCCACCACCGCGGTGGTGGGCCGCTCATCCCGCGTCGCTCCCAGAGGCCGGCCTGGGTGCCGCCGGCGCTTTGAAGGCCGCAGGGCCCTCCCCCGTGCCCCGCCCGGCCCAGCAATTGGCCCGCGGGCCACGCGTTTGAGACCCCTGGTGTATACTGTATAGGATTCTACACTTACAGCACAATCCTATCTATGTCTACTTAAGAAAAACGTCTATTTGTATTCAAGAAGATTTACTCACAAGTAAGTGTGCATCTATTAATTCCAGCTTAAATATTTACTTCCCTTGTCCCCTTTCCTGGAAGGCACAGAAAGAACTCACTGAATGAGTCGGAATGCTAAACATATTATTGAAGTTGCTGCTGTTCTCCCGCTGATAACTGCAAATGGGAGGGTGCCCGGCAGGTTGTTAAAGAGTAGCTGACAGGCACAGTGAGCAGAGGAACACCTCAAGAGGCAGACAGCCCACAATGAGCAAGTCGCCACCATTCAAATTCCACACAAGCACAGCATTTCTGGCCAGTGGCGGCAAAACTGAAGGGCCAGGGAAAAATCTCCACTGGTTATCAGTTGGGGAAGGAGGCAGTGTGTCAAAAGCTGGGGTTTCTCCTTTGTGTATTCAAAAAAGTTTTCCTTTGCAAAGCATCCTTTACTGACCAAAAAGCAAAACACCCGAATAAATCTCTGAGCATGCACAGAGCTGATTGTTGAATCCAATCTAGTAATCACCTCCAGGAGCTTTCCTTATGAGCACACCGGGGCCCCATCGCTTTGAGAGGGGCTTTCTGAAAGCAAGCACACTTCCTCTCTGTGAGCTGATCCCCCATGCTCTTCTGCTAGTAATGCATCATAGGGTCAAGAACTGTACTTGACTCATCTGAATCTTAGAAACTCTTCTATTCTAAATCCCCTCCTGCCAGCTGTACAACTTGGTTATTCCCGAAGATTGCCTGCCCACCTGGGGAATCTGGCCTTGAAATAAGCATCTCTCATTTCAGTGTCTTGGTTTGGCCCGCATTCCCAGGCACCCTCCAGTTCTGCTTCACATTCCGATTCCTCAGCGGTCCTTGAGAATGCATGCCCAAAGCAGCCATCTATCTCATTCCCAACGCAGTGGACCAGCCTTTCAAGATGGATTGGTTAAGGTGGAACAGCTCAGTGTGTAAGCAACATTCAGGCAGGGAAAAGGCCACAATCTATCTCCACTCTTAACAAATGTCCCTGGCTAAAACCCTTTCTTCCAGCCTAAGTTAGCTGAGTGGAACTTAATATTGGGTAGATATGTACAGAATTGCATTGTTACTAAAGTCTGTGCAAACGGTCTCTTAGTGTGGCCATGCACTCAAATTGCATTTCTTCCTGCAAAATAGCACACACCAGCAGACTAGATATTGCCAGTCTAAGCATGGAGCTGCCATACACTGCTCTGTTTTCCGCTCTTCTGCAGGAATATAGCAACAGTAGATTTTTTGGTGAGTTGTACATAATCCATGCTCAGCCACAGTGAAGCCCCTCCCCGACAATATGGATATAATTCATTTTGCATTGGCAGAGTGATTTTGCAAATATTTACAAATTCAGTAAAAATGCTTTTTTGGGGGCTACGATCAAGGTCTGCGCTAGGAAGGGTATGACCCTTTGTCACTGATGCAATCTGTTTTGAGCTGAATATGTGACTGCCCAATCATAGCCACACCAGAATTTTAGCTTTCTTAATTGTTTTCTGTGGGAAGTAATCAGTGTTCCAGCATGGCTCTTCTTATGTTCTAACCCCACTCACACAGCAGATGTGCACTCCCTTGATGTACACAGCTATACTGAGGGCTGCTCTAGGGTAGCATTCTCCAGTCTGCTTGAATCACTGGGATTAGATGCAGCCAAATATCAGTCAGAACTACCACAGCTTTTTCTTATGGGGTCCTGCCAGGAAGACAATTGGTCAGAGAAGGCTCCAGGTAATTTTGGCAATCCCCCCAATGGCTCAGCCTATGAAATAGCCTCTCCAAGTCAATCTAATATTTGCTGCAGCAGCAAATGAGTGCCTATGAGATAGCATATCAACTGCTGGGCCAGCTCAGTATCATCAAATGGTGGGGCTGCTGGCAGATGTATAATGTACGTTTTGGGAATTGGGCTATTAGAGAACGGTAGGAACTTCCCCTCTGCAGTACAGAAATAGGAGAGGATCACAAGCACTTTGCTGAAGGCTAGGGGAATTCACAGCCAGGTAATGGAGGCTAATTGTAGGAAAGGTTAGATTGGAGGTTTCGGAAAGGTTCATTCTAGAAAACAATTCAGGATGCCTAAGAACTAAGTTGCAACACATTACAAAAAGAAGAGAATTTGCCTGTGGTACTCTCTACAGCCTGCTCTTTTCCTTCTAGCACACATTTTCACACCATCATCAGGAAAATAAATCTTCAGTTGCCAGATAGGAAAGCCCCACTTAAGAAAGAACAGCTGATTCCTGTAGGGTCTCATAAGGCAGCAAATCACCCCAAGAACTGCCTAGTCTTCAATAGGCACAGCCTATTCAGTGCACCTTCTGTTGTTCAGCATTCCTAACAGCTCAGAAACTGCTGTTACATGGGACTCTAAAAAAGAAAAGCCATTCCAATATTATTTTTTTCATTTTTCTGACAGTAAGGTTCATCACAGACTTTCCAAAAATAATTTCTGTTGGGCATTTGCCCTCACCTGGTAAATGCCCAACAGTGAGCTTATAACTATTTGAACTGAGCAACAGTTGTTCTCTAGTACCATTTCTTGGGAAGGTAGCCTGAGCTTGGCAGAAATTCACAAGGGAGAAAGCAGAGATCATCTTTGAGCTACGATATAGTTTATCATATTGTCTAAATTGCCTTTTGCTGATACCTCAGTATTGTAAACACCCTAGAGGTTTATATGCTTGTATATATTCAACTGAAAGATAAAATCTAGAATGGCCCCAGGCAACACAGCCTTCAGCCAGTCTTTCATATCTGATGAAAGATGAATTGACAGGGTGGTCACAATTCAAAAAAGCTTAAGCAGAAGAGGCAAGGCTTTACTGCCTACTGCCAGATCTTCTCCATAGTTCTCAGTGGCTCAGTTCACACGTCACAATGCCAGTTTTTTGTTAATTATCCTCTGGATAAGTGTGAATGAGCAAGCACATGCTGCCTCCTGCCACCCAATTGCTAATGGGTATTCAACCCAGAGATGCTCCATTCCTAGGTTGCCTGGCATTGGGTGCAAACCAGCAACTCTGGACTGCTTGGAAGAGAAACATCCCAGAGTTGAAACCCAGCATCCCTGAATTATTTAGCCATTCCCAATAAAGCAGGAGACCTGAAATGGCAGAAGCCAGAAGGGTCACTCATTCTCACTTGTTCAGAGCAACCCAGGATTTAAAGTACAAAACAAAACCTGCACTGCTGTGATGTTTCAACCAGGCCATTCACTTGAGATGCGTCCCACCACCCCAATCTTGCAATGCCTCATTTCATCACCAGTTTCTAGAGGATATAAATAAAGCATGCACCATTCCTTTGGGATTTATGTTTCCTCTGTCCTAGTGCTCCAATTGCTTTCTTGCATCTCTGCAATCTTCAAGGGCATGGCAGAGCCAAGGACAAGAGCTTGCTTTTCTCTTCCTCCCTCCCTCTCACTTGCTTGATGGGCAAATATTATGTATTTCTAACACTGCCCTCTGTAACAAGAAGCTACCCTCTTTCCACAGAAAAACACTGCTTTTCTTGCCCTCTCCTCATCATATGGGGGTAATGGGGGTATTCAGACTGGCTTTAGCTCAAATATGTAACAGGATGTTTTGAAAATGTACAGTATCAAAGTGGGAGGGGGTTAAAACAACGGAACCTCCTGTAATAAAGCCAGTCTCCTTCCACTGCCTCAAACAAAATGCCAAAACTATCCATGTGGTTGGTGCAACTATTTCGAACCCTTCCCCCAGTCTCTGCATCATCTTGTCAAGAGCTTTGGCAGTGGGGTGATACAGAAATGTGATATTAAATAAATAAATAATCTTCAGGTATACAGGGAGGCAAGATCTAAAAGAGGGACAGGAGTATTCCCATTCCCAGGAAGAATGCGAAAGGTTCAAGAAACACAAAAGAAGAGCTGAAAGGTCTTTTCATTTAGGTTAGCTTTAAGAGGTGAAGTAAACTGGCACAAGCAATTTGGTGTAATTTCATATTTCAGCACATATTTTTTTCCTGAAGCATTTATTTGTGGTGGTATCCTCCCTTAAATCCTCAGAATGGGCTGTGTAATAAGGTTAGATGACAAAATGCAGTCTTTTGCTCCCTTGGAAACACATTCCATGCAAACAGCACAAAAATGAGAGGCTTGTTCCCATACACCAGTATGTGGTATTCTACATGATTGTGCCCTGTGACTGGATCCACACTGAAAGATAGGCAGTGTATCTTTGGAGGGCAGGAAAAGACAACCAAGAAAATAAGCTCATCAAGCTAGCATCAAAATGCTTCACTGGCAACTTCTAGGTTTTATAGCAGAGACACAGCGCCCTACAGCATTCTTCACACACATCCCTTTTCATCTTTTTTGTTTTGTTACAACCTGGAATTGAAACTCCTTTACTTGGCATTGCTACCACTTGATGTACAACAAGATACTCAACTGTGAACTGTGAATCAGCAACACATGTTTATTGTTGTAGTGACATGCCTAAACAGGCTCAGGTGCAACCCACTCTTTCCATTATGTACTTTAAGTAGTTGAATGGAGTCCACCTATATGCAATTCTGGTGTCTCATGCTCTCAGATTAAATACATGTATTTCTGGAAAGCCCTAGAATCTGTTGGAGAGCACAGCTAAACAGCATCATGAAGTCCAAGGAGCTATCAAAATAACTCCAGAATAAAGTGATATAGGAACACCAATCAAGTTTGGATTATTTAAAAACATTCCAAACTATAACCACTCCCCAAAGCACTGTTAAATGCATTAATATGAAGTGGAAAGAATATGGTTCAACTCTGACTTTGTGTAGAGAAGGCCATCTGCCAAACTTGGTGATTGTATAAGAGAGGCATTAGTCACAGAAACAACTAAGAGGCCAGTGGGAACTCTGAAGAAGCTGGAGAGATCTGCAGTGGAGATAGGAGAAACTGTCCATGAGACAAATATCACTCAGATGCGCCACAAAGCTAGGGTTTGTGGAAGAACCATGAAAAGAAAGCCATTTCTGAAACAAACTCAAATCAAAGCCCTCTTGGTGTTTGGAAAAGGCATGAAGGAGACACAGTAAACATGTGGAAAAAGCTTTTTTGATCTGATGAGACCAAAACTGAACTTTTTATCTTTGCTACAAAATGCTGTGTGTGGCAACAATGCTAATGTTGAGTATCTTGTGTACATCAAATGATAATAATGTCAATTAAATCTTCTGCAAGGCACTGCACCTGTGGCCATCTTACCATCTTTTCTACAGAGGACACATGAGTATTGCACAACAGGCAAACTGGGAAGAGACAAATAGCCATGCAGGAATAAACAGCCCATGGCATATGTAAGCACAACAAAAGGAGATACTTACAACTCTGCAGGGAGAAATGTTTCTTGTCAGCAGAAGGTGATGCCATTCCCAGTACTAAAGGCTCTGTGTGACCCAACAGGTACTGAATAGAACGGAGTTGAAAACAGGGATCTGCCAGCAGCACAGCTGTTGCCCGCTCAGCCCTGGAAAGACAGACAGACAGACAGACGCTCTTTTTAAATGCCTCACCTTGAAATGGGAGTGCATTCCATGGCTCTCAACATCCTTGTACACAATAAGTATGCTATATCAAAGCTAGGAGAAAGGCCATTCTTCTCTGACTTTTAAAACAATGAAGCCATCATTGGTTCCTCCCATTGCTCACTAGTGACCTAGTACAGCAACAAAAGGTCTGAGCATATGACCTGGGTCACACCCTAATAGTGGAGAATTATGGATTAATTAACCTATGTTTTGCATGGATGCACAGAGTGTATGAACCATTTCAATTTTAATACACTTCTTATGAACACTGTTCATAGGTTAATACGATTTTCAAATCCAGACATTCTGAATTGTTTATTAATCTATGGTTTTCTGTTGGATTGACTCTGGGTTAATTAAACTACAATTTGTCAGTGTGACATATGAACTGCCATGGCAATAGCAAAGGAAAAGAGACAAAAAGGCAGTAGTTCAGACATCCTGAATAGCCTTGTTGGGTCCTATATGCTGTCTGCTAAGGAATAGAGTCACTGGGGCAGTCTAATTTTTAAGTACATCCAGAACTCTCCCTTTAACCAAATGGTGTCCTCGGAGTTTAGTACATTTGAAAGGCTAATTTTAGCTATTTCCTTGGAGAATGATGACTCATAAAATTGGGAGCAAAAACATACAGTGAAGCCTAATAAGCAAAAACAATTCCAGCTGAATGAGTATGAATGAATCAGAGAACAAATATTCCAAATAAGGTATAGCATTCTGGCAAAGTAAACAGGTTCTAAAAAGTAGGGATAATATTCTTCAGATATTCAACTGATATCTGACTTAAGAGTGACAGGCAGCTGCTTAGAAGCTGGATTGGCTGGTAGACTGCATATGTTCTGCAAGCTCTTACTAGGGAATCCTGAACAGCAGCCCATAAAAATAAAAATGGAGGCAGGGAAAACAAACAGCAGAAAACCATCAAGGAAGGGGAAAATTTTGGCCATTTCAACATAGTTTGGCTCTGGGATTACTAACGCCTGCCTGGTGACAAACAAATTTAAAATGTTGAGCAGAATAGTACCAGTATGTGGGGTGCTACGCTTCCCCTGACCATCCCCCTGCTGCATATTAAATTGCCCCTTGCACCTCTCCTGAGGCTTTATGGGAATGAGAGAGGGGGAGGGATGTTGGCAGCCACCCCTTTCCCCAAGGAGTAATAGAATGAGCTGCTGCTGCGGAGAAGATTTGGTCCAAGTTACCCTGGAAATAGGAAGGGTTGCAGTAGAGGGTGAAATAGAGGTGACCAGAACAGGCTCATTGCTGGGGGCTGTGGGGGGGGGGAGACAATGCTGTTAGTGGTCTGGGGTGCAGTAACTGTAAGCAGCAGGGAGTGATGGGCCTGCTTAAACAGCAAAACATGGGGTGGGGGGCAGTGTTAGGCCTGGACAGTGAAGTCTGTCCCCCTGCTTTGCACTGCTCACCCCTCCCATCCCCAGAGTGACTGCTTCACAGAGCATGTCCAAGAGACATCTCAGCAAGAAGAAAGAGGCTGACTGTTCTGAAGGGGCAAAATAGTTACAAGTTGAACCCAAATGGCTTCAAGCTACGCCTTAGGGATTTAAAAAGTTCAGAAAACCCTGTCTGTGAGTCATATTTGTACATGCAATGCAGCGTCCAAAATCAGTGAGGAAAGAGAGAAGCTTAGTTCTTGGAATAAAAAGATGTGCAAGGAAGTCAACCATATATCCCACAAGTAAATAAATAACAAGCGATACATATATAAAGCAATATAGAAAAATTAACTGGCATGCATTCTGAACCTTGGTGCCCTTGCACAGGCTTACTAGTGGCCCCACTGGCCCTTAAGACAGTTGCCTAGCCTTGTAATAGCTCAAGTTCAATAAATGACTTGCCCTACTATTCCCTACAAAAGATTTGAAAATACCAGTCAGACAGTGCAATAAGCTGACTTCATTCATAATGGGGGTAGTCTGCTTAACAAAGGCCTACTACAGAGAAAGAGATGGTGAACACACCCTAAATTACAAGGTATTCAGCCTTCATCATTAGTATACCCAGAAATTCTAGACCATCTATTCAAGCTATTCAATGTTTAAGCTATTTAAGAATACAGTACTACAACAATTGTAGAACACTTAACCAGGAATTTATTCAAAGTGCTTGCTATTTCTTCATACCTTTTCTGTTCACAGAAGCTGAAATGAGACGAAGTGCAGCCTTAAAAGGTACACAGTAAGTGGAATAACCTGCCTCTCCCTTCACAATAATAAGGGACACTTACAACAGAAGCTACTTTTTCATCTGCTTTCACCATATCCTTCCTGCCCCCGAAACTCACTCTCTCATAGTCCCCAAGTGAAAACAAACCTTACTTCATCACAAAGCACTACAAGGGACGTTTCATCACTACACCCCAAATCCAGCAAGACAGGCAGCCTAATACAGCAAAGAGCTAAAGAGTTTCATTTTGGCAACAGGCTACTGTACTAAACAGACTTGCACAAAATTGTTAGAATAGCTCACAGCCAAACAAGAGTGAAAGGTTGAAATAAGGTGAAAACTCATATGGAGAATGTGTGATCTCAATATGAAGGTACAACCTTTTTCATGTATGCCTCTATGCATACAGGAAATACTTGGAGAGTACTAGTACTTCAAGGGCTTCTACTGCCCCTATGTTCACAACTGCTGTGACTCTGACATCTGCACACTGACTCAGATGTCTGCAAAGGGAGGCTAGGCTAGCACAGCTTTATGTGTACCCATGTTTCATGGGATCAGGTTCCTCCAATTGTGCACAGGTCCCATTTGTACAACCGTACCACTTACTTTTCAAATGTCCCAATAGACAAGGGAATGTTAGAGATGAGAGACATTATAGGCATCGGAGCAGGGCATCATCACATTCTGTCCCCTCTTGCCCCCCAAACTGATGACTAGTTTACACATGGAGGCACAAGTAAAGTGACCTCACTTAAAATGCTGAGCAGCCAGTGTGCCAGGGAAAGAATAAAATTAAGAAAAACGTGTTCCAGTGTCCAAATGTAGAAGCACAAGGCAAGATATTTCTCTGATCTTGCAGATTATGTGAGGTTCTCAATGAAAAATTATGAAGAAACATTCATGCAACATGCATCTTGTACAGAAATAAGAAAACATGAATGTTGAGGACTGGGGGTTCACCAGAAGGATCTGGTCCCTTCACAGATATGTGCATATTATATTTGATCTCCTGACTCAGCTGGGTGTTCTGAGACTGACTGAAAGCTAACACATGCCTAAAAGGGATTGCAGAATGCTGGCTGAAGCTTCCAACTTAACTGCTTATATAATCAAAATTTACTCTAGTTGGATGTTCCGTTTGTAAAGAGATTAGTCTACTAAAAACTTTTCCTTAGGTCATGCACTGATCAAAGATATGCCTGGGACAAGACAACATTAAACTGGACTGTTCTTTTGAAAGGAGTACTTCAGGGAGCTAAAGAAATGAGTATTACATACTCAAGTACTTTAATCAGCAAAAGGCATTTTTCAAGCTTCTTAGACAAAATATAGGTTGTTTCTTAATGGCAATTTGCTAATTATTAATCTTTCAGTTGAATGTTTTGTGCAAGATCATGCATGTAACTTTAATAAACAACCTTTTTCCTTGTCAACACTTTTCATGTCACTGAAAAAATACAAAGACACTCAGATACAATGGCAGAAATGAAAGGACCAGGAAAAATGGTCAAACCTATCACGATACTTCTCACAAATGGATTCAAAAAATCAGCTAGAAGCTCTTGCCTCCGCCCTCTAGAGCAGTCTTCCCCAGCTTGGTACCCTCCAGTTCAACTGCAACCCCTCTCCTGCTCCATCATCCACTAGCTACAGCTATTGCAGGGTTACAATTCAACACTCCTGGGGAGTGCTGAGTTCGGGAAGGCTGCTCTAGGGGCAGTGCAGTCGATTTCAGCCTGAAGGACAGATATGATGCTGGTGAATCCTGCTATGACAGAAAATAGCACTTTCACTTCTTGCAACAAGCCACCTGTCTCCCTACTGGGACACGGCCAATGCATCCTGCTTTTGCCAGGTTGCCACTGGGGACAACTGCTGTCTGGCACCTCATGCCTCCCAGTGAAAGAAGTCGAAGTCAACATTCAGAGATCTCTTCTTGAGTAGTTTGTCAAGGACAAAACTATCAAATATGCCAAGTGGTGCAGCAAACAATGGAGGGAGGCAGGGGGCTGAGCTGCTTCCCGAACTACATTACATTCCCACCTTTCAAGGCAAGGACAGCAGCTCCTACCTCTGACACATGACCATGGCGCTACCAAAAGACCACTCTCCTGAAGGCAAAGGAAAATTTTCCAGCAAAGCAGGGACAGCAATCAGAGTGCTTTAGACAGTTACCAGTAATCAAATCTTAAGAGACTTTTAAGTGTCTAGCAACCCAGGCAAGGCAATGGCCCACCTACACAGTGCTACTCAGTACAGCCATGCTACAGCAGATTAAGAGGAATATGGAACAGCCCCATAACTATGTCCTGAAAATAAGGGAATAAGCCAGTGCAGTGTGGGGAGCTACACTATGGGACTGGAGATCCAAGTTCTAATCTCCACTCAGCTGTGAAGCTCACTGGGTGAGTGGGCCAGTCATAGACTCTCAGTCTAACTTACTTCACAGCAGGGCTGTTGTGAGGGTAAAATGGATTGAAGAACCATGTAAGTCACCCTGGGTTCCTCACAAAAGGGGAAAAGGGTTGGGATATAAATGCAATGTAATCACAATCATACAGTCAGATTGAGCATTTCCAAAGGAGGATGTACATGCAAGTGACACCTGGGATAGTATTTACAGAAAGAGATTGTGCTTAGCTTCTCCAGGAGAGGGTCAAATGTGTGCAGGACTTGCATTCTTTACAGGAGAATTTACAAAAGGAACTTAGCTCTGTGAAGAATTACCTGTGGCACTTCTCTTGTGGCGTAA